AACTAAACGTAAATAAATGTAACCTGGTTTCATTCACTAGGAAACGCTCAGTCTCATCTTTCTGTTATGCCCTAAATAACGCTTCTCTACCTGCTGTCTCATCTTACAAGTACCTCGGCGTGCATCTGACCTCGAATCTGTCTTGGGTTACCCACATTAACATTACAACTGCTGAATCGTCACGTACTCTCGGGTACCTAAAGCGAAACCTAAAAGCCGCACCCGCGCATCTACGCCATCTAGCCTATAATACCTACGTACGCCCAAAACTAGAATACGCTTCACCTATCTGGAATCCTCATCAGAAGTACTTAATTAACCAGTTAGAATCTGTCCAAAACCGTGCCGCCCGATTCATATCATCATCTTATTCCCGATTTGCCAGCGTCTCCCTTCTTAAACAAAATAACTCTATTCATCCCCTCGAGACTCGTCGACTAATCGCACTTCTTTGCTTACTTCATCGGTTGCATTATAACCCCGGTCTTTCCAGCTCATCACTTTTAGAACCACCGAATAGAGTCTCACATCGTCAAAATAACAGCAAAAGCTTTAAACGCCTTTTTGGTTCAACGTTAGCATTTAATAACTCAGCACTTCCTCAAGCCATCAAACACTGGAACGGTCTTCCCGACGACATTGTCACCATATCTGATGCAAAAATGTTCCGCAGTGCACTTACTAACTTCTTTCTCATCCCCGGCTAGTATGCAAGCTGACATTCTTCGGTGCTCCGTTGTTATTAGCATTGTATTATGTTATTTTGTCCCAAAGTGTTTACCATGACTGATTCAACTACTTTTAGTTATTGTCCTGTGCTTATTGTCGTCATTTGTCGCACATCAGTATGTTCTAATTTCAGTTATTATTTTGTTTCGATGTTTTTGCGTTGTACTGTATGCCTTTGTTGGAAAATAACCCCCCCTCATGTAATGCCCACCGGGCCTTTGAGGTATTTTGAATAAATAAATAAATAAACTTCTTATTGGCGTAATCCCCGCCATAATAAAACAAAAGTTTTTTTTTTAGTTAGTTAAATAGCTTTATTTGATTATGCTCTCTTGCTCTGACTTGAGTGCAAGAGGGCAATACTTTTCTAGCTTTTAGCTCTTCCTTTTGCTTTCTGCTTTTGTTGCTGTAGGACGTTACATAGCTGACACACGAAGTGAAAAGGTATTCGCTCAGAAGAGCACTTTTTTTTTTTTTTTGCTCGTGTTCAGCTTAGTATGTGTCCTTTCTTGCTCGGTTACTCTTCGATTTAAATACAAAACAAATGCGCATAATAATCATAAAACGATAAACAGTCGATAAAAAAAAATCTGGATTCTTTTTTGCGGGAAATGTTTGATTTACATCATCATAGTAAAACCGGTCTGATTTAAATCACGATTTGAATCATGATTTAAATTATATTTAATGTTATTCTCCAACCTGCTAAAAACCCAAGCTCATAGTTTCGGCAGTTGTTTTTTGTTCGCCAGAGTTCGTAGAGCCTAGAGCCACTCAGGAAGCTCTGCGGAGCGGAAGTTCGTCTGCTTCTTGCACAGGGGTTTGCGATGATGTCAGAACGACGAGCTCTTATTGGCTGATTGAAAGAAAACAGTGAGTAGATTTCAAGGCATCTAGCCTTGAGGTCTACCCACTATCCTTTCAATGAAAACCAATCAGAGCTCGACGTCGTTCTGACGTCACCGGAACCCCTGCGCAAGAAGCAGACGACTTGCTCTCCGGGCGCAATTGGCGATGGTAAGGATTAAGAAATTCTACTTCATCATCTTATAGACCGACACGATGTTGACAAACAAGCCGGCGTTTGCCCACATCAGGTGTGGGCACTGCGCGTGCGAAGAAACCGAATTCGCGTGAAGGGAAGCGTCTGCGCATGCGCAGTGCCGTCGACAGCGCCACCGCAGCTGCGTGACGTCAGGGACGCGTGTTGGTCTTTAGGGGATACGCTGTTAGGAAGCTCAAGCGATACGGTTCTGCTCTGTCGCGGACTGACTTAACATTTCGGGAGGACGGAAAACCGTTTCGTGCGATTTCAGATCAAGCTTCGGATAACTGGCGACAATGTGTTGATGTTGTGTGGTTACTCTAAAGCGTAGCTGGCTCGACGACTCTGGTACAGCCAAGGCTCGTCCTTGAGCAACCTTGAGCAAGGGGCTCGCGGTTGCAGCCTCCACTGCCTTGCGCCTACTCAGACTTTCGCGAGCAAATCAATAACGACAAAAACAACATAGTTTAATTTCTCTCTGCCAACGACGGTATTTGAACGACGAGAAATAAAGTACTCCCGTAAAGTTCCTATCCTATACAATTGGAGTGCGGGGTATACAATTGCCACCTTGCGAACGTGCGCATTTTGCGAAAATTCAGTGTCAATTTTTTATTTGATTTGTAATTAATTGCTAACTTTTTCTTCGAGTTAACTTCGCAGTCTATGACTGGAGGGAACATCGCAGCCTGTCGACGCGTAGGGCAGAAGCTACACACGTCAGAAAGCGTATCTGTTGGCGGATTCGCAAGCACGTATCTTACTCGTTTTATGAACTAAAAAAAAAAGAAAAAAAAAAACATTTACTACCTACCGGACAAGTATTGAGTCGTACGATTCACGGTAATGCTAGACATAACAAGTGCAAATATAACGCGCGGTAGCCAAAAATGCAATAAAACGTAACAATCAGTGATATAGTGGGTCACGTCTTGTCGGGCTACACTCAATCTTTCATCATCCGTAATGGAATTGGCTTCATTAACGTGCACCTTTGCATTGGACGCGCTTGACGTTCCTCCAACGATTGTATCTCACTATGTGTGCATTCTGCGGTGTGTTAGCTTTACCCCCTCTTTCCCTCGGAATTGAGCCGTGCACATACTTCACTGGCTTAAGTAACAATTACTTATACAAAAAAAAAAAAGAAGAAGAAAAGAACCCGCAATCTTTTACAGTGCGCATTAATCGTGTACCTAAGAACCACTAAAACAAAGCTAGATGGGGGTCGTGCAAAGTCAACTGCTCGCTCATGAGGTTGCATCATTTCAATGTACATCGTCACTCTCCGGCGTGCTCTCCCGCTCTGACACTGTGTGTAGGGGTTCAGACGTTTAAACCTCCACGTTAAGCGCCAGGTTCAAACGTTTAAACCTCCACGTTATTCGCTAAACAAGAGGACGAAACAAACACGGGGAGAGCAATTTTTGGCGTTTTAGGTCAGCTCTGAAACTCCAAGATAGAATAACACACATTGGATGCTAACCCAGAGTGAAAATTGAGCGCTAGTGCATCCGTGTCCGTGAAACTGTTGATACGGTTTTCTGTAAGAAGGTGTGTAGTTGGGCTAGTTGGTTGGTCATGTTGAAATGAAATCAATGAAATACAAATTTCGTTGTGTGCTTTATTCTGCACTCAAAAATTGGAAGCGTCCAAATTGCACTGTTTTAACGTTTGCCTTCTTCCACATGCTCAAATGTGACGTGCGGCACCCCGTGAAAGTTGTGACGGAATAATGTAGCAATGCGAGCTCTATAGCTTTTCCGGCATTATGCGTGACTGCGTGCCACTAAACGAAAGTGACCATGGAGCCATCATCGTATTCTCGCGGAAAGAGTATTCTGGATAACATGCTGTTTTTCATAAAGTATAAAAGGGTTGCGCAAATATTCGAAATTTCGAATAGTAGTTTCGAATAATACATTTTTTTTTTATTCGCTTCGAGAAGAACTGCACTGTTCGTATTTTTCGAAGTGTTGATCGCGGTGGGTCAGCCCCGTTGAACGCGCTTCTTACCGAGCACTTGTGCACTGCGAACAAGCAACACCCGCGGAAGCGAGCTCTGCGGGTGTTGGTTCTCCGCAGTGCAGCGATGCTCGGTGTGAAGCGCACTCAACGGGATAACACGCCACAATCAATTTGAAGTTAACTCGATTGGGCATATTTGGGCAGCTCTATAGGATTAATTTGATGTCAAATCCGTCGTTTACCGGCCATCCCAGGGCATGAGACTTCCTGAGGTCACAGTCCATGAGTATAGAAAAATTAAAATTAGCTCATAAATGGACAGGCAGAAAAGCCTGGAAACAATCTTCCCTAGTTTAGCTGGGTTTTTGTTTAAGCATGGCGCAACGGGAGTGAAAGGCGTCTAAAAGCTATTCTATATTGCATTTGAAATTATTCGGCCAAAACCACTATTCGCATGAATTTCGCTTCGAACTCAAAATCCGCTATTCTCACATGACTATAAAACATGCATAAAATTTAAAAAGTCTTTAAAAAAAGGAGAGGACAAGCTTTATACTAGACAGCAATGCGCGTAAAAAACCGAGTCACGATTTTGTCTGGATCACGAGGCGGGGAACGCGAAATGAAGCATCAGAGGCGAAGGGGTGCAAGGGGCTGAGTGCCGAGTTGTGCACGGCTTTAGTCGCTGGCAGGATTAGAACAACAGGGTGTAGCTTTCGTATGTCCGGCCTCCAGCACCCGCTCGTTTGCCGTCGTATTTTGGCTGCGCGCACGCAGGAAGCTCACGAGACGTCGAAGTCTTATCGAAGCTAAGAAGCTCCCGCAGGAAGCAGGACATTTGAAAAACCTCCCAGCTGTTTTCATCCCGCCTGTGTGCGATGTTAGGTCCTATTTTAAAAAAAAGTTATAGAACATTCCAAACAATAAAACAAAAGTGAACAAACAAAATGAATAGGATTAAGAAAAGAGTCACTTGCCGTTCGGATCCCTCGCCGTTTCTCAGACTCGCGGCAATGGCTCGTGGTGAGTTCTCGAGTGTGCCTTGTGGACGTACGGTTCTAATGGTGTGGCTTCAGGTGCTGGGGCCTAGGAGCAACGCTGGTTAATCCCGCCTCTGCATGTTCTTCTCCGGAGCCGCCGATCGTTTTCTTCTTTTATATGTTTCGCGATGTCATCACACAGTGATCTCATCTGAATTCTCGCGTATTCGTGGTCCGTTTCGCTCTCCAACGTCCTCGCTTCCTGGTGTGTCTTGCAGAAGGACTTCCACTACGAGTTCACCGAGTGCGACGACCAGGGCGGTCGCTGGCGAGTGTCGGTGCCCCGGCCCCAGACCTGCGTGGGGGGCGCCCCCAACGCCCCGCAGCGGGTGGACGACTGCACCACGTCGTGCGGGGCCGGCATGTACTTCGACAGGACCAAGCTCCAGTGCGTACGGTGCCCCGCGGGCAAGTACTCGCTGGGCGGCGGGCTCCGCTTCAACCAGTGGGACGGCGAGCTGCCGGCCGGGATGCACGTCCTCAGCGAGGCCATAGAGTCCAGCTTCAAGAGGAAGGCGCCCCTGATGCCGCCGCCGCTCGCACGCTCGGGCAACGCGGCTCCGGAAGCCGTACTCAACTGCTCCCTGTAAGCTTCCATTCGGATGTACTCAGAGAAGGGATAAAGTTGTCGGAATAGTACCTCGAGGCTGGTTCACCCACTTGCGACTGCTGGTGACCAAGTTGCTTGAAACCTCTTGTGATTAGATTACAGCGTTTCCAACTGCTGTGGGCCGCGTTTGTAATACGAGCTGCGAGGAAGTCGCAAAAGCGTTGATCGTCTGCAAGTGTCTCCGCCTTTCCGCCTGCTTTTCTCCTATCCACGTGACAACGCGGCGCACGTGCACTTGCAACACCTCCTAGACCAGGAAGGCCTCGGCGCTCTTTCCGCATGGCCGAAGAAGACTAAAAAGAAGGCACACGCGTGTGGCCTTCTTTTTCGCGCTCATAGTGTTGCCATCGGGGCCGCACTATGAGTGCGAAAAAGAAGGCAACACGCATGGATTTACCGTCATAGCAAGGAGTTACTATTGATGCAAGCGTGCTCATTACCTTAAATGCCAGCTGTGCACAACGTCTGGGTTAGGAAGCTGATTTTCTTAGACTGGCCAATTTTTGTTACATAAAATCAATTATGTAAAATGCAAGAACAGCGTAGGTGTATAACGAGGTTTGGAGATAGATAGGTATTACATTTAAGCACGAAATTGTGATTTATGGAATTATCCAAGATGGATTATTTATGAAGAATACTAGCCAAAAATTACACGATAAAGAAGGATTGAAAACGGCATTACAGATCACCGTACCAACACGGTTGGCGTAGAAAACGCATGTAATTACTGCATTATTGAATGAAAATATCACAGAGGTGCATTTAAAAGCAAAAAAATAGTTGTCCGATCTTCCTTTTGGCCTAGAGTTGTTATTTGCGCTAGAAAATTATACAATGCTTTTAATTTTTTAGAGACCCTGACCTTTCCTTTCCGCCATATTTGAATCCCGACACTCAAGTGCTGAGGCCTTCCTAGTCTAGGACGTGTTGGCACTTGCGACCAATTTTGGCAGGAGGAATCCGCCATTAAATTACAAACGCTCCCCATTGTCTGAGTTAAATTCTCTCCTCAATCTAGGCTCTCTAAGACGAAAGAACACTCTGGCGCCTTCTAGCGGGTAGCCGTGGAACACTTGGGACTTCCGTTTATCTCCTATTTGTTGCGCGCAGCATTCTTTCTCTCCGAACTATAAAACCTTTTGACGGTGTTATAAACGACCGTTTTGCGTAGATAGTACGCACATTTGATTTCGCGAATATCGCAAAACCTTCGCTCTAGTGAAATGCCATTCCAGGGCCACCTCATATGATGGCCCCAGCTTGCCGGTGTTATTCCTCGTCGCAAGAGATCGCAATAACTCGATCGTAAGCCAACGCAAGTCTGCGAGCGGGCTTTCACTCAACTGTAAACGACAACTGAGTGAGGGAGCTAATTCAAATCGCTCATACTGATAAAATTAAAAAAAAAAAAACTCATTCACATAGTTTTTAGGTGCCAACGTTCAAACATCTACAGGTTTTTTAAAAACTTGACATTCGTCTTATATTGATTAATTAACGTAGAATTCGTCATACTCAAGACGCCATAGTGAGCGTTTGATCAATTGTGAAAGGCTGACTTTTGGTGGCGCTCGTTCCCAATAGCGCCCTGTTTGCTCTTTCGTCGCAGGTACGGTTGGAAGGCGTTCTCTCCGTACGTGGCCTCGCTGGGCGGTCCCTGTGTCTCGGTGCTCACGTACTCGGCCAAGCTGGTCAAGCCGGGTGTGCTCACCTACGTTTACCAATACACGGACGACACGGTCATCTTCAACTTCGAGGTTAGCCCTAGAACTCCGCTCTTTCGTCGAGTTAGCTTCGGGAGGGAGGACTTTGAACTAATGTTTGTGTTCCTTAATAGCATCAGCTCTCGGAGCCCAGTGCAGTGTCCAGTGTTTACGGAAAACTCCCGTGTCGGGGTGTCCAGTCGAAAACATAAAGTGATGTACGCTTCGAAACGTTTGCTTTCACGCAAAAGAGAAGAGACTAACCTTGGTGCTATTTAGAATGCAAAGGTCAGTCTACCCAGTAAAAGTATGTTCTCGAGCAAATGAATTTTTTTTCATTTGAAATGAACTTAATATTGTAAAAAGCGTTTTACCTATAAAAACGGTGTCCTCTGTTTTGTTGTTCAGGAAAAAAAAAGGAAAAAATACCGGCTGATTTAATTAAGAGCTGCTCAGTTGCAATCGATTTCTTCTACGAATAGCTCACAAACGATAATATTTTGTTTACTACATATTGTTCATTGGGAACAATATCTCAAAAACGCTCTTGAATTTGGTGTGGTCAGATCTCGAGGACCAAAGGTGACACAAATAAAGAGAGGGAGAAAGCGAATAAGATAGGACCATTGCAGATAATCCAATGAGGAAAGTTAATAGTTTTTAAAAATGTGAAATCGCTCAATTGCCAGGCCATTACAAAAGACTGTATGGAAGAAATATAGAAGTAAAAAAGACAAAACGTGGAACGACTGTATGGCTTTGGGATATGCTTCATGCTCGCATCCTGCGCTCCCATTCAATCCTGCTTATTATGCGCACGAAGCACTTTGCTGCGGAACCTGAGGATGAAGCATCCGCATATAGTCGTTGGCCTGAATGGACCTTGGTAGCATCTCGCTTTCTCTGACTAAGTAAACCACTTTGCGGTTGGTGTTCTCGGTGCAGGCGCAGAATGACCAGTGCAAAAGCATCGAGCACTCCGAGATGTACAAGTGGCCACAAACCACGGAAGAGGGCAAGTGGAAAACGATGAATGTAAGTGTCGAGAGTCTCCTGCCACGGTGAACTCGAAGATTCGGTTTCGAGCGTTCCGACCTACTTGTTCGACCAATGCCGCCGTCGCAGGTTAACCTCCAAGCGGGGCTGAACGTTCTCTACTGGAAGACGGTCGGGATGGACGCTGGCGAAGGCAAGAGCAACAGGCCCGTCAAAATCAAGAGCATCGAAATAAGTGGTGAGCTTTAAACCTTAAAATTCTTCCAACTGGCGTCGCTCATTGGCCGGTGTAACGGAAGTTCTTGGACTGGCTCGTGACAAACGCTGTGCCGGTCCACCAGGAGTGGCGTACACGTCGGAGTGCACGCCGTGCGAGCCAGGCACGTTCAGCGACCAGGAAGGAGCGGTGGAGTGCAAGCCCTGTCCGATCAACACCTTCTCCATAGGCGACTCTTCCCAGTGCACCCCTTGCAGAGCCGAGCAGTTTGCCCGTGAGTGAACTCGACTGTCGCCGGAGGCCACACGGCTGATACATCCTACAAAAGACCGTCTGCAGATACGGTCTGTTATGACTATTGTAAGACATGTCCCGACAACTGTAATGCATCAGAAGGAGAGTACTTTGAACGTAACTAAAATTTGGACGTGCAAACATAAATACACGTAAGGATGGCCGCGTCCTGTCTAGTTCTTTCTTCGTGTTTTGTCCCTGTTGTTTTGGCGTATTACACCGTGATAAATACACGTCTTTGTAATAATAAATTCCGGTTTATATTTGGTTCCCACTCGTATTGTGTTCACCTACTCATAATCTATATAACTTGCTCCACCTCACTGACTGTTTTTACTCTAAAAACTGTGTAAGCACACTATTAAAGTTCCAAAATGAAACTACTAGTGTATCGCTTTTAATTATTTAAATAAATAGAGTGACTAAAGCGGGGCTGCTTGTTGTGCCCGGCAGTGCCGGGTTCGTCGGAGTGCGGCACCCGGCCCCCGTGCACCTCGGACGACTACTTCGAGACGCGGAGCCCCTGCGACCGGAACAACCAGACCACGGTGTCGTACGAGTGGGTGTCGCCCAAGGTGTGCGACCAGCGCCACCAGGACTCGGTGCATCTGCCGGTGTCCGGCAAGCAGGTGCCCTGCCCGCCCTGCAACCCGGGCATGCACCACGGCAGCAAGTACATGTGCGACTACTGCCCGCCCGGGAACTACTCGGACGGCTACAAAGGTAGAGCGAAGCACGATCGGCCTTCCTGATTGCCTTTTCGACCGTCGGAAATTTTCAACGAGATTAAAAACAAGTAAAAGAAAATTGCAGTCGTATTTTGATGTATCGATCAAACTCATTATCGGAATATCGTTTTATGTGGAACGCAGCAGACGCTGACGTCTAGCGTCAGCTTTCCTGGCGTGCGTCGCCGCGTCTTTTCAAAGCATCGCTGAGTCTTTTAAAAGTGTCCTCACGCTAAAGCGGATTTAGAAATCAAGCTAAAAAAAGAGGCACTCGTTTACCATTTTGTTCTTAGCCCGAGACTGAGGCAGGAAAAGAGGAAAGTTTCAAAGTAGAAGAAAAATGAACAGTCGAGGACGCGTCTCTAACACAGCTAAACTCGTTTGTTGTTGTTGTTGTTGTTTTTTTGTTGTTGTTGTTTTTTTTTTTTTGGGGGGGGGGAGTAGGGGGAGGGCGTGAGGGGGATCAAAGATATCTGACATCACAGACGAATGTGACGTCAGATCCGTCTGTGAAGTGTGCGACGCTGTGACGTCGCACGCTTTGCCCATGATGTCACAGACTGATGTGACGTCATGAGCGAAGCGTTACCCAAATATCCTTTGTCCCGCTTGTTCCCCTCCTCCAGGGATTATTTTCGTCATTCTTGTCCTGCTCGCTTGCATCTTTGCATTTAATTGCATTATCATCATAACCTTCAAATGCAAACTTCACCCTTGTTGGTGTTAGACTGGTGGCAGCTGATAAAACCCGTTTGCTCTACTGACATCCAACCCCTGATTATCTCAGTCGGTAGAGCGCTCTACTAGAAATCGAGAGGTCCCGGGTTCGATACCCGGACCAGGCGGATTTATTCGGTGGCGCACTAGTCACCTAGCTGTTGTTTGCAGGTTTGTGTTTGTCCTTTGTCCCGCTTGTTCCCCTTCTCCAGGGATTATTTTCGTCAGTCTCGTCCAGCTTGTATATATATATTGTCCAAATATTGCACAATTAATATAAATACCATATATTATGCAAATATATTTTTATAATCTAATATTTGCCATTTCACGAAAGAAAAACTAAGCATTTATTCCTAAAAAAGCTGGTGTATGTAATTTTATACAAATGAAGTTGGCCCTTGAAGGGTATGAGAGGGGGGCGGGGACGACCCCCCCCCCCCCCCCCCCCTCCTTGCTTTCTTTTTAAATTCGCCCTTTTATAATGTCAATCTTTCCTAGAGATTACTTTTTTTTTTGTTGTTATAAATCTTTTCGAAGCTGACTAAGCATTTTCTAAGCGTCGCGGCTAGCGACCTGACTTTTGGGGAATCTGACCTAGCTTCCGCGGAAGCATGCATTTCTTCATTAACAAACCTTGGAGCTTGATTCGAAATCTAAAATGACGCTTGGTCAAAATAATGATTGACAATGTTTGATCTACGTTATTGTTTTTGAACTCATCTTCGCGGCAAACATGGCAGCCAATCGAACATCGCGATCTTTCAGGGCGCGGTTGTCGTGCGGAGGCAACAAACCATTTCGTGAGCAATTCTGTTGATGCATGTTCCAGTAGAATCCCTGTCAGAATAGGTACCTTATTAGCGATTGTAAGTCGCTACAGAGAGGAAATAAATATGATGAAGGACCTTCTTCTCTGCCAGATTTATAATGCTGTTAGTGGGCAAGTCGGAATTAGGTTTCAGGGTCATAAAAAGAAAAACTTAAATAAAAAGCGAAGATGAAAAAAAATTGTAGCTTCCGCGCACGATTTTGTCGTTCTCAAAGAAAATATCTGCCAAACTTTTATGCAAAATATAAATTGCTCAAACATATTTTGTTGAAATCTTTAATATGAAGCGCAGATCCTAGAGATAAAAATAAATACCTGAGATTGTTCGACTTCCTTTACAAAACACTTCACTGTCGCATTTATATTAGAACAAAGTTGCCCTGTGCATAATTGTGTCGTCACATTGCCTAATTTTGACAAAAAATAACTGGAAGTCAACGGGAGGTGGTTGCAATTTTCATATTTCTTACTATCTCATTATGCTACTCGCAGCTGGATTGGTTGAAAATTATTTGTACATTCAACGAATAAAAATACGCTTTCGCCTAGTGAGGTTGACTTCCGCGGGACTGCGGCCAGTATTCGTACGCCGTGCCGTAACATTTTGTTGGGCATCGTGCGCGGTCTCTTCGGGTCTGCGCAGAATGCCAGGACTGCCCGGCGTCCACGGTGCCAAACTACGGCTTCTTCCTCAAGACCTGGCAAGAGCTACCCAGCAACATGGGTTCCCGCTGCATGAGTTTGGAAGGTGAGGATTCGCGCAATGTTTACACAATGAATTGTTGCGCGAAATTGGCCTCTTCATTGTTGAGGTGCCTTTCACGTGTGTGAAGACGTTTGACCGCCTCCTCAGATTTTCTATACAGAAAAGTGAACACGAAGTGCTGGTTAAAAACAAGACGGTCTTGGCGCAACGTTGTGGCACGCGAACAGCAACGCGTGGTTTTGGCGTAGTTGTTCATTTTGGTTTGTTCGTGCGCAGGGCTCACACCTGGTGTGCGCAAATGCAGATTACTTTTTAAACAGCGTTTCTACTCCTTTTTCCCCCAAACTGTTCATGACGGGAACATGCTTCCCGAGTTATTATCAGAGCATGTTCTGTTTACTCGTTCTCTTGATTAAATAAAATTGTTGCGACGTTGCTGTTTATGTTCTGTATAGTTTTGTATTCCTGTTTTCTGTGCCGTCTTTGATGTTTTTTTTAATTAAATGAAATCGTCGCGACGTTGCTGTTTATCTTTCGTATAGTTTTGCATTCCTGTTTTTTATGCTGTCTTTGATGTTGCTGTATCGCTCATTTCTTTATGCCCCGTTCCGCCTTTACTGTAATGTCCATCGGACGATGTACGTATGAAATAAGTAAATACGAAACAATGTCTGTCTATAGACGAATGTAAGGCTCTGACGTAACGCCGCAGTGTGTTTTCGGTACGGCGCATGTGCAGATGCTCGTTTTTGATATGGGCAAGCGCCGTTTGTAGAGAGCGCGTTATCCAATAAATAGAGGGAATTCGACGAGAGCATCGCGGGCCTGTTGCAACTGGGCGGCCGCCGCGACGAGCGCAGGCTGGGGCAGCTGCCGCAACGCGACCGCCTGGAAGGCCCTGGGCAGCTACATCCAGAGCGGGCAGGACCACGGGGAGGACGCCTACCTGATCCTCCAGCTGGACGTCGGGGGCTTCCGCAGCAAGGGCCTCATGTCAGGGACCAGGACCACCGCCTTCGGGACCATCAGCTTCACCTTCGAGCTGGACTGCGTGGGGCTCTGCGAGTTTGTCTTCATGCAGGTCAGGCACTACACCGTCGGTATAGTTCCACGAGGGGGGCGAGGCAATGCGTACGTAGAAGACGAGGCCTCCGCATTGTTTCGTGGTTAGGGAATCCCCGACCCGCCCGGAGCGGGAAAGCGCTCCGGGCGGATCGGAAGAATCTTTCAGCGTGAGACGCTGAAAGATTCGTTGGCGACGACGCCGACGCGAGCTAGGTGGCACTGCGTGAATCTAGCACTATTGAAGACGCTTTTGGGGGACGGCAGGAAGGAGGCGCACGCTTTGTCTTCTAAGTGGTGTTGAATCAGGCAAGCCGCAGAAGGGGCATGTTACAAAAACTAGCGGAGGTCACTCGGTCGAATTTTTAGCGTGAAATCAATGTCGTCAGCCCTCTGCAACACGTCACTTGGTAGTGCGACTAGCGGGAAAGTAGTATAGACGTTACCGCGTTTAGTTTCTACGGGATACGCTTTCAAGAAAAAACAAATTCGTTAGGTGAAATAGTTTATTTGTCGTATTACATTTTGGGGTGGGGCGTGTGGCTTGACGGAGCACAGAGGCGTCGTTATGACGATGGCCATCGCAGTAAGCTATCGAAAGTCAACATGGTCGAAATCGAAAGTCGAAGCGAAAACTTCCGTGTCACCTCTTTACAGAGACATACTGCATCATTGTTTGAAGTATTTCGATTTAGCAACATCGGATCCCTATTCGGTGCATCTATCCCTATGAAGGAAGACATTGTGTAAGCTTACGCACGCTGCCGATGAATTGATGTTTTTTCCGGCTGATTTTACGTTTATTTAGCTCTCGGGGCTGACGTGTAGAGGCTTCACGTGTGTGCGAAGTTTACTCATAAATGTTGACACTGAGCACGAAGTTTTGTTTTCAAAGTTCATGTCGTTGATATGCGCAGCGTACACTCCAAACCCACCGACAGTTTCGATAACTTCCGTTCAGCTGTAAAAAAGAAACGGGAGAGGCGGTCGCGCGCCGTATTCTTGCCAATTATGCCAGGTGCCTGGCGCGCAATAGGCAAACGAACCTCCGTTGTTTATGCACGCAGTCTAAGCTAGACCATTTCAGGTAAGTTAGCGGAGCGTCTCGTTGCGAAAGAGTGAGCTACTAAGTAATAGTTTTCAGAGCAAAACGACCGAAGCGCGTCCTAACAGGTTGGCTTCACCGCAAGATACGTGTGCTGGCAGTGAACCAAGCTTGCCGGTTTGCATTGAAGTTCAAGGAATTTTGCGTGAAGAACAAACGATCAAGCAGACTTCACATCAATAATGTGGGTAACTGAAGCATATGGGACTCTGTAGCAAAAAAAAAAAATTGGTTGGGTAGTCTCCTGATACTATATTAAATCGTCTGGCAAAAAAACAATTGGGGTGTGTCAGTGTCTCTTTAATGAAGCCCAACCTGCAGCTGAGGTGCCGTCTCCACATGCTTCACATTGAGGACTTCAGCGTCGATTACTTCTTGCGAGTTCGACGCCACCGCGTTTGCATGGAGAGCCACAAAAGCATGTTTTCTTGGTCTTTGTTCTTCAACAGCTGCTTTAAAACCGGAATAGGCTACTGAAAAGTGATCGCGAGCAAAAAAACGGCTCGCGTAACTTTTTATAGATCCGTGTTAAATACCCATCAACATCTTCCTTACTGTCAAGTTCTGGCTGTCAAAAGAGGCCCATTGTTAAAAACAATTTAATTATTTTTATCTTTTCAGTCGAGCCCACGTCAGGGCGTTTCTGTCGTGAAGTCCTGGAGTGGAAGACAGGAGAAGCAGCACTTCACGTAAGTTAAATCTTCGTGCTCTGTTTTTTTTTTTCTTTTACTGTACAGCTTAATATTGTGACGTTATTTAGTTGTAAATTGTTTTATTCTTATTTAACATAGAGCTAATGAGTCCTTAAAAAGCCCCTGAAAAAAAAAATTTAATGTCTAGTTGGGACACGCGTGTCAAAAAATTAATTTTACGCAAAAAAAAAAAAAAAAAAAAAAAAACAGCAATATTGACGGCGCGAGACGCAATTCAGTCGGCAGTCACCTCCTTTCCACTTGTTTTCTCTCTCGGCATTTCGGGCGCGCGGAGGAGAGGTGGATCGGCTTGGCCATCACCTTGAGGTGGAGAGAGTGTATGACCATTCCGTGACGTCATAGACTTTGCGCGCAGAATTTAGAATAAATCTCACGCCGTCAATATTGCTCTGAAATTAATATTTGTCGCGTCAAATTAATTTCTCGACACGCGTGTCCTAACCAGATTGTTCACTTTTTTTTTTTCAGGGGCCTTTTAAAGCGTTTATAGGAATTTCTCACCAACACATCTATTTTATACGGATTTTTACTGTAACAGCCTTTATTTTTGCGGCACTATTTTCCGCGAATCGGTAAAAAAGGACTAATCGCGGCCACTAAATTTCGCGAATTCCAGACGCCTTCATTGAAACTTTTAAGGACCGAAATTTTCGCGCGCCCCTAAAAATTCGCGAACTCTTCGATTCGGGAAATGCGCGAAAATTAAAGGCTCGCGAACATTAAGGGCTTTACAGTAGTAGTAGTAGTAATTAATAAATTTATGTTCCAACAAATAATTATTGGTTCTTCGTTTTCTTTTGTAGGCATTATATTACAATCAACGACAGCTACATCTTCAGTTGGGCTTTCCAACGTTCTGGAAGCGATGGAACGACGTCTAAGAACAACCGCAGGCGACAACCCGAGGATTCCGCCATAATCTACGATATCCAAGTGACCAACACAGTCAAGGGAGGTGCTGAAAAGTGCATGCCATGCCCTGAAGGCAGCGAGGCCAAAGGGTAAGTCTGCGTCTACTTACACTGAAGCAGTAATATAAATGACCACCTAAAATTATTTCGATTACTTCAAATACAAATATTTCCAGTGGTTGAACAGGTCACCGTCATGTTTACTCTTTGTTTATTTGTTCAGTGACACCTCAGTCAGTGATGACACTAATTGACATAGCCACACTAAACACTATTGATTCCTTGTGTTTGAAGTTGAAATTTTCACATTTAGTTTGTTTTAAAGAGTGCCTAATATGTTGATGCAGCCTTACAATTATGCTATGCAGAAATATCTTAATTTGGTTTCGAACCCACTATGGCCCTTAAGTCTAGCCGTTCTTACACCTTCTTCTAGGCTAGCAGGCAACAAAGTACATAGATGAAAGCTAAACTGAGATCTATTTGACGAATGACAGAAATGCTTGGCTACAAGATATTTTAAGGTTTCTGTCAAGGGTATACAGGGAATTTAAGTGAAACGTGAACCGTCTTCTTCACACCGGATATATAAACTTCGCAATGCAGTAAGTTCAGACTTCGCCTTAATGTTACTTGAGTGCAGTGGTTTTCAACCATTGCTATTTCATGTTTCAGCGCTTCCGTGCAGACTGGCGGTCAAAGGAGAAAAAGAGGGGGACGGTTTTAAAATGATTGCTAGGATGACAAAATAATCAGTAAAGCGTGTTTTCTCGAATGTAGGCCGATTACGAATATAAGTTGACCGCTGTACTAGTGAACTTTCCACAAATATATTTTTAAAAAAACTATCTTTTTTTAAATTTGTGTTGCGGATATTATTTGCTGAAGGGGTAGAGAAAAAAAGGCATGGTGCCTGACAGTGCCTCTGCCGCCCGAATTCAGTTCAACAGCTTAAAAATACATACACAATATAGATACAAGAAAACAATACAACCGAAAATTGGGAGCCATTCCACTCTGCGAAGGTGGATGACCAGCGGAGCTGTTTAGCACACGACACAGACGTGACGCAGAATTTGGAACAAAGGTACAAACACATTGATTGTCTTGATCGGTGGTAATCGTGACGAAAGGTACGCATGCACACGTGCCGGCCGCCGCCGCCGCTGACATTCTCGTTGCCGTTCCCGCCGTTGCTCTTCGTAGGCGCGTTGCTCTTCAGAGGCCAGATTCACGAAGAGCTTCTTAGTTTACGACAACTTAGCTAAGAAGTTCGTAAGTTAAGAACATCGTAAGAAGAGGAGAAATCGGTATTCACGAACGCGTTCTTAAGTGAGAGGAGGAAAGCGACGTTGTCGTACGGAGAAACTAAAACTTACCGGTGCTGTTGCTATGGCGACGGCGTCTTCGGCAGCACGAACAACCAATCGGAGAGCTCGGCATTTGTTCGGAGCCGTTCGGAGCCGTTCGGAGCACGTGGATTTTTCATAACAAACACAGCCGGCCTTTCTGCCACCGCTTGTCTGGGGTTCGTATCCGTGCAGTGATATGTCGACGCTAACGCGATTTAAACTCGCCCGAATGCCGAGGCCGGGATGCGTAACCACCCCCATTGACCGCTACGAACTCGATCGCTACCAAGTCAACACAACTGTCATCGTTGGTAAAAGGCGGCCCGCAGTCGTTTGCAAAGCGACGTAGATGGGAAAGCCGCGGCGTTTTTTGCGGCCTCGGAAATGCAGGAGCGAGCCGACGTTAAAAAAGATACGTTTGAACTACGACAGTGTCAGCAAGAGCCACGTAAATGCCTGTTCACACTACGGAGCGGACACGCGCGTTTGATCGAAGGGCACGACCCGCAACATGGTATGTACACATTGGCGCTGTTGGACCGCGAATTGATAAGCGCTTCGGGACCGATCCTTTACAATTGCCACTCGATGCTGACGTGACACCAGGCGAAGAAAGGTTGGACCGGCATTGCGACCCACGAACTGTTACAGCGATCGACAGTGAGGTGCAGTCGTGTCAGAATAAAATGGAATACTAATAACAAAGTGTACATACCATGTTGCGAAGGTAATCCATACGGCGTTTATTTGAGCTTGATATCACACAAAACAGAGATAGAATCGATGAGAGCCCCTTTTCGACGACAGCGTTCGTCACCGTTGCCTCGGAAAACAAGAGGATGGCAAGAGGAAGAGATTGACCTCTTAATCTAGAATTGAGGTCAGCGATCAAACTATAATACGGGAAGGGTTCACAAGGGTCGCGCGGGCATATTCCATTCAGCACGCCAGCCGGTCGTGGGCAGACGGTCTTCGCCAAGGACCGTCAGATCATCGCTGCGCCGAGTCGGAGTGCCTGCTAGGCCTATCTGCCGATCGGTCGGCGTCCGTACTTGTGGCCCTTGAAGTTTTTCCCGGGTGTCTGTGGATACAGCGTTCTTGTTCGTTCGTCGTGGTCTGTTTCAAGTACTTTTTACTTGTTTCTTGCTGCTTGAAGTCGGGACGCGTGAGAAGCGCACGTAGAAAAATAAACATCCGTTGGTTGCCGCGACCAACTGAGCGACGCTGTCGGCCATGCTGATTTGATCGTAAGAAGTGCGTAAGACAGCTTCGGAGCTGTCGTAGGATTTCGTCGTAACCTGCGCAAAACTTACGAAAATTTCGTTTCGTGAATACGGATTTGTTCTTAAGTTTCGTCTTACGCACATTTTTGGCGTAAGATCGTTTCGTGAATCTGGCCTCAGGAGTCTGGACTATACACGGCCTCCCCATTACGACGAGAGAAGTGAAATTGAAAATGGAGAATGGCAACTTGTCTCTGTGGTTTTTTTTATACACATTTGCGTGAACGACTATCGCCGCCCCGAGAAGCCGGAGGAAACTAGACGCGCGCGACGGGACCGCCACCCGGCGGAAAGTAGACACGCGCGACGGGACCGCCACCCCGGGAGAGCGGAAGGAAAGGAAACTAGGCACGCAAGCGGCTTGGAACGACGACAAAGAGAGGATGGTGCAAGCGTAGAGTTTTTGGTCACGCACATGAAAGCTTCAATGAAAATGCAGGCCATGGGTGTTCCACGCACCGCACGCGTCCGCCCTCCCCGTGTATAAGATTCGAAGCAAATACCAAAAATAAAGCGTTGAAAAACGCGCGAGATAGATGCCATTTGTTTTAGGCGTTTGCTTTAGAACAGTTACTGTTGTAGACGCCGGCAGGTGCGGCGCGTGGGTGCGGTGCGGCGCGTGGATGCGGTGCTGCGCGTGGGTGCGGTGCTGCGCGTGGGTGCGGTGCGATTCCAGCGTAGGGGTTTTGGTCATGCACACAAAATATCCATGGTACCCTAGCCATAAACAGCTTCTCGGTAAAAACAATACAGCACTTGTCTCGTCACGTAGCAGCAGCATCAATAATTCAGAATACATACGCTCACAAAATAATCATAATGAAATAAAAAAAAAGTATATACGTTCATAAACAACCCAATTTTAAACATCACGTGGTCAGTGCATACCAACTTGTTTTTGTTCCATCCTGCCTGATCAAACTTTCGGATTTATAATTCTGAAACTGCGGTGGTATGTCGCAGCTGGTTAACCATATGTTTCAGCAAAACCAATGCATCAAACTCGACACTCAGCACACGTAAAAGTTTCAACATTATCTACCTTATGTTTTGTTTCTCGCGTTCATATGTACAGCCGAAAACTGCCGTTCGCACTTGTACATTTTGTTAAAGGCATTACAGTCGTAATAAGTACATCCAGGCTGAATATCTTCCATCACAATAGTTAGGTCTAGAATTTGCGGAATTTTTGTTTTTTTTGTTATTTAGAAGGCAATTCTTTCGACATCGATCATGCTATTGATTCTTACCGCGTCATTACAGTCGTGATAATTACACCTAGGCTAAATACCTTACCGCCAGGGGACCAGGCATACTTCCAGCCGTGCCCCCTCCCCCCCCTCCTTTCTGTGCGATCGCTGCGCCGAGTAGTTTATTTGAGCTGGTCAAGTGCTTGTTTAGGTATACGGGACTGCTAGGCCCACCGTAATCAAGGTCTAGAGTTGTAAGTCTGTGCTTTTTGGATTTTCGCTATTTTTTTTTTCGTAGGTTGTGCAAAACAAACGCTTCCTTTTTTTTTTGGTTTACAAGTGGAAACACGGTGAGATATGTCTATTTCACAATCAGAGACAGGTTTATTTAGTATGTTCACAATTCGTTTGACAATGTCGTAGGGGTCCCCCTTTACTAGGACACCTTTTATTTCAAGGTTATTGGATCTTTGATATTGCTCGAGCTCCTCCACTTCAGTAGTAAGCCTGACGTCCTCGGCTGCTAGCGCGTCATTTCTTTTCAATAATTTATGAACTTCTATACGAAGTTCTGTCATATCTCATCTTTAATTTATTTTACACCATCGCAGGTGTCACTGCAAAATTTCGCGCTGTCCTCGACAGCTCTTAGGTCAACCCTGATCTCGCGCCTTAAATTGTCAAGTGATTTTGCAAGCTCTTTGATTTTTTTACTCATTGTTACGAGGCAACCACAAAGAAAAGATTACAACGGTTCTAGCCCGAGACGATAGGTAAAATGACAAACAAAACAGTGTTGGTTGCGTTCGGCTGCAGTGCATGACAGTTCCTGAGTTCACACAGAGAAAACAATTCCTCGCCTGCAAAACAACAGAGGGGAGGGTCAGCGACTGTCCTTGAACTGCACCACTGCCGAACTGTAGACGGAGGTGGTATTCGAATAAATGTTGACTAAATGTTAAAGGGTAAGAAAAGAATAGTCATGCAAGCGTTCATTTCACAGCACGCCTTCTCACCCTCACTCAAACGCATTTGCCAATCACACTTACCACGTCATCGTCTGAGCTAGCTAAACAGATAACCATCATGTATGACATCTAACCATCATGTATGACATCTATACTGCTGCTGCGACTGCTGTAGCGCCGAAAAGGGGAATGGAGCCTCGTCAGGTAGCTTCGGCAACCTTTTGCTCCTCCCTCCCCAACATTTCTGATGTCAAATAAACTTCAATTCAATTCAATTCCAAACTGTGGCACCCGCGCTGCCCCAGTGCACTGGCACGCTTGCATGAAGCTTCACCGCTTTGCAACCGCGTGCGCGGAGGAGCGGCTGACGTAGGGGTACATTGCGGTTAGATAAGTGGGGTTGGAAGTGTGGCTCAATATTAGACTTTTAATACTGCGTATAGAAGCAGACGCAAGCACAGTACATTTGCGTTAGCGTAGCGTGCTCCACGCCGCCCATGGGCGTCGTTGCCATGTGCCAATTTAAGACACAGTTTGGGCTGCCGCGCAGTGGTGAAACACGCAACGTAAAAAGGTTGATAATTCGGCTAGTTGGTATTTAGAACACGCAACGCCAACTCAAACGCACAGTGCTTGCGTTTTCTCGTATACGCAACAATAAAACTCACTGTTATAGGTAGACATAACTCCAAAGACATATCCATGCGCTGAAAATCTTCAAAATAAAGCTTCAATCAATCAATCAAGTACTCTATTATAGGTCGACTTTTGTGTGAGGGCTTTGCAAACCCCCTTTTGAGAAGCACTGCCCGATCAGATGGGATGAGACAACGGGGCTTCAGAACTTATCATCTGATTCAAATTTTAAAAGCATTAGAAACCATTAGTGCCTAATGCTTTGTTAAGGAAAAGTGAAAACTTATCTGAAATAGAAGGAAGAAATAATTGTACCTCAATAGTAAAAAAGGTTAATAAGGTGCAATCTCCATTTACAGTCCATTTCGTTTTGTTCTTCCGTGCACTGGCAGTTTGATACAACATTGTTGTATCCCGAGCGCTGCGTGATGTCGACCTCGTATTGAACTCTTCATTTCAACGGAAACTAGTAGAGCTATAGCATTTTACAGGGGATCGGTGGCCGAGTGGTCTATGCGCACACCAGCTCGGAGCACGTGGAGCGAAAGCTCGCGCTGCAGAACCCAGGGATCCTCGGTTCGAGCCCCACCCCTGCCCGTTTCGATCTGGATGAGCATCGTACCGGCGTGCGGTCGTGTATCACTACTGCGTGATGCACGTTAAAGACCCCAGGCTAGCGGTTGTACCGCACTGGCTAAATTTCTCATCTACAGCTGGGAGACTCGTCGCCCCTGTGAGGCAGACCAAGTTCTAGGCTGTATAAACATACACACAGCCCAATTTTTTATAGCATTTTACAGAATAAAATTGGCACAAAGTGAATTTCGGTTACTAAACAAACACTGTGGCATGTTCAGGTGCATTCCCTGTGGTGCTGGACAGTACATCCAGGACAAGGAAAACCTGGTCTGCCAGAGTTGTCCTGCCAACACGTACGTCTCCGAGCGGCTACCCTACGGCATCGAATCCTGCAAGCCCTGCGGGCCCGGGCTACGAAGCGAAAACGGGAGGTCCTGTTACAGCGATTGCCATGTGTTCCTCGAGCATGGCCAAGAGTTCGACTTCCATACTTTGCCCTCGTGAGTTATGACCTCTGGTTATGGGCTGGTTTAAGCTTTTGCCCGCACCATGTGATCTAAAATGCGTATGTTTCAAGACAAAGTAAAATTCCAGGATGATTTCTTGATCTCACGGCAGGTTCCTTGAACTTAGAGGACGAAAACTCTTCACGGCCAGTGGAACGCAGTATTATCACGCCTTCAACATCAGCCTCTGCGGAAACGATGGAAAGCCCGTAGCCATGTGTACCAACAATGTTACCTACCATGTAAGACACATCTCAATTGATTGCTGGAATTTAATTACTTTTGCTTGTAATTCTTTCAATATTCTATATTTCCCCTTCAATTTTAGATGCAGGATGAATATGCTGGTGATAACATAAAATCTCAAGTGTGTAGATCAACCATTGTGCCCTCCCAACAAAGCGAGATAAGTGCACCGCTCTCCATACAGTCTGTTAGGTGAGCCTCTCTTCCCGCAAATCTATTTGATTACCAAGTAGGACCGTCACACTTTGTATTCTTTTTCCATGTGAAGCCTTGGAGATGAACTCATTGGAATCACAACCAAGTCATCCTACAACGACATATCCGTCATCAAGGAATTCTTACCGGGTGAGGTTTTCAGTTGTAGAACAGAAGCATCCGTAGTAATAATCTAGAGCTCACATCGTAGTCAATAATGCTGAAACATTTCATCTCAACAGGTCCTGGTCAGAAACCCGACATACACTTTTTTTACTACTCGTCTATGTAAGTAATCGAAGCTGACTGTATTTTCTTTTATTTTCTTGTTTTCTGTAGATGCTATGCTTCCACTGTCATATCATTTCATTCTTTCAATTACAATTTCTTTAAATTTCTATGGTGTGAAGGTTTGAACATGAGCAAGGAGGGAAAGGGTGCTAGTTTTCTGAACAAGATGTGAAGTTTGGTCATTCAGCCAATGCCCCTGAGTGGCAGAGTGGTCACATCAGTCGCTTTGACCTTGGAACTGCACTGCCCTCGTGAACTGGACTAAGGTAGCTTGCTTCTGCATTTCAGGCCCACACAAGCTTGCCAAAAAGGACGTGCTACAACTATTACGCTACGCTGTGACAAGAACGCTGGCCCCAATGGCACCGTCACCATGCCCACATCTTGTCCCGATGGAACTTGTGACGGCTGCACTTTCCATTTTCTTTGGAGTACGGCCCTAGCTTGCCGAATTTGCATGCCAGATGACTACCAGGTAGGTTGCTCACTTTTTTTTTTTAAACAAGGTGAAAAGGTGGTAGCAAAAATCAGTCCACTTCCAGCTGGATTATGGAACTGGAAATGAGGCAGTCCAGATGGACTGCCTCATTTCTAGTTGCATAATCCAGCTGGAAGTGGACTGATTTTCGCTTGGTTTCAGGGAGAGATATAGCTAGGGTTCGGATTTTTCGGTTTAAACCGATAAACACCGATAAAAGTATGCCGAATTCATTTTCGGAAATTCGGTTTTAACCGAAAAAGGTCAGTTTTTAGGTTCAGCGTTTTCGATTAAAACCGATAAAAGTACGTCGAATTCATTTTAGAAAATTCAGTTTTAACCCGAAAAGTTCACTTTGACCTTCCAGTCGTACCGCAGGGCCGTGGCAAAAAGTGGAACGACAGTGTCTATCGAAACGTGTCCGAATGTATGGGATACACGGGTGCCATCACGACGTTTTGGTTTAATGTGCGCATCATTGATCGAAACGTGAAGTCCGAAATGCGCCATGACTTCGCCATGTACGAGCGTGTAAGGAAGACTGACTTGATGCGAGCTCTGCATGTTGTATTGTGCTTCAAAACGTCGCACCGTGTCTCTTTTGGCAGTCACAATTGGTTGATTGGCCGATTTTGGCTCAGGCAGCGCTTCATCTCCTGAGCCTGCTAGTGCCCAGTGTTAGCGTTGAGAGGACATTCTCGAAGCTCAGGATCATATTAGCAGGAAAGAAAGAGTGCGCATCAACAAGGAGAACCTGAGAAAGTACATCTGTGTGTGTAACATCACCTTCTGCATATCCTGATATGGCAGAAGGTGATGTTCCATGATTTTGGGCATATAGGCTTCATATCTGATTTGTTTGTACTTGTGTTTTTTTTTCTTGTTTCTTTTACAGTTGCACACATTTGCTAATGAAGTGTTTATTTCTTTTTAAGTGTATCTGTGCCGTTATTCTTTGAGTATCAGAGCTACAAAGAATATCAGAGTTACGAAGATAATCTGATACGGTGTCCGTCGGTGTTTATTGTATATTCACCAAAAAAAAAAACGATAAACTTTTGTGGGCATAAATTTACGCCGATAAAAACCGAAAATTGAATTTTAAAATAAACACCGAAAAAAGTACGCCGAATTTTGAAAAAATAAAAACCGAAAAATCCGAACCCTAGATATAGCATACTGTGATGTTTCCCCAGCGATTCTTAGTCTTTGTTGTGATCAATTCTGATTCTAAGGAAAAATATGAAAGAAGTAGCCCCCCACTCAGGGCTGTCATATGAAATACTAAAAGTGATATATTTTAATATAAAGGTTGTATTTGAAATGTGGAAAGAGTTGAAGCATAGAAAATATCAGTGTGTCGAACCGAAGAAAATACGGGTTCGGTTACGGTTCAGGTTCAGGTAAATTTATTTTGTTCCGGTTCAGTTCCGGTTCGATTAATTCTATCCGCGAACCGGTTCAGCGCCGTCAGAGTATATTATAGCTCGATATACTCTGACCGGTGGTTGGGGCAGCGAAGAGCAGATATATTTCATGAATGCTCATTTCAACTGTAAATAAAATTTCTTTCTCTCCCTCAAACATTATCAAACTCCACAGCCTTTTCTTTTCTCATTCCGATGGAAGCAAGCTTCAAGAACTCGCGCGTTCTAGAAACGTGTTATGAAATGAGCACACAGCAGCATTTAGGATTTACGAGATTGTAGAAAAATGAAATCCCGTGACGCGATTTTTTTTTTTTGCACAGCCTTCCAATTCTTTTTTTTCCGTGAAAGCCGCGACCAGCGCAATACTGGTTCCTATGTCAAGATTCATGGATGCAGCGTTTGTCAAGATTCATGGATGCAGCGTTTATATTCCTAAGACTGAGTGGAGAAGAAAAATATGTAAGCGAGGTGTGTGTCAGTTGACGGCACTTAAAAAACAAATGGCATTGATAGCACATTCATTGTCAACAGCGCGTGGCCGAACCGTTTGGACATGAGCCGGTAACCGTTATTTTTTTTCCGGTTCAGTGCCGGTTCGGGTTCATCGCGATAACAATATAACGGTTCGGGTTCGGGTTCAGTTCCGGAAAAAATACCGGTTCGGTTCCGGTTTTCGGTTCGGTTCGGTTCCGGTTCGGTGCACCCTGGAAAATATACTTAGCAATGATGCCCAAATTCATTGACTGGTCAAGACATACAGCAGCTAATGTTCCAGCTTGGGAAAGACCCAGTCCTGCTCAATCACACCTTTTTACTTTTGAATGAGCATTCTCCGAGATCAAATGTAGCCACCATCTGTGTACACAAAATAGTCCCTGCTTTTGTATAAATTTGTTTAGCTTCAGAGCAAGTTCTAATAATTTCATTTATCGAACCTTAAGGGCCCGTGACGGCATTACATAATCGGTATCTTTATAATCTATTTACCCTTATAAATTATTGGGTAAAAACAGAAAGAACATAGCAAAGAAATACAATAGCAGTCTGGACGGAAGCGAGGGTTAAAATGAATGAATGAATTAGGAGTTTTCTGGTGCAGGCAGCAACATAGGCCATGGGTTAAAATGAGATGAGATAATAAGATTCTCAAGAAGAAATAAAATGATGTACAGTACTGAACTACTACTGCTAAAATCTGTGGAATGTAGCACATACACTCGTAGCTCTTTAACATGAGCCCGTGCTTCGTTTTTCTGCAGGTTGTGAAGGGCGAGTGTATCAGTGGGGTGCAGAAGCTCCACTACATATCTCCACAAGGCTGCATTCCCAGGGGAAGTACAGCTGAGACTATGACCAAGACCCAGCCCTGCTCAGTGATCCCCAGGCAGCTCCAGATCATCATCGCCATTGGCGTAGCCATGGGAGTGCTGCTCTTTGGCATGCTCGTCTACTTCTGGAAGAAGAACAGGAAGTAAGCAGCTACTGGTGGCAATCTAACTCTGAGGAGGTCTACCTTGTTCAACGGTGTCATTCAAGCAGGCACAAATCCCTGTCACTACTTTTGGACAGCATGCAGTCACAATTATGGTCATAAGATTGCTGTGCCAATATTTTTTTCTGGTTTTGTACTAGTACAGTTTTACGGGAAATGACGTAATTTTTACAACCTCAGAAAGGGTAAAATACTACTAGTATTGCATCCCTTGTGGTTCGCTTTAGATTCCATTACCCTACTAAAAATATTAATTGTGAGCAAATCTAGTGGTAAAAGTTTAACCATGTTTAGGGTCTGCACTGAACGAGTGAAAGCTTGCAAAAGACATTTGTGATGATCCAAAGCAGAGGTGTGCAAACTAAGTCCAAAACCCTTAAACCACCCGAGCACCGTGAATTGAGTTAATATTTGAGGATCTGCAGACATAACATCTACTTTGTGGATACTTCAGTGAAGCCTTGTTGCCACAAGAGCTACCTCCATTATAGTAAGAACCACAGGGCCTCTGTGAGCACTGTCGGGTCAAGGTCACAAAATCTTTGCCTGCCAAAGTCGGGGAGCACTATACCATGTGGAGTTGTGTTACTAGACTTGTGTACCCAAATTACCGAACTTTTTTTCAAGTGACGGTCGCTAAAGTTCTCAGAGATGGTCACTCGCCAGTGGGACGAGAAGCTTCAGGCCTTCCCTCTGCTTGGCCCTTCTCACAGGTTGGAGTACAAGTACATGAAACTGGTAGCCTCGAGTTCGGGGAAAGACGGGGAGCTCCCCGTAGCCGAGAGCTGCGCCATCGAGGAGGACGAGGAGGATCACTTTGAAAACGGCGGCTACGAGGCCAAGAATAAGGGCCTTCTGCAGAAATTCCGCACCGTACGGATCGGAAGCGGTAAGGTGAGTTTGTTGTTGGTGAGGCATTTCTTTTGTTTTCCTCGTTACACAAAAAATTACCGCAGACTTGCCACCTTACATCTTATCCGTTATGTTCGAGCCAGTGTCCTTGGTTACTGTCACTAATATGCAATAGACCCTTTCAAAAACCCCATGAAGCAACATTAGCGGTTTCCATTTCTTGGGCACAAAGCGTGTGATTGGATCCAAGTCCTTGCCAAATGTTGACTCAGCACTCGCGTCGGATACATACTGGGAGTATGCATCATCGTATACGCTCAAACAATGGTGGACTTGGATCACTGGGGCCACTGGGTGGCACATTTTTGAGAAGGGTCTATTAAGTGTTTAGTGATATACCTGTACATTGTTTTTGTAACTCAAGCCCCATGCCAATTGCTCACTGCAGTTGTATGCGTGTAGGCTCTTCACATAAAGCACAGTGCACCGATCTCTAACTTTACGTTATACTATCTGCTAGAGAGCAGCCCGACAGCTAGACGAACAAATGCCACATCGGCATCGAGATGCTGCGATCGTGCAGGTATGGTTAGCATCTTTTGGTTGCAAGCAAAATGAGCCGTACAGTTCTACCTGGTGTGCAGTGGGCACATTCTCAAAGGTCCGATAAAGGTGGGGCATTCAGAAGATGGACTTGGCTGACCCTGACATGTCGATGATGCAGCCTGGCTCGTGGAAATATTTTCATTCATACCTTTTATGCACGAATGCCTCACCTTCAAGCTCTTCGCTTTCCTTCACATCACACACTCTTCGACACTCCTCCATTCCTAGTTTGCGAGCCTTTTCACCTTCTTGGCTATTTTGTGTGCATGCAGCTCATTTCAGTTCCTACTCATTTAAACATTGTTCTCTTAAAATGCTTTTAATAATACTGGTCACCAAGAAGCCTCTAGTCAGGCGTATCAAAGTTGTATCTGGAAAGAACCACATTTGCAGTAGTATACATCTATGACACGAGCATATTTTTGCATTTCAGAGTGGAGAGGGACACCACTTTGAGACGATTCATCTCACTAAAGGCGAAATGGTGTCGTGAAGCGACTCAAGAGCTCTGTCATCTGGTTCATGCGGGACACAGAGCACCGAACGGAAAGCCCATGCGAGACGAGAAACATAGTATTAAATTCCATCATGAGGTGGAGAGACATTCCAAAGCAGTGTGGAAAGGTAAAAGGTGCGACACACTGCAGCGTGCATGTGTGTGTGTGTGCGTGCAGCTACATCTGGCTAATATTCCCTTTTTCTTCCCCAACATTTGTGTACAAGTGACGATTCTAGTCATAGCAATGCACGTGGATAAACATGATTGTGAGGTGTTTATGTCTACTTTGCAAATTTAGAGTTGCCATGTAGTGTCAAAGTGCAAATTGCTGATACGATTGAGATCTATCTCAGTGATGTTTTATTAACTTGTGTTCTTGTACAGGTGAAAAAAAAGATAGCTAAGACTAGCCATGTTCCTTCTTTTTTGACATGGTTAAATGTGTTGCTGTTCATGCAACGGTTTGTTGTTCGTATCGACAGCGTATGCCGCCAGCTTCCTCTCCCAACACAGAAAGGCGGTGGAGTGCCGAAGAAACCCCAATATCCAAATATATGTCAACTTGTAGGCATTGTCTCCCCTCAGCGAGAAAGGCTTGTACTGTACTTATGAAAGTGCCTATTAACCCAACGAAAATATTCCGCTGGTATTCCTGTGTAGCTCTTGAAAACCTACATTTGTGTGCATTCATGCTTGCCCACACTTTTCTTGTACGTAAACCCCGGTAAAGAAATCGGGCCCCGATATTTATGAATGTAAAGTACCTCATATATTAAAAACCACATTATTTTCTTACATAAGGGTTCGATTTGTGATAGGGAAACAAAACAAACAGCATTGTGCCTTCACAATGAGATTGGAATGCACAGTTCTTTGACTTTGTTGCTAGTCGTTTTCGCTGTTTCACTGTGCTGCATTCCACGTGATCACTTTGTATGCACCGAGATCCATCGCACGCATTGTTAAGAAAAGAAGGGTGGAGTTATTTCTCTATGTGCAGTCATTTCTACTTGTGCATTAAACATATTGGTACTGCATACTACCATTGTTGTAGTGGTAATGGATAAAACGCTGCATGCAAAACGTGATTGCAGATTGAAGTGATGATGGAGGGATCAAACAGAGGTATCAGCAGTTGAATTTCTGTATATAGGCCTAAGTGTAGCTTTGTGGCACATGTGTTTGTTCTCAGAAAATAAAACTTGTTCTTTCTCTCTAACTTTGACGTGCAGTTTCGATTTCAACACCGTTGGCACTAGCTTTCCTCGTGTGTATTAGGGCTCAGCAGCAGCACTTGCTGCCCAACTTAACAGGTATGTCCCCATTCAAACTTTCTCCTGTCTTAATCTTGATCCATACTGTGTGAATCCTACCCAATCGCCTAGATTCCATTCAGCAGTCCCCAAATGCTTTGAGCAAGTACTCTGAAACATCCTAGTCTGGTGGCATCTTGGGAAGGTATGGTTGTTCTAAGAAAGTAGTCTCTCTATGAGATAGTATTGTCTTTAGATGAGAAACAAGCATTTCAATAAAATGCAAGAAACCGGTGATGAGGGTTCCCTACTTTAAATGAGTACTGCTCCATTGAGACACAAAAAAAAAGGAATTATTTTGCTACAAGGCAAAGAATAGTAAAATGCACAAAGGAAAGAGTACTAAAAGTGCTGTAAGTGAACGCAAACATAATGCAGTGAAGCAATAAAACGTAATCGGAGGACCTTCTGCAATACACCAACGGGTGGCATTCGCAGACAGACGTAGTTGAGCCCATTATACACAGTATATGCTCAAAACATAATCTTATTTATAAGTTTACAAAAATAGTAACCTTTTAATGGTGCAAAATGCATTTTGCAGAGCATTGTAGAAGCTCACATTCAACAAACACTTGCCAGCAGCAGACACAGCCACAGCAATGTGCGAGTACCCCCTTTAGAAGCCGTATATTAAAGTACATCAAACTGAGATTTTTAGCATTTAATGGAAGTACTGTTCTTCAAAAACATAGAAGGATCAAGCCTTTTCCACTCGACCACGTCTACTACAAAATTATATGCACTTAACACCATGCACCTGATAAGAGTAGGTAGGCCCAACCACACAAGACTCAACTGTTCTGATCTAAAGTCAATGTTCATGAGATGCTGTGCATTATATCCCTTGTATGTACAAGTGAAGGAGGTAGAGAAGGACATCTTAAAGGCCAAATCTGGCAGGAGTCCTCCTAGGACTCATGGGCACACCATCCTGTTGAAGGCCTGGGGTCAGGATCCGAGTGGAACGCACCGAGGCGGCTGCCTCCTTTTCAATGTGCTCTTCCTTGCGGCGCCTGAACTGCTGCTCGGCCAGCGCCATCTCCTGCTCCATCTGCGACTGGTGGTCCCTCTGCACCCTATGTCTGGACCGGCCAGACTCCCGGACACTGTAGAACATGGGCCCAAGCTCGGCTAGCCAGTGGCCATCGACGGCCGTCACACATTGCATGTACTCCTTGGTGGTCATGACCAGCTCATGGTACACTACATAGTCTGGAGTGTAGCCCATGCCGAAGAGGGCACTGGTCGGGTGGAGGTGGCAGGGCATGCCAGTGCGGCAGTTGATGTATTCACCGATGCCCTTGAGCCTGGCTGCCTGCAGAAAGAATGAGGAGCAGATGCACTTACGCACCACGTCCCACTCGGTGCCGCACGAGACCAGCTTCATCTTCTGCTGCCCCATGATGTCCTTGAGCTGTTGACGAACCTCGCGCACCTTGCGCATGGACTTGACGTGAATGAAATGTTCGTTGCACCAAGCCGAGGAGTAGTGGTTGATCTTCCACTGGAGGTAGACATTCAGGTAAGTGAGGTGGTCGCTTTCTGGAACTTGAAACTTTTCGCGAGCAGCGTCACTGTCTTCCTCGCGGCCCTTGGGCCTGTAGAAGATGCTAGGAACCGACAACATGGACACTATGGTGAGGATCTCTTCACTGCAACCCATGTCACAGGAGACAATCGTCATCTTGGAGAGGGCGGGGTCCAAGGGAAACTCCACCATGTGACGTCCCAGGGGGGTGAGGTTGCCCACATTGTCAAGAGCACCGAGGATCCAAAGTTGGTACATTGAGTTGAGGATGTTATCTTGGGGAGGAGGGTCCATGAAGTGGAACTGTAGCAAGTCCTGCACTCCCAGCGATTTCAACAGAAGAACCACATTGGCAAGGTTCGTCCTCTGGATCTCTGGTACCGTTGTCTTCAGCAGCTCATTCTTGTACTGGTGATCCGTGTAAAGCCTAAAGCAGTTTCCCGGACCTGTTCTACCAGCCCTGCCAGAACGCTGGTTGGCATTTGCCTGGCTCACGGGGTAGATCTGCAGAGCATCCATACCAATCCGAGGGTTGTATACCTTGAGTTTACAGTAGCCGCTGTCGACAACGAAGCTGATACCATCCACTGTGAGAGATGTTTCAGCGATATTCGTAGCCACAACACACTTACGAATGCCATCGGGGGCTTTCTGAAAAATTTTGGCCTGAAGGTCGCTCGGCAGTTGGGAATAAATTGGCAGAATGGCCAGCTGTGGAGCGTTGTCAATTTCCCCGAGCCTTTCGGCAATGAGCTCGCATGTCACCTCAATGTCTTCTTGGCCTGGCATGAATACAAGGATGTCTCCAATGGCTGGTTGTAGATGAATCTGAAGGGTTTGCTTAACAGCAGCATCGACATAGTCTTCTACTGGGTTCTTGCTAAAGAATAGTTCCACAGGAAAAGTTCTCCCTGGGATAGTGAACACAGGGACATTTCCGAAAAAGGAAGCAAATTTTGTTGCATCCATTGTGGCGGACGTGACGATAAGCTTCAGGTCCTGTCGTCGAGCCACTACTTCACGCAGTAGCCCAAACAGAACCTCTGTGTTCAGAGACCGTTCATGAGCTTCGTCCATGATGACAGCACTGTACTGATCCAGGTCTGGTTCCCTCAAAGACTCCCTGAGCAAGATACCATCTGTCATATACTTGATGATGGTTTTTTCGCAGGTGCAGTCCTCAAATCGAATGGCATACCCGACCTCTTCTCCAAGCCTACATGCCATCTCATCCGAAACACGTTTTGCCACCGACATGGCTGCTACTCTTCTTGGTTGAGTGCAGCCAATCATTCCATACTTGCTGTACCCATCTTCGTGCAAGTACTGAGTGAGTTGTGTTGTCTTTCCCGAGCCAGTTTCACCAACTATGATGACGATGTTATTTTCCCGTATAATTCTGAGAAGCTCCTGTCTCGCTGCGAAGACTGGCAGGTACTGTCGCTGTTGCAGCAGCGTTTTCATTCTGGAAAACTCGCTGGTTCCCTCACTTCCGGTGTCTTTCATGTGATCTGCAAAACGCTGCTCAGTCTTGTAGTCGGTATCCTCGTTGTCATCCTTCTGGTCTTCCTTTTTCTCCACACCCAAGATGTCTCCCAACTTGGTTCCCGCAAGCTCCCACTCTTTCTTCTGAGCCTTCTTCCTCTCCTTCTGCTCCCTGTGGTAGCGGACGACGGCACTCCCTTTTCGCGACACGATGGCCATGTCAGACGTCGCGTCTTTCACGGGCATCACGGGTTCCGGTTGCTTCGTGAACACGATCCGGCCATCTAGGAACGGGGGGACGATGTTGTGCACAAGCACGTGCACCCTAGCCTCGTTGTCCTCCTCGAAGTCTTCGTCGACGTCCACCTTCAGCACGACTCCGCTCGTTAGCATCCGATTCGTCTCCCACTTCTCGTTGTCCTTGTTGATCTGCCGCTGCTGCGCCGACACCTTCTTGATCTTCTTCTGCTCCAGGGCCTCCTCCTTCCTCTTTGTGTACTCCTGTGGAACGCTGGCGAAAGGGTTGTGGACGTCGTCGTAGCCCTCGTCCAGGCTGTACCACTCCCGGTCCAACCTCTGCTGCTCCACCTCCCATTCCTGTTTCTGGTCCCTGTCGTCGGCCCAGGGGATCTTGTCGTCCTTGGAGCGCTCGCTGCCGGGAGTGGCGTACGTCTTGCGCCTGTCAGCTGCCCACGCGTTATACTTGTGGGCCGGCGTCGCTCGCGGAGTGTCAGTAGGCCTACGGTACTTCTTGTCCGTTCCCCGCCTGTCGGAGCCTTCGCGCGGCGAAGGCGTCGGCACGTCCCAGGAAGACCGCCGCGACGGGGTGTCTTCGTCCTCGTCCCAGTTCGAGCCGGACGGTGTGTCTTTCGGCCGGATGTTGGGTGTCTGCGGACGCGACGGACGCGGTGGCGTCTCGTCCCAGTCTCTGCGGGAACGGTGAGAGCGACTCGACTCGTGCCGATCGTCGTGGCGGCTGTCTTCGCGGTCGTCGCGCCTGGTTCTCTCCCTACTGCCCGAAGAGCGGTAGTCTTTCTTGTTGTCTTTAGAACTGGCGTAGACTCCGCGGCTTTGACTGTCCTTCTGGTCGCGAATCCGGTCGGCGAAGGTGCTGTTCACGCCGCCGGTGTGAGTCGGAGTTTCTATCCGGGGCCTTCGGTACTGCCTGCTGCTCGACAGTGACGAGTCTCCCGAATCCGAGCCGCGGTCTCTCTTTTCGGACTCGCCATCTTTTCGGGCCTTTTTGGTGTCCTCTTCTTCACTCTTTTGTTTCCTCTTGGCGGCTGCGAGAACGTCGAGCCCGAGGATGGAACGTCGCTGGACGGGGGCCTTGAATTCGTGGGTTGACTTTTTCTTTATAAGTCCCCCTACCTCGTCCTCGATGCCCTCGAGGCGGTGTATTGACTCGAAATCACTCATATTTTCGAAATGATTTCTGTACGAGCTTTACGAGTCATTCTTTTGCATTCCTGAGTACGCAGCGTCGAATCCGATAACTGGGGAGGATGCGGAAAATCGTTAAACGTTTATTTTCAGATAGTTTCGTATTTAGTGTTTACAAATTACTGATACATTTTTATTCAATGTAGCTTGTATATAGTACTTTAAAAGTTTGTATATTTTTAAATTACTAATTATTTAAGATTAATTTTACAAAGAGCATACCATAACTTGCAAATCTTGATTACGAGACTAATTCTGCATATGGAGTTGCCGAAACAGCCTTTTCGGGTGCGCCCTCAAGTGGCGGCTGTTCTCCACAACCACAACTGTTTCCCGCAGCTTGATCGAAACATTTGTGCGAAGTTGAGACGTTCGTGTTGGGCATTTTTCCTTGCGTTTCGTGCCACAAATCATGGAAACACTGTTAGAGCAGCAACGGCGGTATCATGAGGAAAGAGAACGCCTCATAGACGCCCAAGCGAAGGAGATGCTTCACAAGAAATCGACGGTATGTCGTACGGCGTCCCCGTTCATCGCACATTGCCGGCACTTTTTGTCCTTTCCTTGCACGGATGGTTTCTTTACTGCGCTACCACTTACATGTCATCGGTTTTCGGTGATACTTTGAATTCATCATAGTAAGGTTTATATTTTACGTCGCTTCTAAGCGTTCCAGCTTCCATTCTGAGTAACGTTTCACCGTATTTGCCTTGCAGAATAGAGATCAAATAAATTCGGATCATCGTCTGAAGCTTCTTCTCGACGTAAGTATCTTTTTATTCGAACCATTGTCTGCCGATGTTTTACTTTAATATTTGTTTTAAAAATACAAATGCCTATTTGTTCCGTGGTTTTTTATTTTTAGAGATACATGGAATGCACAGGGAACTTGAAGGAGCTTTACGAAGACAGAGATGGGTACGAACAGTTTTTGCTACTTTCTCTTGTCACGCTGCATTTGGTACAAACGCTGATGTTTAAAAAAAAAAATATGTATATGTTTTTATCATTGTTTTATTGATTAGGCTTCGAAAAGAGGAGATATCGGCCCTTTCGGGCCCCAATGAGTTTGCCGAGTTCTATTCGAGGCTGAGAACTGTCAAGGAATTTCACAGGAAGCACCCTAATGAGGTGAGTTACTCAGTTAGTTCTTGCCAATCGCACAGCGACAACTTAAAACCAAGTTGTCGCTGCTTATCTTTTCTTTTTCTAATAAGCACAGTTTTTTTGTATTGAAGGTATTCGGCTACTATTTTTGTTTTCTATACATAGCTTGCAATGACATCACTTGATCAGACATAGGGGGGGAAAGGGCACGTGATAGGGTAGCTTCTGGCCACCAGAAAGAGAGGCGAACTTGGGGAAAAGGCGCGGCAGAGCGTAGCTTCTGCTGCGTTAACGAGGTGCTTCGGGCCACCAGAAAGAGGGACGGACTGACGTCACGTGCAAGCCATGTATATTTGTACTTCTTGCTGCTAAGAGTGCGCTGATGGATGCTGTCGGGGAGGGGGGGGGGGCCTTGGTCATTCATAAGCACAAAATAAAAATTATTGAATTGATTTGAACAGTTTCTGTAGTATACATGGGTTGCCTCTATGTCAAAGGGTGACATCATACTGGTGCATCTGCTCGTAATTGAAGCCACTCTTGCTTACAGTGTACACCTACGAGAGCCGTAAACTGCACTACATTCGACTGCAGCAGTCGCGCGTGAAACAAGAAAGGCGACAGGCTACATACCCTGGGCAGTTTCTATTGTATCCTGATGATAGTTGCATTGGTGTGCCCTGCGACAGAGCAGTTATCTAGATAGAGAAGGTACGGGTGGCAAAGAAGGCTTAACAGAGCTGACATGGCAACCTGATTTTAAAAGGAGCTGAAGTAAGGTTAGCAGGGGTGTGACAGACCAAACTGGTTTTGGAGCAGAAAAATTTGCATTTTGGTGCAGCTTACAAGCAGAAAATTTCCCAGTTCGGAGCAACTAAGGGGCAAAGAAGTCTGCGTTTTGGAGCACTGAGGATAAAGAATCTTTCTCTTTTGGAGTACTTTTCGAGTAACCGACATAATTTTGAGAAAGCATCTTGGCCATTGTACGAAGAGTTACAATTCAATCAAACTAGGTTTGTACTACAAGTTGTGGAAAGTATTGAATATTACTTTACTTTGAAATATCTAAGATTCCACATTTAAAGATATTTTATTTTAGAAACAAATTTCGATTAAATATGAAGGGTACAACTTGAAAACTTTGATGCTACATGCTATGTTGCATCATACATTGTAGCATGTACGAAGTATGATGCAACAGTATGATGACTAGGATGTATGGATGTACCGAAATATACACTGAATCCATCGGATCAATGGATGAATGGACACATACAGCTGAACCAAGGTATTGAGCGGTGGCTTGCGCCACCTGGCAATGGAATAGCCAAGGTTGTGCACCAAACTTCCCCTTTCTGCAAAACCTAGCGTCACCTTGATCTTTGGTGCAGCTTGGCTCAATTTTGATCGATTTCACGCAAAAAACACCTGAATTGTATTGAGGGAGCGTGGTGATATCCAGATATCTTGATATACCTGCAGATTTTTGCTCCTGTTGTTCGCTGATTTGTGCATTAGAGCTGTTGTGCATCTTTGCACTTGGTTTTGCCATCTTTTTAAAGTGTAGTCTACGCTCGTTACAACGGATCTGGTTACAACAGACTTTCGGACATAACATACCGATTTGTGAAGCTCGGTTGGTTTTCCTATCGGTCCCCAATGATTCAATTTCATTTATTGTGGATTTGGCTAAAACATACATTCGGATATAATGTACCATTCTAGGAGACTTTTGCGTTCATTTCCGCTTCATTATTGCGGACTTTTTCACAGTTGACATTCTTTATTTTCAAAAATTGTTTGGCTTTTCAACGCTGCAGCGAGCGCGACGGCAGCCATTTTTCATGCACCTGGCGTGCGCTCAGTATGCCCCCTGCTGTGTCCGAAAAACAGATCAGAGTTATAGCGGCCTTGCGGAGTTTTCGATTGGCAAGGGTATAAGACTCCGAAGTCAAATCGAGCGAGTTTTGGAACACCATTTCATTTCCCCGGATCTCCACATTTCCTACATTCGCAGCCTGCCCCGAACTTGAACGTCAGTTTCCAAAAGTGATTTGTGTTGTGGCTACATCGGTTACATTCTGCAGCTTCAATGATGGCGAAGCGGAAGTGAATCTTACTGAAGGAGAAGCTTGAGATCATCCAGGCTGTTGAAAGGAGGAAAAAACAATTAGCCGTTGAAGACACCTTCGAACTCTCAAGCAAACCGTAAATACAATCGTTAAGAACAAAGAAGCCGTCATCGAAACACAGGTAGCCGGTGACATGCAATTAAAGAAGTTTTGACTCCGTGGGGTGACTTCTCCAGAAGTCGAGGATGCCTTACTGATATGGCTCCATGACGCTCGTTCACGAGACATCCCTGTGAATGGTTTGCTTTTGCGGAAGCGTGCGGAGCAATTAGCATCTATTTTGGGCCATGATGACTTCTTGTGCAGCGTTGGTTGGCTGAGGTGATTTAAATCAAGGTTCGGGGTAACTTTCAAGTGCATTTCCGGATAGTTGGATGGCCTTGATGATGGTGTTGTGGCAAACTGAAAAAACAAGTCTCTTCCGGGTCTGCTCGCAAGCTACGAACCGCGTAACATTTTCAACGCTGACGAAAGTGGAGTCTATTACAAAATGAGGTGCAGTGAGGAGGATCGGTACCTCAATCCTCCTTACTGCACCTGACAAACTTAGACAGCTGTGTCCAAAGATCAACAAGCAGTAAGACTATCATGATCAATGCAAGATCAATCGTGCACGGAAGTTTGTTGACTGCCGCAGCAGCATCATTTACGAAATCCCGTGATCACGCGGAAAAGGGTATGTGGGACAGTTGGGGAGGTGTGTCAACGTGAGACTCTGGGAGCATGTGTATCCCTTAAATCTTCACCAGGGGGCCATCTAGCCATGCATGTGAGGGACTGTGGTTGTACCCCAATTTTTTGTGACACGAAAGTACTCAAACAGTTTCATGGCCAAAGGACTAGAGGATTATATTAGGCACAAGTGATCATGTCAAAAGGGCAGCCCTGCATAAGTTCGGCATCGATAGCCCTGTCGGCGAAAGAGTTAGATTTTTTTTATTGGTGTCCCTGATTTACCTTCTTCTTTCTTTTAATTGTTTTAGAGTTGCCGTCAGTTTTTTCTTTTGCATGTAAACTTTGAATGTCTCCTGTATTTAGTCCAATCACTATACCATTAGAATAAGTGATTAATACTATGTATCAGTTTTAAAATGAACAACACGTCAGAGGCTAATTATGTAGTTAGTATGACATTACTTTAATTAAAATTTAAAATACCCGTAACATCTTTCTTCTCCTTCCTAACCTTTCCATTAAATGTCTGTTATGAGTTCAGTGCCTGTCCTGTCTACGTCTTTTACTTGTCTTTGTCCTTTGTGCGGCAGTGTGTATTATGTACAACCAACTCGCCCATCAGATCATTTGAGTTCCCTTTAATAAGCTGAAATTAACTGCAAATTGAATGATGTGCTACTGGATTAAGAACGAAACCTGGATGGATGGGACAGTTATATGATTTACACATTCAGGAAGAAACCATAAAATGTCACTTCTGTCTGCCTTAGGGTGACCACCCATTCCGCAACTCGCGGGACTGTCCCGCATTGAGGGCTTGTGTCCCGCGTCCCGCAAGAAATTCCCAAATCTTCAAAATGTCCCGCATTTCACATTGTCGTAACATTCACTGCGCAAATCATGGCGCTTCTGAACGACAGGCAACAGGGAACCGCGGAGGTCGCTGATAAATGTGTGAATCTCGATGGTATGTCATTTTCTTGCCAAGCAGTGCGCGAAGCAACCGTCGTTCTTGCAGAAGATTGACGCACATGCGCCGCTGTGCCTCTCCCCTTTATGGCAAAATATTGCAAGCGAAAATTGCTTGCCAAAAGCTGAAAAAGAAACTCTTGTATTTAGTTCAAAATCATACTGTATCATGCGAAAGGGTTGTTGTGGAAAGCTTTTTTTAGTGAAGACGGCCACGCAAGGCAAAAAACCTGCAACTCCCAAAGGTCAGAAAAAAACAAACATAAGGTTTTATTTTTGTGTAGGAGCATGTTAATATAAGAGTAAGTATCGACAGGAAACTAAGCCGAAAAATATTTACTATTTTTTTTTTTTTCTTTTGATGCATTGGGGTCTGGTGCAGTCAATCTTTATGTTTTCAACTTAGATACTTTAAATCAAATATTTACCTTTACAAATAAACCAAAATATATCACTGTGAGTGAAACTTAGCTTAATTGCCGCGTACAATTTTCAGGTGTATATTACGCTTTCGGACAGCACAGAATTTCGGGGTGTGCGCGTTGGTGAATTTCCCTTGATACTTACTTTTGAGTCGTGAAAATACCGCCCTCCTCTTACCCCCCCCCCCCCCCCCCCCCCCCGGTCAGGATGTCCCGCATTGCACCGGCAGGACGGCGGTCTCCCTAGTCTGTCTGTTTGCTCTCTAGGGAAGCCATGTCTGTCTGTTTTCTTCCTGGATATTGTTGCAAGGACTACCATTTTGTCATAAAAGCTTATATGTCTTAAAGGGTAACTGCAAAGAAAAAAAAGTGTATTTTTAAACAGCCTAATTGGGACAAGCATGTCACAAAACACTTTTCCTGCCAAAAACAAAATTTTTTTACAGCAATATTTATTGCGCGAGACTGATTTTAGTTTGCAGCTATTTCGTCCATTTTAAACTGCGCGCCACAAAGTTGGTATTATACGTCACATAGTGGCTGCTATATGTAACAGAGTGACGTATAACAGCCACTCTGTGCGCGTCAAAAGAGCAGGAGTTTCAAATGTGGAGAAGTTGTGACTCCAACTAAATTACGTTTTGCGGCGTAAATATTGCTAGAAAAAATTTGTTTTTTCGCGGAAGATATGTTTTCTGACATGCTTGTCTAATATAGGCTGTTTAAAAACACAGTTTTTTTTCTTTGCAGTTACCCTTTAAGAATGAGCTCTCGGTTTGATAAAGCGCCTTGAAACATTGAAGGTTCGTAACTTGATCTTGTTCTTGCTTTGCATTCCTATTTTTTGCATTTTTTTTTAGATGACACAAAGCATGAAGTAGTTTGTAGTTTATTGTGGAGAAGTGGAGGATAGGACCAGGTCTATCTCCCAGAGGTGTCATTACCGTCATCCGGTCTTAGCGGAGGGGGAGAGAAGCATTACGGAGGACAGAACAAATTCTCATGACATGTCCTATGCATCTCACAATACCTTCTTGCTTTCAGATCCAAGTGCCCATGTCTGTTGAGTTTGAAGAAATGAACAAAGCACGGGAAAATCCATCGGAGGACATGCAGAGTAAGTTTTCATGTGCAGTTTTGGTTGGGATGTGTCTGCTAAAGTGCAGTAATTCTCTGTTATCTACAAATGACATGATCACTATAATGAAACCATTTTTTTTTCATTTAGATCTGGTAGAATTTTCGGATGAAGAAGGCTATGGCAAGTACCTTGACTTGCATGAATGCTACGAGAAGTACATCAACCTTAAAGGAATCGAGGTAAAAGTTTTGATAACGCAGTGTTGTTTGTGGCACTCACGAATTTCATTCACAATTCCAGCGAGTGGACTACTTGTCATACCTGTCAACGTTTGACCAGCTCTTTGACATCTCGAAGGAAAAGAAAAATTCGGAGTACAAGAAGTGAGCTGGAGAGTTTCATACTCCTCAAATAGTACTTGTCACATTGTTTTCTCTAGAGATGTTTCCTTATAAATTACTTCCTTTGTTTTCTCTACAGGTACCTGGATTGTCTCTTGGATTACTTTCAGGATTACACCCTTAGAGTGAAGCCTCTGCTTGACATCAACCAGGCAAGTGTTTTGCAGGCTGTAATTCAGATATAGTGGAACCTCGTGGATACATTCTTGGTTTTTGCGTTTTTCCGGCTTCTACGTTCAAAGGCGCCAATCCTGCCGAGCTCCCATAGGAACACGTATTAATTTCCCGTTTAGTGCATTTACTTTCCCCGTTCTTAAGTCTAAAAAGCCGCCGGCCGATTCACGAGATGGACCGGCTCGCGGATAGATTGATCACGTGACGACGCGTCCACAGATCGTCTGCCTCCCAAGCGCACTCGCACGGAGGGAGAGATGAGGGACAGCAAGGATCTGTCAAACTCGCTGAACGACTGCACAGTGACATCGTCGTCCAAGATCTAATGCAACGAAGAATAATTGTGTGCTGCTGTTACGTGCCGCGCGAGATAGAACACTGTGAGAGGCGTGGCGTGAAGTGCCACTACCTTTAATAATCCAAGGCATAACACAAGTGTGCTCGTGCTCGAGGAGGGTCAGATAAGAGGCAACGGAGTCCCTGGCTTACAAGGGGCATTTGCCCACGTCCTCGTCCCCTTGCTTTCATGCGCAACACTTCAATACACCACAGGCACAAGATCTTTCCCAACCTTGTTGGGTCTTTGTTTGCCGGATGAGTGACTGTGTGTATGTGCGGGACTGAGTGCTGTGTGCTAGACAAGTTTTAACAGAAGCTTCGTGACATGGACCCAGAGGGGTACTGGAATCTGCAGTGCATCAGCTGAAAACAGTTCCTGCAGCTTCCTTCACGCCTAAAAATAAAGAATTGCGCGACAGAACGAACGAGCGAATAAACGGAACGTACAAATTTCAGGTGAGGCAAGTAAAATGATGAAAAATAAAGTGCCTCAGTCTGCTCCCATGTTAGCATTGCATACCTAATTCGACTTAAAATAAATGACGAGGGTAAAAAACAAAATTAATCTTTTTGTTTCAAAAAGCTAATTTGGAGAAAAAATTGCCTAGCTGGCCACAGCCAAGGGACAGGGCCCGAATCAGCAGCTTTTATTTGGTAGGTAAACTCCCCCCTCCCCTGCTCTATTCTTGGTCTTGTTCTTGGTCTTCATATTATATTTTGTAGTGCTCTTCTCTTTGTTCTCCTTGTCCTTTCTTGTTGGAAGGTCCATGAGCTGGTGGGTTCGGTGGAATTGATCGAGAGATTGACAAAATATACCTGGAAAGAGATGAAAATTTTTAAATACCCCGCCAATAAAAAAAAAATATTTGTATATGTAATATATAGATGGGGTTTTTGATAGTAATATTTTTATTACTATTATTATTACTATTTCTTTTAATTAGTGTTTTATTAATTCCTTTTCTTTGAGGTGTATAACTGAGGTTTTACCTCCTGAAAATTAATAATCCAGGGTCATTCTTTTTCTTGTAGACATTATTGTAAAATACCGGGCAAGCGCCCACTTAAACTTTGGAGATAATCGGAAAAAAATAGATGGGCGCTTGTCCGGTCATCAATTTTACATATAAATGTTCTGTGCATATTTTCTCAGATCTTGCAAATTTGGTAATGGGCGCTTAATGTGGAATGGGCGGATGCGCGGTATTCTACGGTAGTTGCTTGCCCCAAGATTGAGTAATTTCTGATATTACCGTATGCACACGTGTAAGGGCCGCACTTTTTTTTCTCAAGAAATGAGGACCAATTTTTAGGGTGCGGCCCATAACGCGACGTGCAATTTTTAAAGTAAAAAGAACGTACCAGATAGCGAACGAAGAGCATTTATTGCAGTACACGGCATATGTGCTTAATCGTCGTCGCTCAATGAGTCCTCAGACTCGGAGTCTGAGGTGGTCTCTTGCGCAGCATCGTCCTTCCACAAGCAGTCGTCTTCAGTACCATCCAAGCTGTTGGATATACTGGTGACCTTAAAGCTTCGGGATACAACGTCCGTCGATAGCGAGCTCCACGCTGACAGGATCCAACCGAGAACAGTCGCAAGCGGTGCCCTCTTCAGCCGTCCGGTCGGCGTCTGCTCATGGCTGCCGCTTGCCATCCATCCAGTGTAGAGCCTTTGGAATTCAACCTTAAAAGGTTGATTTACGCTGACGTCCAACGGCTGCAGCATTCCAGTGAGGCCGCCCGGAATCATGGCCATGTCTGTGCCGACACGGTGCAGCGTTGGTGCTCAGCGCCGGTGGTCCGCACGGCGACGCTCTTGCCTTTCAGTTCGACTGTGTAGTTCTCCGGACAGTCAAACCATGCAGGAGTTTGATCAGCGTTCCCTATTTGCGAAAGTAGATAATTATGTTCATGGTGAAGGCCGATGACATACTTATGAAAACTAAGCACCTTGTCAATGTAGTCTTCTGGCAGCCGCTGGCTCAACGTGGTTCTTCGCCGAAAGGAGAGCCCCTTCCTTTTCAGAAACCTTCGCGCCCAGCCAGCACTAGCCTTGAAAGTCTCGGCCGGTATGTTCTTTGCACGTGCCAAGGCTAGTGCCTTCACGCGCAGCATGTCCGTTGTGAGTGCGAAACCATCGTTCCGCACTTCAGTCACATAGCGGAACAAGTCTTCTTCCAGTTCCGGAAACTTGCATGGTTTTCCTCGGAAAGCGCGCTTTTTGCTGTTGGTGTTTTCCAAAGCTTCCTTTTGAGTGCACCGTCGTCGAACACACTTTTCGTCGACGTCGAATTTTCTGCCGGTGGCACGTTTCCCGTTCTCGAGAGCAAACTTGATCACCTTTAACTTGTAGCTAGCCGTGTAACTATTCAGGTACTTGCCCATCATGCCACAACGTAAACGCTCGGTAGAAGACAAGCAAACATGAGAGACAACACGGCGTTCACAACTCCAGCAAATGGCCGGCTGAACTGGCTGAACTGCACAAGTTGGTGATGCTAATGCCGATACGGATAGCGCCATCTATCGACAACGCTTAGAAGCTAGCATGCAGGCGCGCATTTTGAATGCGTATGGGTCAGCGAAAGTGTGGGTGCGGCCCTTACGCGGGTTTTTTTCTTTCCGAATATGTAGTTCAGAGAAACGGGGTGTGTCCCGTACACGGGTGCGGCTCTTACACGCGTATATACGGTAGCATTATATGTGGGTTGGGATTTACGCTTGGATTGTGGATTTCATCCTGTAGATATCCTATTGGAACTACAATATGATTCGGTTCGCAATCCTCATGGAACTTTTTTTTTTTGTTATCTTTTAATGTTAAAGTTAGCAAGACAGGTATGTGAAACCGATTATTGGGGATGGTCAGTTAGGGCTGTCATGATCGGAATAATTATTTTTATTTATTTATTTATTTCAGATACCCTCAGGGCCAAAGGCATTAGAGAGGGGAGTGGGTACAATGTATAAGTATAAAGTTAAAAAATGCAGTGGTTATTAGTACAGTAAATTGACTCTTATTTATACAATGTTAGCTATGGCGTTCTTGAACTGCTGGGGATCTTTGATTGTTGCTGTCGGGGCGGGAAGGCCATTCCACTCCACTGATGTGCGAGGAAAGAATGACTGAAAAAAAGCATTAGTTCTACACGATGGAATCCCGACTTTATGAACATGATCTAATCTAGATGAGATGTATTGGGGGGGTAAAATATGTTCGGCGCGCAAGGAGGGATGAAGAAACAGTTTGTGAAAGAGACAAAGACGAGAGATTTTGCGGCGGGATGTTAGGGATGGCAGATCAAGGTTAGATTTCATTGTACTGATGCTTGCAGTTCTATTATAGTTAGACAATATGAAATGAACAGAATTATTTTGAACCATTTCAAGTGAGTGTATCAAGTTTTCGTGGCTTGGATCCCAAACCGAAACGGAATATTCGAGTTTAGAGCGAATGAGGACCTTGTAGAGTAGTAGTTTTAGGGATGAAGGTGCTTTAGCAAAGTTACGTCGAAGATAACCCAGCATGCGGTTAGCGTTATTAATGACGTACGAGGTGTGAACGCTCCAAGTTAGGTTAGATGAAATGTGGACACCAAGGTATTTATAAGAAGATACGGCGTCTAAAGGCACATTATTAAGAGAGTAGACAGGCGAGTTAATATTTTTTCTAGAGACACGCATAAGTTTACATTTGTTAATGTTTAGTTCCATGCACCATGTTTTGCACCATACAGAGATGGCGTTAAGGTCAGATTGAAGAGTGGTTATATCGTTATCACATAAAATTTCCCGGAAAATTACACAATCATCTGCAAACAAATGAATATGGGAAGAAACACAAAAAGAGAGGTCATTAATGTAGATAAGAAAAAGGAGAGGGCCAAGCACAGAGCCTTGGGGCACGCCGGAGTGGACGCCACTTGGGGGAGATGTGAGGCTGTTAGCTGAAACGAACTGAGAACGGTTAATGAGGAAGTATTCGAGCCATATAAGAAGTTTAGGATAGAGATTAAGCTGACTTAATTTAAGAAGTAAAAGCTTATGACACACCTTATCAAATGCTTTCGAAAAGTCTAAAAATATGCAGTCGGTGAGTGATGATCGGTCAAGAATGGCGTTTAGTTTATGAGTGAAAGATACCAATTGAGTTTCGCACGAATAAGTTTTACGGAAGCCGTGTTGTGAAGGTGTGAAAAATGAGTTCGATTCAAGAAAGTTAGCGAGGTTAGAAAACAGAATGTGCTCCAAAATTTTACACGGGATGCTTGTGAGCGAAATGGGTCGATAATTAAGGGGAGAATTCTTGTTACCTGATTTGTGGAGTGGAACAACCTTTCCCACCTTCCACTCAGCAGGGAGATAACCATTGTCAAGGGACTGTTGGAAAACTTTTGATAAAATGATAGAAGAATAAACACTGGTACTTTTTAAAAATTTTGGGTCAATTAAATCGCAACCAGGGGCAGAAGATTGTTTGAGTGATCTAATTACGCTTTCAACACCACTGGGATCAATAATAACAGGAAACATTGCAAGGTAATCACATGAGTTTACATTAGGCAATGGGACGTCTGTAGTTACGGAAAAATTGCGTGAAAATATATAATTAAGAACGATGGCACATTGATTAGAGGGAATGACATTACCATCACTGTTGACGAGGGTGATATTGTTATTATCTTTTGGGTTAATAACACGCCAAAACTTTTTTGTGTCAGTTGTTAGCATGACTGGCAAAGTATTTTGAAGATACTCTGCTTTAGCTTCTCTTATCGCTGTTACGTATTCCTCGGAAGCAAGCTGATATGCGGCCCAGCGCGCATCGTTTGAAGAAAGTTTAGCTGACCTGAACAGTCGTTTTTTTTTGTTAGATAGACGTTTAATGCGAACGTTAAACCACGGTGCGTTACTGTTAGAGATAATAGTGCTAGTAGGGATGTACTTATTCGTTAGAGCATTAACCTTGGTTACAAACATATCCCAGTTATTTTGTACGCTACGTTTATCAAAATCCTTCAAAAAAATATCAAGAAACACGGATAATTCAGAATTAATGGCTTCAAAGTTCGCATTCCTGTAGTTTCGAATAGTTTTCACTTTTTTAATGGTTTTAGGTCGCGACAGGTTTAAGTGTAGTGATAGCAGGGAATGATCGCTCAGGCCGGGTAAATAACTGATGTCAGATACAAGATCGGGCTGAGGTGTTAGTATGAGATCTAGGACGTTTGCGACAGATGAGGTCGTTCTGGTAGGTTGTTTCACGAGTTGTGTGAATGAAAAGACAGAGCACATTTCTAAAAATTCATTAGCTAAGGTGGAAAAGGGGGCCATACTGGGTGTCTCACCATCCCATGTTATATTTGGAATATTGAAATCCCCAAACAAAAATAAAGGTAACGTGGGATAGCGAGTTTTGTAATGCTTACTAATATTTGTTGGTGGAACTATTCTCATGAGCATCCTAGGTCCGTTGGAAGTATTTAATAATGTGCTCTAACGATAATTTTTTATTTTTTTATTGTTTTTTTTTTGGTGTTTTTTGTTGAGGCTCATTATGGGTGCCGTGTTTCTCATTGCACTCCTCTCGGCAGCCGAGGGCTCAGTGTTCCTCACTCCTGGAAGGGCAAGTCCTTTCCCTTCTTGATTCTTGTGATTCTATTATTCTTTTTTTTAAATTAAATATCGACAGTTTTTTTTAAATTATTTTTATATCTTGTATTTTGAGGTGCTCTCAACTCACCCCCAGAGGAACAGACCAGAGGCGGGTGGGGCAGCCTCTGAATCCCGGGGAGGATGTCAGACAACCCCCGGGAAACACCCAGCCGTAAGCTGGCATCGCCTCATGCCGACCTAGTTGCCAGGGTATTCCCTTCATAGTTGCCAGCAATGTACCATCTTGGTTTTGCTTGTCAAATGAAAGGTGTGTTGTGGCCAGACGAAAAGTTTTTCGAGTCAACCCCCCCAAAATCCGTGAAAATAACAGACCGAAAAAGCTGAGCGCCTTTTCACTCATGGATTTTTTTACTTCAAGCCACGCTTCAAACACGTTTATTCTGACAACGAAAGTTTTTTTTTTTTTTTTTTAAAGGGCAACACGAAGATAGTGCATTATTCGCGACTCCAACTAACTATAGGTGGCACCACTCATTTTCCAAGATGGCGGGTTTAGTGAGGGTCAGAGATGCGTGCCGCTGTTGAGCCTGTCTAGTGTGCTGGCTTCACTGAGCGACATAAATTATTCCTGGTAATACGAGGAAGCTAATGTTTTATGAGCGCAGGTCACCTCTTTAGCCTGGAAACAAGAACGGTGTTTAGCGTATTAATTACGGAAGGATGCGCATTTTAATTCTGGAGCGAAACCGAAACTTACCTCTATTTTGGATTTAATTTCTCGACAGAGGTCTTAATTTCGGATTCTTTCATGACTCAAGATGTGTCTCACCTCGTAATTATTTACTTAGAAAAGTTGTTTGCGGAAACTTTATTTTGTGACATACTGTTCGATCCAGGCTGATATTCATAGTTGTTGAAAAAATTAGTGCTGATATCTGCGTTCTCGCTGCCTTTTTCTCGCTCAGATAATTGTCATGGGAAATAATGACAATTATCCCAGCACAAGAATAAGAGAATAATTCCAATTTTTACAATATGTCCACGAAACGCATAAACTAATAAACGCTGCTCTCACTGCAACAACCCAAGACGGAATCTGAGTCAGACAGCTGAAGTGTGTGTGTGTGTTTTTATAGCACCGCGTGACGCGTAGGACTTTATATTACATCCAGCATTTAACTGTTTGTCTATCTTGATAACTATGTCAGAGTTTTTCATATGCTAAAAAGAAAACAGAATTATACCTTTCTGGAAAGAATATTAGGGTTAAATAGAGTATTCTCGTGATCTTGGCGTTAATGAGAGGCATACATTGCCGCGATTTGTATTTGATAATATTAAAATTCACATATTTGAATAAGTAATTCTTCAAGCTCTAATATAATTTCTTGCTTATGGTCTAATTTTAAACGCGCGAAGAAATATGACAATGAATCTGTGCTAATATATCGTCACTGGTTCCAATTGCTGCATTTTAATTACAAATAAAATAAAAATAGTCTAAAATCAATGAAAACATTCTAGCTAATGTGAGAAATCCATGTAAAATTACATTAATTGTGGGTAAAGTATATTTTGCTATCAAAGTCGCAACTTTTGACAATCGGCGAAACGTCCAAAGTCGCCGCCAATATACTTCCAGACCAAATGCCCAAAAGTTACAAAAAAGCTTTTTTTTTATTACTAGTTTTTTTCATAACATTTATTTACTTTTGTATTTGCTCGCCGTCGTTTTGCCAATCTCAGCCTTTCCAGTTCGAAGGAACGCCTACCTGCTTGCACGTCTGCTCACTGCAGCACGTTTCGTTGGCGTTGGAAGCCGGTGAAACAGTAGTGAGTTTTACTATTGCGTATACTAGCGAACTCAAGGCCTGTGTGTTTGCGTTAGCTTTGCGCGTTCCACACTGCACGTGCGCGGAGCCTGAAATCGCGGTCTTGGGTGCCGCGTGGCGATGAAGCGCACGCGCAACGTGGGGCACGTAACTCTAACGCAGACGCACACCGCTTGCGTTTGCTTCTATGCACAATACTAAAACTCTCCAGTAAGGTACAATCCCATACCGGCTGCAGCACTACGTTGGGACAGTGAAGAGTGTTGTTTGCATTCGGAAACGACATTTCGCGAGCCATGATCGCGAGCAGTTCCGCCATGCCCGCTGAGCAGGAGAATCGGGGGACCCTCACTAGAGCGCTTCCCGTTTCCGCCGCGGGAGGGCGAGCGTCGGGCTGGAGACGCGAATTGTGTTTTGTTCTGTTTTTGTTTGTTTGCTGGTCTATGTTGTCACGTGGTTCTAGTACCACACGTGAGGGAAGCTGCAAGAACTTCGCCCGGCTGACGCACTGCAGGTTCTGGTACCCCCTCCCGATCCGTGTGAAGAAGCTTTTGTCAAAACTCGTCTAGCATGCCGCAATCTCTCCTGCACGTACACTACAGTCTGTCGTCCAGCAAGACCTTTTTTGCAGCTGTGATGTACTGAGGTCGCGCGGGGACAAACCGACGAGGACATTGACAAGCAGCCCTCCACAAGCCCAGGACTACGTTGCTTGCCCGCATTTAAGTCGCCGAAAGTGCCAGGGGGAAATTAGGAGCTTTTCCTGAATGTATTCGAGTTCATACCAACGAATGTTTACAAACATTTGTCTGAGCCAATTCCAGTTAACACCTACAAATGTTTGCATAAAATAAATTGTTTCAGGACAGTTGCTGTCTTATCCCTAGCGCCTCCCAAACAGCGTTATCATTCCTTACATTTTCCCGGATCGTACGTTTTATTTACCTGGTCCCTGAAAAACATATCAACGAGGTTCTAGTGTATTCCTTCCGTTAGTCTTCCGGCATAGGGTAATGGAGATCTGCCATTTTTACTCCTAGGAAATGGAGAATGTGATGGCAGACTTTGAGAAACAGTGGGAAGCGGGAACATTTCCTGGCTGGCAGGTGAGCATTCGTCAATTTGCCTTACAATTAAAGGGAAACTCGTTGTTCTTGACAAGAAGATGCAGTTTTTAAGTTTCTTAATCTCTTTGCAACATCATTGATTTCCATTTTCTTTCTATGCTGTGTTGGTTCAGTGACGTCTCGTTAATACGGACACGTTCGTTCCCTCAAAAGGCGTCCATAATGCGAGTTAAGAATGAGACAAGAATGCATGTACTTACCAAGTTCATCCCCTAAAATGTTGTCTATATAGCAGGTTATCCAAATTAACGGGATCCGTATTAACGAGATATGACTGTAGTACTATGCACTAAAATTTCAGAATAGTCAAAGCGCAAAATGAATCCAAGGACTCTGATGGAGCGACCAGCGCTTTTCCGTGCCTGTAACCTGCGTACCGCATAAAAATGTGTCTGTTTTCAGAAAGAAGCTGGGAGTGCTTTGGCACATGCCGGAGCCCATCTTGACCTGTCTGCATTCTCGTCCTGGGAGGCAAGTGCTTCTCACTGCGTCGAAATATTGTCTCTGAGATCGAAAGGTTTTCGCTAGCTTTCTTCTAGTAAGAGAGCTGCAAGCATGCACTTGATGTGCCTATACTTTGCTTTCAGGAGCTGGCTTCTCTAGGGCTGGACAGACTCAAGTCTGCCTTGATGGCTCTGGGTCTAAAGTGTGGAGGGTATGTAGGCTGATCTGCTTTAAAATTACTCTTTCGTTCTTGTATATTCATCTGTGTTCCTTAAGGCGTCGTGTTTTCCTTGCATTTCAGCACTCTGGAAGAGCGTGCCCAGCGCCTCTTCAGCTCCAAAGGGAAACAGATCAGTGAGCTGGATCCTTCCCTGTTCACCAAGTCGAAGCCGGGCCGGACAAAGGACACGGAAAAACAGAAGGAGATTGCGACGTTGGAGGCACAGCTGTACCGCTTTGCTGAGATCCTCTCTGTAAGCAGTTTTGTCTCTCTCTCTCCGTGTTTGCTGGGGATCCCAGACTGAGACGTTAATTTTATTTGTACAACAACGAAGCTCTTGTCTGGTGCATTGAGCAGACGGCATCTAGGAAAACTTGCCTGGGAGATTTCATGCGGCTTTTGGTTGATCTGCATACGGGCACCCTGCTCTTTTTTACAGTCATGTTTGTTCATGCTTTTCATGATTGCTTTGTGGCAGAAGTGCATGTGGGCAGTCTTGCCGGAAGGGTCTTTCTTCACTAAATAGACCTAGAGTTCTTCAGTGTACAACAAGTAAGGAGTCACAATAAGCATCCAGGTGCTAAAGTTGTTCAATAGGTGTAGTCCTCAACCATTGATATTTACACATCCCTCATGGAGGATTCACAGCAAAAGGAGGAAGGGGTGTATTGAGGATAACTGTAAGGACAAAACACTAGTTGTAAAATGCATTTGTTTTATTTGTCATATATTGCAGAAACATCACGAGAGGTATGTTTTTTGTACGGAACAGAAAATTGATTGTTTGTCCTGACTGATGAGAGAAGAGCTTTGCTGGTCATAGTAAACATTTTCAAAACCAATACATTAGTGTGACTTGAAGGTAAACATGTTCGGCAGATATCTGCCTGGTTGGGTGAATTTAAATGTAAAGAATAAAGAAATACGCCAACCAAAAAGTCGAAAAATTGTCCCAACGTTTCGAAACAGTTCGTTTCTTCCTCAGGGGCGACTAAACGGGATAATAGCTTCTTTGTCTTTCTTTGAACTGGCTATCTCTTCTTCTTCATTGTCGATTGCTGGTTGTCTTCGTTTCGCCTGCGCCGTCTTGATTGTATCTCGTAACCCATGAACATATAAACTGGGTAAGGTGCCTCGTTCCCTTTGTTCAGCGTCACAAGTTTCTTTACTTGCGACCTCCGGTGTTTTTGTAAGACCGTCTGAGCGCAGTTTTCTGCGAACAGCTGCAATGATGGGAAAATGTCTGGAATACGGTTTTCTAGCTGTCGACGTATAAAGAACAAGTCCAACTGCTTTTTCTTCAAGGTGGAGTAGCATTCATGAAGTCACGCCTTTACCAGCAGGTGCTCTGCACGCATCACAATCTTGTGGCCTTCCTGTGTGTTAACATGGCGTTTGAGGTGTAGACTTTGAGGGACCACTTGCCTGTCGCGGCACACCTTGGTAAATTCCAGGTGCGTTTCGAATGAAGAGATGCTGCGGTTTATGTTGACATACCGCTTCGCCAGTTGTGCTGTCTCCCGCCCAAAGTCTTGGAGCAAAGACTTGAAGGTAAACATGTTCGGCAGATATCTGCCTGGCAGTTTACCTTTCCTTGACGTGCTAATCAAAAGACAGGGTGAGGCACTGAATTTTACAGTGTATAGGAAGCCTACGCACACGGGACGATACCTCCAATTTGATTCAAACCACCCGCTAAGTCACAAAGCGTCAGTAGTTTCGACACTTCTGATGAGGGCAAAGAATATATGTTCATCTGCAACAGACAAAAGGAAAGAGGAGCAAGCGATCACCCGTGACCTAAAAAATAATGGATACACAGGTAACTTCATTCGCCAGATCACTCACCGTCTAAACCGCAGTCGCCGAGACGGGCAACCTACTGGGACTGCACGTCCTAAACCGATTGCACGCATCAGCATACCCTACACAAAAGGGATAAGTGAAACACTACCCAGGATTTTTGCAAAAGAACACGTCACCGTGGCCCATAAACCTGTGACCACACTCGGGCGTTTTCTACCTCGGCCAAAAAGTCGTCCCCCCAAGGAAAGGGCCCAGGGTGTAATTTACCAAATATCCTGCACCCAGTGCCCCGCCTCCTACATTGGAGAAACTGAAAACTTCCAAGAACGGCTCCGTCAACACAAAAATGACGTACGCAACTTCGACCGCGAACGCAGTGCTCTGGCGGAGCACTGTGAAGTTAATGACCACCGTATCGGATTTGAAGATGCAAGCATTCTGGGTACTGAGACGAACCTACGCAAAAGACAGCTGATAGAATCCTGGCATATTCAAAACACCGCAAATAACATCAATAGGTCTCTAGGCACCTTACCCAGTTTATATGTTCATGGGTTACGAGATACAATCAAGACGGCGCAGGCGAAACGAAGACAACCAGCAATCGACAATGAAGAAGAAGAGATAGCCAGTTCAAAGAAAGACAAAGAAGCTATTATCCCGTTTAGTCGCCCCTGAGGAAGAAACAAACTGTTTCGAAACGTTGGGACAATTTTTCGACTTTTTGGTTGGCGTATTTCTTTATTCTTTACATTAGTGTGACTTTCAGTGCCTGTGAAATGGTACATGAACTGGAGCAATTTACAGCAATTTAGTTTATGTTATCGCTCCTAGTTCTTTAGCGTAATCACTCTAAATAATTTAGGACACTTCATGATAAGACATCTTTTACCTGTTCAGTAAAATGCGTTTAAGGGGAGATGCAGGTCGAAAAATCAGTTTTTTCGAGAAAAAGTGATTTTGCGTTTTTTAGTGTTTCAGTAGCTTTGAACGTTCGTCTTTTGCGTATAAAAGAATCAAGCCCGGATATCATAGTGAAATTAGTCGGACATGAGTTTTAAGCCCTTCTCGCGATGGAAAACAGCGCAAATCTGAGCCATTTTTGAGCACATGATTCTTTTGATCGCGGCGTCACCCGCCATTGCGTTCATTTCGGTGCGTGGCCCTTGCTGCTTCACTCTGAAACTGTCGTCGATAGTTTCGTATTCTGGTTGCAAATAATAAGAAATAAATGTTTTTTCCCGCTGCAAACGCGCATCACCAGTGGCCTTTAAATCACACGATGCAATTGTGGCTCCGCCATTGGCCGAGAGCAACGTGCTGTGCAGTGAAGCCTACTCACTGTTTTAGCATCACACTGCTCCTAAAATCAGAACCAACGATTTGTTCAATCATTCTGCTTTCTTCGTGATGGACGTCGACCGAAAACTCGACTTTCGAACTCGGAAGTTTCGGCCGACACACAAGTTCAAAGGAAGTCGCCAAAAGGGCAAGCGGAAAGCTTCAAAGAAGAAAAGTTCATCCGCGGCAGCTAACCCTAACCTCGGTCGGGGCTACGCTTCAGTGTCCGATCGCCTGAGTTTCGTCGGCAGTGCTGACGAGTTCATTAGTGCATCGGAAAAGAAGATCAGGATCTTTAAAAACGGTGAGATTGCTGGAGATGGTGGGAGCGTGCAAGTACTGTGATCTGCGAGATCGGCGCGATGAAATCTCTTTAGTGGCGCGGTATGCTCAACCTGCAGAAAATGCGAACTCGCCGTCCAGCAATTGGCCGCTAAATAGAAGGGTTTAGCATTGTTTCTGGAGCCGTGCTGTCAGAATGATGCGTGCCCTACGTCTGTGCTTTCGTCAACCCATTCTTCGAGGCATGCCTCTGCGACCGAGAACGTCAGTGGGGAGTCGTGTGGCAAGACCGGAAACGACAGCTCTTGGGACAGTTACGCCATGAATGTCAAGGCAGTGGTTGCTGCACGCGCAATCGGAATTTGACGCAAACCACTTTCACAGTTTTGTGTACTCCTTGGTCTGCCGAAGCCCATGCACCACAAGACCTTCGCTGGGATCACAAAAAAAGTGCACCTCGCCGTAACGAAAGCTGCCGCCGTGAACCTGGAATTGACCAGGAAGATAACAGCAGAAGAGGTGGAAGCTACTCAGCTAGCCATTATGTTAGACGGTACATGGCAACAGTATGGTACAGAGGACACAAGAGCCATAATGGCATTGGCACAGCAATATCTTTTGACACAGGACTATGCTTAGACACCAAAGTTCTCTCGAACTACTGTACCGTCTGAGCTGCAGCAGGTACAAGGATTTCGAGGATGAAGGAGAGGAGGAGGTCTGGCAAGCTTTCCACAAGTTGGTGCATGAGAAAAACACTGACAGGTCATCCCATGCCATGGAAACAGAAGCTGCAATGAGGATCTGGCAGAGGACCTCGTTGTATGCAACATTTCTTCAATTCATGACATTCCTCAGTGACAGAGACAGCAAGGCCTATGCTGATGTGTCTGAGGCAAACTTCTATGGGACTGCCCCCATTGTGAAAGAAGACTGCACAGACCATGTGGCAAAGCAATTGAGCACTGGACTCCAGGAGCTCAAGACACCAGTGCCACGGGGACAAAAGCTCACGAATGGAACTATCCAGAAGCTGCAGAGCTACTTTCAGATCGCCATCACCAGTAACAGATTAAGTGTCCGGGGAATGTATTGTGCTATCTGGGCATCTTACTTTCACTCCTGCTCCACTGATCTTGCCAGCAGCCACATGTTCTGTCCAGATGGCGAATCTTCCTGTTGCAAGCACAAGAGAGCACAAGCCCTGGGTGAACCAGTACCGCCACGCACTCCGATCCTCACAACTGCTCAGGTCAAGGGCTGCCCATTTACAAGAGGCTGATGGAAAAAAAGCTGCTGTCCCGCTGCGTACAAGGGAAGACTCAGAATGCTGCTGAGTCACTCAATGGCAAAATTTGGATGCTGTGCCCCAAGACGCTCGTGCACTGTCGTGGAGATGACCGCTGCCATTACAACCTTATGGTTCAACAACGGACACACAAGCTTTGAACAAGTGCTACAGGAGCTTGGCATCTTCGGATCTCAGGAACTCATCACGCTCAGCAATAAGTGCAAGAAGAAATGCATTGCCAGCATGACCACCAAAGGGACTGCTGAAGCAAGATCCCATCACCGCCAAATGATGAAGCGGGCGCGTGTTCAGATCACTGCTCGCATGGACTGTGAAAGAGCCACATATGGCGCGGCACGATTCTAAACTTCTGTGCCGTTTCGCAAAGCCCTGGCATGCATTGTGGTCAAATTTCATGTCAACTAGGCTGCTCTTTTACTAGTGCACATCCTTGATAACATTCAAACGTGTTTTTCTCCTTTTGTTGTTTTGTGTCATCTCCAGAGTTTGTGCACAAGAATTTTTGTACTTCTTGTCGTCCCATCTCAACTAAATTTGGCATGCTCATGCTCCGAGGTTTGTAGAATGCAACTGTCAAGGTTCTGTTACAATGTATATAACTATAGTCATACAAATTGCAAAAAATATTTGTCTGCCCTTTGAACATGCCATTTTCGTGGTCTCCAATTTTTTTTTTTTTAAATGAAGGAGATTTCACACACGTCATTCTTGGTGTTACTTGCAATCTGTGGTTCCCAGGGAACATATTGGCCTATTTTACAATGCTCTTTGATACTTATTGCAATGCCCCACGAGTGCACAAGGGTGCAGTTTTTTTCATATATGTACTGCATGCAGAACATCGTCAAAAGCAGCTATGTCGAAACTAATAAAAAAAATTTAGAAAGAGGAGATTAAGCCCTATAGACAGTGAAATTTTCATAAAGCTATTCCAAATATGAAAAAAAAAAAAAAGGTTTCCCTGGAGCGTGTACCCTTAAGGGGTCCATAAAACGCCTAACATCTACGAGAGAAATCACTAGGAGGCACATTGCTTTGCTCCTTGTATTGACCTAAACACCAGTGTGCATGAAGTGCTGCAGGTAGCTATTCACTGAAGGATTTTTTTTTTTTCTTTTTTTCTACTTCTAAGCTTTCAAGATTTCATTGCAGCACACTTTCTGTTCTACCTTCAGCGGAGCTGAACCAAATGAATCGCACAATGCCAATAGCTAGTTCTGCATGTGTTGGATTTGGAAGGAAAATAATAGCACTGGGCACATTGCATATATGTGACCTTGAGATTAAGGAAGAAGACCGTGGGGGAAGGGAAAGGAGAAATTAATGCCTTATCAGTGTTCTTCTTTTGTAAAAGTGATACCCCTGCCCTGCTTTGCAAATAGGAAGAGTTTATCCTGAGGATCAGGGCCCGTTTGCTCGAAGCACTAACCGCGGCTAAAGTTAGCCGCAGTACCTAGGAGAGGGATTTTGAGATCAGGTGACTGGGCACGGTAGGGATGCGGGGAAACATGGCAGTGCCCCAGTGAGTGAGCGCCGCTCGCTTTGGAACTAATATGTCGTTGTGGTTGCAATATCGGGCGCGTTAGTCAGCAACAGATGGTGCAGGAGGCTTTCGCTTTGCCTTATCTCACTTAAACCGCAAAGCATGGGCAATGACATCGCTGCATTTTTTAGATAGTGTTTCGATTCTGGGCACCCCTGAGCCTAAATGAACGCGATAATTGTCGGCATAGCAACGTCTTTGGAAAGCGGATTGTTGATAGGACACAAAAGCAGACGGCGTCCCAACAGACCTTTTTTCTAAATTATCCAAGCACCGAGATGCATGCTACGACTGTAGTTGCACGCGTCGCACGTGCTGGCGTCCGCAGTAGTAGCCATTCGAAAGCAAAAAGTATAAAATAAATTTTGCCTTGCATGCGCGTTCGTTAAAGCCTTATTATGATTTTTTACTTCAAATCTTTTATAAGAGGAAGGCCAGCGCGTGAATCGTAGAATTACACTTCAAGCGTTCTCCTCGCAATGCTTAGATAATTTAGAAAAAAGTCTGTCGGGACGCTGTCTGCTTTTGTGGGCTATCAACAATCCGCTTTCCAAAGACGTCGCCATGCCGACAATTATCGCGTTCATTTAGGCTTAGAAATGCCCAGAATCGAAACACTATCTAAAAAATGCGGCGATGTCATTGCCCATGCTTTGCAGTTTGAGTGAGGTAAGGCAAAGCGAAAGACTCCTGCATTATTCGTTGCTGACTAACGCGCCGGTATTGCAGCTACAACGACCTATTAGTTCCAAAGCGACCGGCGCTCACTCAGTGGGGCACTGCCATGTTTCCCCGCATCCCTACCGAGCCAGTCACGTGACCTCAAAATCCCTCTCCTAGGTACTGCGGCTAACTTTAGCCGCGGTTAGCGCTTCGAGCAAACGGGCCCAGATAGGCAAACCGACAGCAAAAGTTCTAATTGTCTCCTTCAACCCTGAACTGTTTTGGACAAGCCAAGCTTGCCATCGTGGCACCATTTTCAAACCGTTCAGGTTGAGCATAGCTCGTCTGCTTTCCCCGGTTAATGCACTCAACCAATATGGACAACCCAGGCTCATCCATGACATAGTTTGTGGCCCTGCCGACAGGTGGCAACACTGGCCTTTTCAAAAAGCTCTATTCGATCTTGCAGTAGAGCTGTTAAGGGCTAGTTTCCCCAGTGTTGTTACTGCGGGCAAACAAATGTCGACACAAAACTCTGGACAGCTACCGCCATCTATGAGCGACGGCATTAACCAGACAACCGGCTTGCAGTTGTCTGGTTGCCGCTGTCGCTCATAGATGGTGGCGACCTTTCCAGCCTTTCCACTCTGGTTTTCGCCAGAGTGGAAAGGCTGAATTTGTCTAGGCGTTTTCTTAGAAGTTGTCCTTGAGGTCATCCAAGAAGTCGTCCTTGAGGTCTTCCTTGACGTCCTCTAGGCACCGTCCTAGACGTCGTAAAGATAACAGCTTCGCTGGTCCTCCATCTTCCTGTGAAGTGGAAGGGCTCTACATTTTTGGTTAGAAGTTTGATTTGAAAGGCAACAAATTTGATTTTGGAGGCCACAATAGACCTTTCTCACCTGCCTGTTTGACTATGCCACCACTACTGCAGCGCATAGAGGGAATTTCAGTCATTCTAAGGTGCGACAACCTCGCTGGAGCTCTGCGTGTGTAGAGGACGAGATGACACAATCCCTCTTGTGCGCTACTGTCTGCCTCCTGTGAACTAAAGTTATGGTGGCGTCATGCATGCATCAAACATTTAGTGAGATCGGTCTATTAAACAGTCAAAAACAAGATATTTAAAAAAAAGAAAAAAAAAACTAAAAAAGGTTAAGGGGTTAATAACGATAGTGAGTGAGAGCAGACCCCGTCTTTTTCTCCCGATTGCAGGAGCAGAGGCAAGGCACCAAGGAGAACGTGCAGCGCAAGCAGGCCAGGACCGTGGGAGAAAGGGAGGAGTCCGACAACGAGATCAGCGAGAGTGAGTCGGAGGACGAGGACAACGATGTCATCTACAATCCCAAGAACCTGCCCCTGGGATGGGACGGGAAGGTTGGCACCTGGGTTCTCTCTGTCTCTAACGTCGACTCGACTGTTTCCTTTGAAAGACTGCTATAGAGCTTTCCGGATTATCTAGAGGCCACATGCCGACTCCACATTGCACTGCCCAGTGCGGGGATTTGCGGGGCCATCCCGACGTGTGCTTGGGTCAAACCGTACGCTCCGTACTGGCTTTCTCTCTCTTACCGCTGCAAGTTCAGAAACCAAAGCAAATAGAGTGAACACGTCACAAAGCTGACCTTGTTTCATCATCGTCCTGCTTTCTTTTCACTCTAAAATCGCAAAGTGCTAAGCCAACATGAGCCGCTCCTTCTATTCGTGAGAAATCCTTCACGCGCTGCACATCAGATCGGGGTGGTGCGTCAAAAAGTCTTTGGAAGGCGCTGCATATTTTCGGAATGGTCAAAAAGTGTAGGGTGCACTTCTTTCTTTTTTTAGGTACTTTAGGAAAAAGATTTACTCCCAGCCTGAAGGTTATGAATTCTATGAATATGAGGAACCCCATCCCATGGTTATCTGCTGTTATTTATTTTTGATTTTTTTTTAACCCATTCAATGTCACAGGCAAACCTAGTTTTCTCGCAGATGCAAGCTCCATTTGCTCTTCTCTAAAAGTTACAAATGCGAATCCATGTGCTTCTGAGCTGCTCCGGATGGGCTAGCACGAGGTTCCCTTTGACTCGGGCTCTTGTAGGTAGCTGAAGGGAAATTGACAAGCCATATTTGTTATGGTGGCGGCAGAGTCATAATTAAAAAGACCAACAACCATCAGTGAGGTATTTTCACTATCATCTCAAACAAATTGCTGCATGGTCTCTGCAGAAGAGGCATTGCAAGTTTGAAAAAGGCATCCACTTACCTGATGCATACTATTTTTAGTATACAGTATAAACTTGTTACAACAGACCTGTTTACACAAGACATTTGGATGTAACATACTTATTTCTGAATTTCGGTTAGTTTTCCTATTTGTGGTTTAGGTTCAACTTTGTATTTGCTCTCACAGAATACTTTTACAACAGTCTGAAATCTTGGTCACTATCAAGGTCTGTTATAACAAATTGAGACTACATGGAGCTCTTCTTTTTGGCAGAGATTAATTTGAATAAGCCCATCATTTCAGTGACAAGCACCAGTTGAAACCTTCTGGTCTTTGTTTCACTATTTTCATTTGTAAAAATCATGTTTCTAGGCAATTAAGTATTTTTTTTTTTTTTTTTCTGTGAGTGAGAGGGTAGAGCTCAAAAACTTCAAAATCCTGAAATTAATGCAGGTAAAAAACAGCTTGTTTCCCTATTCTATGTTTGCAGGATACAACAAGTTACTTTTACCTGCCTTGCCAATTCATATTCAAAAATAATGCCTGGAAATGAAGTACCTTATGTATGCACTCAAATGGTTATCACTTTTTTTTATTGGTTGTAAACGAGTGTCCACAAGTGTTTTTTCTATTGCTGTCCCAGTGTTGGCTCATTGCGTCTCATTTGCTTTCAGCCCATTCCGTACTGGCTGTACAAGTTGCATGGCCTGAACATCAGCTACACATGCGAAATCTGTGGCAACTTTATCTACAGAGGGCCCAAAGCGTTCCAAAGACACTTTGCGGTGAGGACAATTTCTTTCTTTCCTTTTAGGCAGTTGAGGCATCCCCGGCACCTTTCGCTATTTCTGTGTGTTTAGACCTAAATCCTCCCAATTTCGTACTCATACGGGTGGATTGCTGGAGTGCCGATAGTGGTGCCTTGGGTATGCCATTGTGTGAATTAAAATATTAAATGATTTGCAAATGCATTCGTTTCATTGAATACGCTCCTTGCTGTTTTATACTCGTACTGAAAACGCCCTTTTGTTTTGTCACCTAGGAATGGCGACACGCCCATGGAATGAGGTGTCTCGGGATCCCCAACACAGCCCACTTCGCCAATGTCACGAGCATCGAGGATGCTTTGACGCGTATGTGTCATTACGATTTTGTCCCATCATTCCTTATATTTCCTTGTTTTCAAAGGTAGTTTTGTGGCTTCGCCTGCTACAAATAACTCTCCAGCAAAAGTTACCTAAATTAGTCGACATGGTCAGACTTCAAAGTTTCGATAGTATTTGCCTCAAGATTGGTTCAACACAATAATAGACATTATGAGAACTGGAAACTACAAGTTGCAAGTCACAATAATATTTGTTTCTGCAAACTTATTGAAGTTTTAACTTTGGTCCGAGAGGCTGAGAGGGTCTACTGGCAACACTGGAAATGTGACGTCAGATGTTGTAATATGAGGCACAATAATGTTTCTGAAGCTGCCTACTCGACTTGCAAGTTATAGCACATGCATGACGTCGTCCTGCTGGAGAGCGCAGGAAAATTTTAATCTTCGTTTCGGCATCACCTTTATTGCCGTTTTACAAATAGCTATTTTGAATTTAGAGGTAATGCCAGAAAGAGTAAAACTTGGGCATTCCAGAAATGTGTTTAGTTTAGTTAGCTAAAAAAAACACCTTTGAACAGCCCAAGGTTCTTTCATTGATTTGTATCGAAATGGATTGATATGCCCGTTTCAGTTTGGAACAAGCTGAAGGACGAAAAGTCTAAGGAAAGGTTCCAGGCGGTGACTGAGGTCAGTGCCAACCCTCGGTTTTGTGAGCGTATATCTCAGCCTGTGTTGCATCCGGGGCTAAAAACACCGCCTTCTGTTGGCAGGAGGAGTACGAGGACACCCACGGAAATGTAGTCAACAAGAAGACCTTCGAAGATCTCAAGCGTCAAGGACTGCTGTGATACTTTTTTCTTCGAGGGAAGAGTTTCACAATCGTTTTTGCTGCATCACATTGCAACTGAATCATTGACTACAATTGGAACAGAAATAAAAGTGAATAATCTTTTATTTACAAAAGACAACATCATTTGTGAACAGGTTTATCTTCTACTCGGTTTATGACATCATAATAAAATATGTGCCGACATCTCTATTGTGCTGTTTACAATTTTTGGAAGAAGCTGACCTAGAACTGTATGTTAGATGGTCTTGCATATGAAAGATCCTTGTAGGTCCTGCAACATTTGTGGGGCTCATATAAGTCCAAGGACATTCACAAGTCCTTGGAACAATGCCGTTAGTCATGACACAGCCCCGACCATGCCTGCAGTGCACCTAATCCCACAATTTCTGGTCAGCTTGCCGAAGATGGATGACCATGGATTTATTTTTTAAAATCTCCCCGCAGCAATAACTTGCTGTGGTATCGTGTGACATTGCATGTTCTAAAACTATACAACACCCTTTGTTGACAGTGTCTGGAGGTATGAAAACATTTTGAGTTGGCACATTTCATAGGTAAGTTCAGCCATCTCAGATGTAACAGATCAACTTCTTGAGTAACTCAATGAGTGACAATGGAACTGAAATGCACAGCAGAGCTGTGCCTGGCACTACATGTTATGACCTAATTAAAGCAACCAACATGTATGGTGCAAGGTGTCTTGTGGGGTTTGCTAGATATCTTTCTATGTCTATAGTAGACATTGTTTGACAGGCACTTCTTTGAAGTTTGTTGGCTTGGAGAGAGATGGAATCGGAGGAGAATGTGCCACTTATGAGCAATAGTCTGTAATTCTAGGGGGAAAAAAAATTGTTACTCGACACGTTTAATACATTAAAAGGTTGCTTGCTAAGTAACTGTAGACAGGGTTAGGAGTGGAATTGCCACACCCAATTGTCTGTTTGAAACCACCAACTTTTGATAGGGGACCTTTGTATTCATCGAAGCATTGCAACCGCAAGTAGGTTCACAAAACATGCAGCCAGTTGCACTATTTAGTTTCGGATCATTTTATTTCTAAGTATCGTTGCAAACGATACCTAGACTCTATCGTTGCAAAAATGTTTGAGCCTGATCGGGTACTTTACAATTAACCAAATATAAAACTAGATATGGCACTAAGTGACCAGAGTTACTGGAACTCAATATGCGCAACATCGTCGGCAATTCCTTTTGAAATATAAGCAACATTTTTCTTTGTAAGAGCGGTTTTTTCACATACTTTCTGAGACATCGGAAATGGGTAAGTTTTGGCTCGTGGGCAACATACAGTTGGTGCTATTCATGTCTCTTGCAGATGGATCACTTACGGAAGCACAACATTCTAAATGATAACAATTAACTATGTATATACATAAACTGAAGGTGCACAACGCTATTTACATTCTCTTTGCTTGTTGCAAAGTTTAAATAAAATCATTGCTCTTTGGGATGCATGGACAGTGAACCTATGTACATGGAGTTCATACATGTATGCATGTGTTAGTGACAGATCTGGGCCCTGATGCCTGTTTTCAGGTAAAAACGTGCACAATCTAAACCTGCAAGCAGATTAAATTAAATTTGTTTCAATACAGTTGAAATGAGCAAGTAAAAACGAAATATCACAATAGCATCTCCACGAAAGGGCCATTCTTACCAAACGAATGGGGTGCAGTTTTGGTACATCAACAAACTGCATACTTTCAATACTGCCCTCTAAATTCGAACTTGAAATAGTAAAGTTTTGCCACAAAATTGCCTCTGGGAGTTGAGAATTCTGCTGAAGGTGCATTACTTTTGATTTCGAGCTTCCTTTTTCATTTCATGGAGCATGAAGGGTCTTGTGGCAACCTGTGGTTCCCATGGGACATTTCTAGAGGATAATACCCTCAATTTCTGGAGGCAATCCATATGCTTTTTTCACAAAGTGTTAAGGTATTGCATTGTAAGAGGGGTTCAAGAAGCCCAGTCTGTTTTTCGGATGATGATGAGGTGAAATTTTGTGAATGGTCCTATTGTGTTGTTGGATACACAATGTTCAGTTCCTAGGGGGAAACAATATTTTTGGCTGGGGTTCCAGATTACACCCTAACGATTTTATCAAGATTTAATAAGGAATAACAAAGTACTGTAATTCGCCTACATTTTCAATCATCAAATGTGTGTTAACACATACATTAACCAACATGTCAAGGTTGTATTTACAGTCGTCTACCTAGTGTATGTCTATGTACATATATATCTACTCTCGTGCAGCTAAGTATTCAAATTTCCTTGTGAAATAACCAGCAGTATCTCGTTCGATAGTAGATAATTATATCACATTTCTCAGCAGGTTATTTTGTGTACTAAGCCAGGTGTCATAGTTTTGCCCTAAATGGGCAAAATATTGAATCACAAACTGCCAGTGCCTAGAATCTCTACCAAAATAATTCCACAAAAAATGTCAAAAAACGAAAGTTCATGAGAAAAGTAAGGATAGAGGAACATTGTACAAATGACCACGGTAGCACATAGTGTAGCATCAAAAGTTTGTTGGCTGCAAATCGGTACAAGCTTGTGCATTTTTTTTTAAACTGTTCTGCCTAGTAAGATTAAAGCAACAGCACTCATCACGTTTTGTTAAAAGTGCAGGTACAACGGACACTGCTAAGTTGACCACATCTAAAATCAGCAAAATTACAACTTTTAGTTTGTTACGCAAAGGTTTCATGAGTCACTTTACTGATTGTTCAAAGTGCAGCTATGAGCCTGCCATTACCCTTGCATGTGAGCGGTTCGCTCCAATATACATCGCCTTAAATGCAGCATTCATGCTTAGAGATATTTTGTGAGCACATTTTTAAACGTTGTTCAACCACACTTTTATAAATTAAAAATCTTTCCAAACTATGAATGTGTTGAATTTGACCTCAAGGTCGCCAACTCGCTAGTATGGTATATCACGGACGCTTGTACCTGCATGTTAGTAAACTGATAGTACTTGTGGAATCTCCATAGTGTTCACTGCATTACCCACAATCTGTGACAAAGGCATATAATGTGCTTTCGGGGAAAAGAGAGTTTCTGGTGCGACAATCGGGGTGAACAGGGTAGAAACCGAAAGACACTCTTCTCAACACGAAAGCAGTGTTTAAAAAAAACACACGTCTCGCGCTCCTCAACTTACTGGTGTAAGAACATGATAATTTGTTTTGGCGTGCTCCTCTGTCGAACCTCTAAGTATATATACACGGTTCGTCGACTGTTGCATGGAAAGTCGTCCTCTACTTCAAGCCGCCACTGGGTGGAATCCTCTGATTTCTGAAGACAGTATTCTGAAGGGTACGTTTCCACCTGTCCACGGTGTCCTTCAGCTTCGTGAGCCATGTGAGCTGGTGGGAGAGATGTCGGAATGGACAGACTTAATAAACTCGGCACGGTCTTTCAACTCTCTACAACATGGGTTCTCAAACCGTGCCCTAGGAATACAGGTGCTTCCCAGAGTACCTTCAGGTGTTCCCTGATCTCCCAAGTCTCGTTGACCGTCCTTGCTTCTGAGCGGTGTTGGGAAGTACTTCAAGTACAGGGTGTCACAAAAGAAAATTTACACGGTCTTTTTTACCGCAAAAATAAACTAGGCATCGCCGAACGCTCATTCTCCGCCCAAAGGTAGAGCTAGAGGTCACAACCAGATGCCAAAGTATCAGCCCGATCCGATAACTTAATCAAAAGTGATAAGCGATTTTCTGAAAATTTCAATGGGAAAATGGCGGCCGACGGAGTTTTCAAACACATGGGGTTGTATGGCACCAGAAACCGAAAACGGGCAAAAATGGGCTCCATTTTCCCATTGAAATTTTCAGAAAATCATTTATAACTTTTGATTAAGTTATTGGATCGGGCTGAAACTTTGGCATCTGGTTGTGACCTCTAGCTCTGCCTTTGGGCGGAGAATGAGCGTTCGGCGATGCCTAGTTTATTTTTGCGGTAAAAAAGACCGTGTAAATTTTCTTTTGTGACACCCTGTACATTAAGCACTACTTCAAGTAGATGGAAAGCTTGTACTTTACTTGAAGTACATTCTCTGAGTATGTGTACTTGTTTGTAGTTTACTTAACATACTATTTTTTCTGGCACTTTCCGAGGAAACTACGACTCCCGACTTCAGAGCACATTCCCCAAATTTGATCTTGTTAAATTTGTATCACAAAATGATGCTTTGTCAACTCTGAAGAAATACTGGGAGGAATATTTATAGGGTAAAGATAGCCCAAACAAACCTTTTAGGGATATTCTACTTTCACCAGAAACGCGAGCAGACAATGCATTGCTCCGTTTGTACTGGGGCGGCTTTCCCACAGCATTTCGAGCTCTGGCCAGTTCTTGCTTGGTCAGCGCATGCGAGGAGGTTAAAAATATTGGGAAAGGACACTCCTCCCCGAGAGGATTGCTTGCTGAAGTTCCGCAAGCAATCCTCTTGGGGAGGAGGGATTTCCGAATTTGGTGCCATTCCGAAAATAACCACTTTCTGGCCACTTCACTTTATCTACAGTGTTTTCTTTACCCAATATTCGCTGCCATTTTCGAAAATAACTGATGCCGCCCCGATTACCCCTGGAACAATGCATGCCAGTTAGAAAAAAAAAAATGTATAGAGGAAAGAAAGTGCAGCATGATAGATGTTAAAAAGTACTTTTACTTCACTTTGAAAGCACATTGCGGTTATGGTACTTTACTTCAATGACATTCTTTGCCAAAAGCTTAGAGCCCACCGCGCGCGCAGCCGGAGCGAGCTCACTCTTGTGCAGCGGCGCCACTACCGTCAGCACTCGCTGGCAGCGAGGTTTTCGAGAGTGAGGGCGAACTTTGCTCTTGCGTCACACTCACCGCGTTATCAAAGCGAGCGCGACGCAAGAGCGAAGTTCACACTCACTCTCAAAAACCTCGCAGCCAGCGAATGCCGACGGGAGCTGTGCCGCCGCACAGAAACGAGCTCGCTCCGGCCGCGCGCGCGGTGGGCTCTAAACTTTTCCAAGGACTGAACATTGCGCCCAGTGTACTTACTACCTTCATTTGAAGTACTGTACATAACCTCTCATTTACTGTGTACTTTATCAAGTACCTTTTATATGCATTTTGCCCAACACTGCTTCTAGGTAAACAGTTTTCCCTGCTAAAGCAATGTTTTAGCGGATTAACTAATCTACTAACGCACAACTGCGTGCCGAATACTCCCTAGCATGGGCACCACTGTTTGCATGGCCTATGAGCTTCTGTACCGCTTTACTGCATTAACGCCGAGACTGGGAGCGGTTCCTCGGCTGCCATTCAAGGCAGATGGAGGTTCCTCGAGGGCGAAGAGTTTGAGAACACTTGAACATGTTTTCAAACCTAGACATTTGAATTTTTACTTAGAAGGGCATTCGACGTTCTTATCATGCTCGCGGCTAACTCAAAGGTTGAGGTTGGACAACCCCGTGATCTTTGTATGGATTGTGTGCATTCTAAGTAATTCCTGCATGCGCACTGGTTCTAAGTAATTCCTGCATGCGCACTGACAACCAGTCATAGTGACCTACTGGAACAGTCTCACTATCATCCAGTGTTACAGGCAAAATAAAAGAACGCATTGCCGACCTACGTCACTTCAAAATAAAAGGAACGCTTTACCGCCACCGTTACCGATAAAAAGTAACTTACATTACTTTTACGTTACTTTCTATTTATAAATTGACGGCAACAGCGTTTTTTATTGTTTTTTTTTTATCGATAGCGTTTTCTGACATTGGTACTAAGGGCAGAGGCGTTGAGGTTTTTCTAAAGTGGGACTTTTGCGTGGGGAAAGAGGCAAAATACTGAAGGTATGTGGAATGAGTGCAATAACTGGCGACTTGGCGCCTATACGCCTATACGCTACGAGCGAATGGGACCTATGAAGCAGTGTCAAAAGCGCAAGTCACTAGGCTTTTCTTTTTTTTTTTTATAATTGGTTCAGCGACGATGGCACAAGTAAAGAAAACATAACGATCACCATAATTGTGCACTTTTGACCCTGTCTGAGTGATCCCACCAGCTCATTTCATCGGCTGCGTCTGGACTTGAGGTAAAACTAAGTACAGAAACACACACACAAAAAAAGTCAAGTGTAGTTTTTCCAGGCGGGAAGAGGAGGTAACGAGTACCCGTTATTCGAAATAAGTAGCGTAAGTACGTCACCCGTTACTGTTTTGGAAAAGTAACGAGTACGTTACTACGTTACAGAAAAAAGTAACGCGTTACCGGTTACGCCATTACTTGTAAAGCGTTACCGCCAACACTGCTATTATCCATGTTTCAAGAATATTTCCCTTAAGAAATTCCGACTGTTTCAAATTTATAAAGATGTAGAATGCCCCGGTGGCAATTGGTTCGTCGAACGACGTTTCATGGACAAATCGTTTCGTCGACACTGCGATGTTTCATCGACAGATCGTTTCGTGGAAACGAGCACCCGCTCAAAACTGCCCTAGGCATCGTCTTTTTCATCTCTTACAAGCGCATGTACCTTAAGTTTCCGGCATTCCTTTCAAAACCGCAAAAAAGAAAAAAAAAAGTTTGTCGACGAAACGTTTTACGGTGGTGCTGTCGACGAAACGATTGTCGACGAAACGTTACACTGTCGACGAAACGTGTGTCCATGAAACGTGTGTCCACGAAAAGTTGTCCACGAAACGTAATTCCACGAAACGAGTTTCGACGAAATGATAGGGACCCAGAATGCCCTACTCGTTTTTATTGCAGACTATATTTATGGTTTGAAAAAGTATGTGCGCATCATTGGCTAAGCTTTTCAAATATTTTTGTTATGAAGGAAACTTGGCATAATCTACGGGCCAGTAAATGGATGAACAAGAGAAACAACTGTGGAATTAATAGAGTAAAAAATGCGGATTGATGAATTGATCTATTACCTTTCCACTTTCGTTTTGTGCCTGGAACGTGTGGACCGTGACAATTTGTTGAAACCGGTTTAGGCAGACGAATACAAAGGCATTTTTCAGGTTATTGGCTGAAAACGATAGAAATATAAGTGAGCATGGTTTCTGCATCAGGACGTCACACGGACTTTTAAAATATGAAAGCAGTAAACTTTCAACGTCCAGCTCCTTACCTGATCCATCTTGTACGGTGACGTCGTGGATGCATATCCTGTCCAGGGACAGGGGCTGCTTGTAGACCACATACTTGAAGCCCCCTTCATGAATGGAATTGCCCTTGCTGCAGGTACTGGCCCAGTTTTCTGTGATGGACGATTTCTGTGCAAGTAAAGCGTGATTTTTTTTAAGGTATAGTGGATGTTGTGCCAAATCACACGGAAAGATATGGGCTTATTCTCTGTGCAAAAGCTGTCATCCGATATGGCAGTTTTTTTTTTAAGCTGATCAATCTCTTCACAAAAGTCATCGTTTCAGGAACCATGAATTGAAATGCGCGTTATACGACATTGCTTCAGTGTAAACCAGCAACGTAGCCAAAACTCTTTTTTTTTCAGTGTGGGGGGAGGAGGGGGGGGGGGGAGGGGAGGTTTGCGTTTCTATGATTTGGGAATCCCCGCCCCTGCCCGTTTCGATTTGGATGATCATCGTACCGGCGTGCGGTCGTGTATCACTAGTGCGTGATGCACGTTAAAGACCCCAGGCTAGCGGTTGTGCCGCACTGGCTAAATTGCTCATCTACAGCTGGGAGACTCGTCGCCCTTGGAGGCAGACCAAGTTCTAGGCTGTATAAACATACACACAACCCCAAAAAGCTATATATGCATATAGCCTACACATTATACAGGATTGCCAACATTTCGCCGAGGGCCGCTAAAACTTTATATGAACCTCCCCTTTTGCACTCTGGCTACGCCCGTGGTCTGTATTGCCCTGTATTATCTGCTTGCTAAATGAGACTCCTTATTTCTTGAGAACAAAATCAATATACTTAAAAAAAGTAATATGAACTAAAAAATAATAAAGACAAAAAAAAGCTTCAGTTCTACTATTACTATTTTCATAATAATCAGTACGATTGGATAAAATGTTGAAGGATACGATTGGATAAAATGTTGAAAGAATCATCAACGAACAGCACCCCCTTTCTGTGCCACTAAAAATAACTGCCAATTTTTAAACTGAAATTAGATCTGTTGACACTGTAATGTTTAATCTTGGGAGAAAAGCAAGACTTCTCAACTCTTTTGACCTGAGGATCTCTTGGTTGGTGACCATGCTGGCTCCTCCATGTTCCCTTCATGCACATGCAAACACCAATAAAACTTAAAAAAGAGACACAACACACATATTCTCACGGCTTTCAAGAAAACTGTCTGTGACCAGTAATTTTCTAAATGTTCGAAAACTGGCCAAAACAAAATTAATTTTTATACCATAAAAAAGAAGGAACATAAAATGACTTTTACAGCATAAAAAAAGCACTTCATCTTACTTTTTTTTGATCATGTGACAGCACTGGGTTTAGGAGAATATCTCATTATCTGTCGCCGAGAGAAACGATCTTGAACTTGGGCTTTACTGGTAAACATACTGTTTACATAGCCCTTCGCAAGCATTTAAGGAGGACAGTGACAGGTGCACAAAAGTAGAGGTAAGTATATTGTATGAAACATAGCACCGACTGAACAACACCAAATATTTCCAACTTGATGCGCTCTGTTCCGTAAATAGTGCACAACGCTACTAATGCAAGCGCGTGCAAAAAATAATAAAAAAATTAGGGGTGGTTAGACGCACTTGTTTAAAGAGCCATCAAAAGAAACCATTTTTAAGTGAAGAGCGGCAACATAAAAAGAGCGTGCCACTTTTTTTCTTTTTGTGGTGGTTACGGCGAATTTTACTTATTAAGCGTTTGCTCAATATGTTTTTTTTAAATTTTATTATGAGACTCACTATTAGGAGAATAAGGACCTTGTCCGGTGTGCGTATGATAGCACAAAGCTGACAAAACGCAAGTTTTTTTTTTATGCTGTCCTCCACTTTTTTTTTTTAACTTGACTTATTATAAACTTAATTATACTAAACTCTTCAACAAACAGGCCCCTTGACAGTGACCAATACAGTACCTATCTTACTGCTGAGAGGGTTTTAACAGAAATGCACAGTATGTCCCGTGCATTGCACCCCAGCAACGATGACATGTAGAGAATATTGCAATAGGAACGCAGCCGGCCATATAGTTCGCTTATATACCGTATGATTTGCCAAAGAACGGCCGAAAGATTTTTCTATGAACTATGCGTCGCTCATGAATAAGATAGGTACTCTGTTGGTCACTGTCAAGGGGCCTATTTATTGAAGAGTTTAGTATAATTAAGATTAAAATAAGTCAAGGTAAAAAAAAAAAAGACCTTGAAAATGCAACTAACTCCGGCGCGCCAACGTAGAAGTAAACAGGGCGTCAAAAAAAAAAAAAAAAAAAAAAAAATTACATTGTATTTCTTGTTGCAAAAGTAAACTAGGCATCGCCGAACGCTGATTCTCCGCTCAAAGGTAGCGCTAGAGGTCACAACCAGATGCCAAAGTTTCAGCCCGATCCGATAACTTTATCAAAAGTTATAAGTGATCTTCTGAAAATTTCAATGGGAAAATGGTGGCCGACGAAGTTTTCGAATACATGGGGCTCTATGGCACCAGAAACCGAAAGCGGACAAAAATGGGCTCCATTTTTCCATTGAATTTTTTAGAAAATCACATATAACTTTTGATCAAGTTATCGGATTGGGCTCACACTTTGGCATCTGGTTGTGACCTCTAGCGCTACCTTTGGGCGGAGAATGAGCGTTCGGCGATGCGTAGTTTATGTTTGCGGTAAAAAAAAAATCTTGTAAATTGTTTTTGTGATACCCTGTATATATATATATATATATATATATATATATATATATATTTTTTTTTTTTATCGCTATTCCCACTTTTGCTTTGCCGGCCTACGTCTGTAGCACAAAAGGTAGCACTCTAAAGTTTTTGTAGCGTTTACTGCTTTAGCAGTTTTAATGATGCTCCCCCCATCAAGGGAAATCGTCTATTTATTTTTACTAGCCAAAACTGTAATTACGCAAATTAATCAAGCACTTTATTATCTGAAACGCGGACGATATAAAAAAGCCCAGGTGAGCGCGTGGCTTACAAGGTCTGTCGCGCTGTCTATATCAAGAGAAAGCTCAACTCTTATCGAGGCTTCAGCGGCTCTTAAATGTTTCTCCTCACTAGCTGACGGCGATGCTGAGTTCATGCTCATTTCGCAAAATACAAACACGACGAAAGGCAAAATCAAACGTGGCTGAATCCATCATGTCGGCAGGTTGAACAATTAGTTTTCTGGGCCTTCGATAATAAGCTCGCGACGCGGGATACACGATAATAAGCGGGTTGTCACATGACATCAATCCGCCATTTTGCTGTTGGAGTGAGGGAGTGAGGAAATGATTTATTTATTAGAAGAAACAGAGATAAAAGGTAAAAGAGGCGCAATGAAACTTATAAGCTTTCGTGCAGTACCTGATTTGAGGACGACTTTTAAATCTTCAGAATAATCGCCTTCAGCACGCACCAGACAACTCATGATAACAAAATGGCGGACGAAATCACGCCGGTGTTTGCTGACTGAGTGGGGATTAACGACAAATGTCGAACAGCCGCTAAAATGCTGATGGTTCACACAGAAGCCTCGATGATGACTCAGCTTTCTTCCGTTAGACAGCACTGGAGGTCTTTTGATATCGTCCGCGAGTGAGCCTCACTAAATTGGCCCCAAGGCAGTGACTCATTACGGCACCAATCGGTTTTATCTGGGATGCCTAGTTTTCGCAGGAGAAGTCTGGTCGGTCCTGACTGGGGATTCGCTCAATAGTAACTTTGCTGACGTCACTGACAGCTTAAGAAGGGCGTGGCTTATTATGGGCCCGCCTGTTCTTGGTTTGTGATGCGTCATCATGGCCACCAGCGCGTCTTGCCGTGTCTCACAATAAGCTTTTCGGCATCTCTCGTAAAGCTTCAGTGTGTTTGCTGCTTGGGGAGGGCCTACGATGAACTAATGATGACGTCATACGCACGACTAGTCTTCTAGGTGGTGTTATCTGAGCGCACACCTTGTCGCTTCGTAGAAGAACGCGCGTCCAGTCCGGCGGTGGTCAAAATACACAGGAACTACACGCACAGAGCCCACCGATATGATGAGAATCTCTCGCATTTTTTTTTTTTATCTCGAGGTTTTTGATTACATAATGCTTTTTTTTGTTTTGCTAGAGAGTTCTGCGCAAATTGCCGTCTTTAGACAAACGTTACAAAACAATAAGGCCAACAAACAAATAAGAAAGCAAGCAAACAAACTAACGAATAAGCAAATGAACAATCATGCATATAGAATTAACTGGGAAATAACGGGCTTCACTTCAGGTGACAACGTCTTAGAAATACAAATATCCAAAGTGCACTATCACTAGTGCAGATGTCTCGTCGGATTACCTTTTTATGCAGCCCTTTTTTTCTTCTGGTAATAAGAATCATATCGTCAAAGAGAACCACATAAACCTCGGATGGCTTTCCGCTATCTGGAAAAAAAGAAAAAGAAAAAAAGACACGTGGGTGTTCAAAAAACATAACAAAAAACACGAACGGAATCGAGAACTCATATCTGGCTGTGCACGGGTGATGCCCAGTCCTTACCGAGCAGCTGTAAGGCTCCTTCATAGATTATCTGGCGCCTCGGACTGACGATCAGTCTCTCGCAGGGTTGTTTAGCGAGCGGCGTCTTTAGAAACTGCAACAAAGCGATATTGATAACGTTTGATCAAGCGCTACCCAAAACATTTGGCTCGTATGAGAGCATGTCCCCCCCCCCCCCCCCCCCTTTAAAGAGAAAGTTGATGTTATTTTTTTATTGAAAAAATAATTTACGCACTCTGGAACGCTCATTTTTTCCCCAAATGTAGCTCTAGCGGCCTGACCCAGATGCCAATGTTTCAGAACCAACGCTTTTCTCGATCAAGAGTTATAAGTGTTTTTCTTAAAATTTCAATGGGAAAATGTGACCCGTCCTTGCTAACTGACGCCATTCAGCTCCACGTATTCGAGGACTCCGTCGGTCACCATTTTCCCCCTGAACATTTGAGAAGATCACATAACTTTTGATGAACATAACAGTTTGCTCTAAAAATTTGAACTCTAGCGTTACATCTAAGTGGAGAATGGGCGTTCGGCGATTAGCAATTTATTTTTGTGACAAAGAAGCAAAAAAAAAAAAGTAAGTGCACATTGTTTGGAGAAACGCCTTGTATATTGTTATATGTTTCCAGATGTATACATTTGCGGACAAAATAATCTAGAGCTACGAACATACTTTTTTAGGCGCCGTAGGGACATGAAGGAAATTGTTCAAGAAATACCAAGTGCTTGAGGAAAAACAAAAGAAAAACAAAAATAGATATGTCTTGCGCGCGGCAGAAATAAACTACGCATTTCCGAAAGCTGAGTCACCGCTTAAATATAGAGCTAGCGGATAGAAGCAGACGCCAAGGTTTCAGAACTCAACCTTATTTGATTAAAAAGTTACAAGCAATTTTCGGAAAGTTTCAATAAAAAAGGAAAAAAAAGCGACAGCCAAAGAAGTTTATGAATACGTAGAAATGAATGGCATTTGCTACGGGCGACATTTCCCAAACGCAAACTTTTAAAAATCGCATATAACTTTAGAGTTTGATGACGGCAAATTCTGCAACTTTGGCATCCAATTCCGCCACATTTGGGCGGACACTGAACGTCCGGCGATGCGTAGTCTATTTCTACGCTGACAGAAAACAAAACAACAACAACAAGGTTCTCTTTTCTCTGGAACATCCAATTCACAGAAGATATCCCAGATAAAGGAGATTCGCCATATCGTCCGCTAGCACGCGTTGGCAGCAACACGTGCAAACAAACCCCGATAGATGCCCCACCCCTATTTTCGGCTTGATTTGTTATTTTCTTTTAAGTACCAAAATAGAGCCCCCTCCTAGTGATCGTTGTGTTCGAATCAATGATGACTGCGAAGTGAATGCGTCTATACTCGTTTTCACCCCAAGAACCGTGGTAACAAAAGTACGGCTTCTCGCGCAGCATCACTAATTTCCCTCTTTATGCTGAGAAATGAGATATATGTACGTGCATTTTAGATTAGATATATGTTATCCCATCAAGACGTACACATTTCAAACGCCAGATGCATCGCTTCTGCCTCCGACAACCAAATCTTGTAAGAAATTCTCCGCACGGCGTATGAACATTGAGCAGAACTTCCTTTTTTTTTTTCTTAAGGTGGAAACGGCTATAGTTCATTATGGCTGGATATAAGCGAACATTGCTGACTGGGAAGTACAGTCATCTTTGCTTCAGTGCCCCCTCGCCGCAATAGCAAGTTTGGCAGAGACACAATATCTAAAAAGATAATTTTTTTCAGCTTCTCTAAATTGCACACCGAAAGTTAGCCCACTCCTTATTTTCACGAAATTCCCCTTCAATTTTAGGTGGGCTATCTCTCGGGATACTACGGTAAGCACACAGTCGACGTAACGCTGACAATAGAATCCTGGAAACGAAGCATACCTCCGGAATAAACGCTTTCGGATCCAACTCGGTGACCGAAGGCCATATGATGTTCCTCTGGATTTCTAACAATCGTTCAAAGTTCTTGAGCCACTTCATCTTGTCATCCAGCTCACCTGAAGAAAAAGAAAATCCCCGCTACAGTAAATATTCTTTTTTCATGTTTTAGCTTTGCCTATTGGATCATAATAGACTTTTGTGAACAATTTTATTAGCACGAAAGTAAACAGGAAAACAAATAAATAATGCCTTTTCAACAAACGTGCGATTTGAACTATCAGCAAATGCGGCATCAATTTACAGTAGCTGTTGGAGACCGCTTAGGAGAACGTCCCGAGCTAGGAGGCACGAGTGTTCCACTTACAAGCTCCAGGTGCGGCCACGTCTCCGTGCTAGTGGCGCAGCACTCTGACATATCATTAGCTCTAGGTCGAGAAGCGCTCTGGGTTTGAGGGGCCATTACCCGGCTTAGGACCTTCCTCAAAATCAATAATACCCGGAAAAAAAGGTTTGTGCGTTCGCTTTTTTTTCTGCAGAAAACAAAAACACAAATAACGGCAAAGCAGAAAAAAAAGAAAAAAAAAAAGAAATGAAATTCAGCGAATGAAGGAGCCCAGAATACGATTAGACCAAAACGTGCGATGTGCACAGGGACAATGAACATGACGTTTTACTTTTGGTTTCAAGGCTAGGTGGCAGAAGCTACCGCTCGTTCTAAAGGGTACAGCCATTAGCCCCCATCCATCCATCCATCCGTCCCTCCTTGTTCATTGTCCCTGCGCACGCCGCCATTTTTGGATATAATCGAATTATGAGCTCGGTGATTCGTTGGTGTCGTTCTGTTGTTCCCCTTGATTGGCTGTCTCTGTGCTGTACAGCAAAGTGAACTCACAGTTTCTTTTTAAAATGCATGCGCTCGCGTGTGTGATCTTGAGCAGAGTTGTATAGGGTACTCATTACAAGTAATCAAATTACTTGTGATCGATTACTTTTTAAAATAATTTCGTAATAATTCCATTCCACTTATTAGGTAGTAATTACGAGAGTATTCTGTTTACTTTTGAAAGTAGTAAAGTTATAATACTTCGCACTGTTACTATTTTTCCTTCCCTAATTCCTAATGGTACCCTCTGTTTCCACGACCTTCCTAGCGAGGAATCCTCAAACCAAATCCCTGACTGAGGGACGAGCTACCAAATGTGGTGGATTTAGAAGATGAGTAGTTTGTAATCCGCTGATTCTAATCTAATAATGAACAGCGTGAAAGAACCGTTTTAAAACCGACAGAAAGGTATGCCGTTGCGAAAACTTGAAGCAATCGGAAAAGTAACGGTCACTTTTTCAAGTAATGTTTATTTACTTTTTCCTCGGGTAATAAAACAATCGATTTGGATTAATTTTAACCGAGAGTATTAGTAATTGTAATTGATTACTTTTTTTAAGTAATGTTTTCAAGACTGATAATGTTGAGCCATGGTTCAAGGCGCTAAAAAGACGAACGCGCGAGAGAAGACAAACACGGGCAGCAGAGCCCGTGTTTGTCTTCTCTCTCGTGTTCGTCTTTTTAGCGCTTTTAAGCATGGTTCAAAATGTTCATCACCAACTAGCCCAACAGTGAGTACTTTTAAAGATCGATAGTATGTTGCGACCTCGCCGGGCGTTGCTTAACAACTTCCTACTGTAGCAACGAGCGCCAAATTTCGTCTGATGACGTAACATATCAAACTCTCCTGTTCTTGGACAAAGTCATTTAGGCTTTTCTATTTTTGTTTCGTTTTATTGAGTATCGAAGCAAATCCTTTTTTGAAGTTAAATATACCGTTAAGATTGTTTCCAGCACGCCCCGTGTCTAAATCTTGTATCTGGTGTTCGTCACTGACTATGAGATTAAAATAATGGTCAGCGTTTTCTTACTAAGCCAACAAATACAGTTGTCTGAACAACTGTTACAAAAAGAAAATAAATGCAGAACAAAGAGTCAGGGGGGGGGGGGGGTGACTCTTTGTTTTGTTTATTTTTCTCCTGTAACCCCCCCTCTCCCCTATTTTTTCTTTTTAACTTTCTATGTATGACACACTTAGCTTAGATAAATGTACAAACAGGCCAGGACTTTACGGGATTGACACAAAACATACATAAAAACACTTACGTATCATTACACATAACAAAACAGAGCAAAAAATAAACCTCATTTTCTTTTCTTTTTCCTTACACTGGTGCAATTAAAAAAAAAATATGGGTATATTAACAAGGAGGTTACTCAGAAGTTTTGGGATTTGTTAAGTTAGTTTTTGCATGCTATTGCACGGCCAAAAATTGTATTCATATTTTTGCTAAAAATACAAAACAAAAAAAAAAACAAAAAAACTTGTTGCGGACTTTATTTTTTTAGAGACAAAAAAAAAAAAAAGAAGCCAATTCTTCTTTTCAATTTCAAAATTTCGCATAATTAATGTCTTGTTTCTTTCTTTTTTGTTTTTGTTCTAACTTTTTTTTTTGCGAAATACCATTTCAACAATGTTCGCAGTTTCCTATATCCTCAATAAACCTTTTGCGCGCTTTGCCCTATGAAAATATGCAGAGATTTACGGCGGAATATTACTTTCGTTGTGCGAGGTTGTGCAATTCTCGTCATACGTTAGGTAATGCAATAATTTTACTTTAAAGTTCTAGGCACTAGTTAAACTTTATGTTATGACTTCATCGGGCAAAGTGAGAAACGCAAGGCTTACCTAGAAAAAGAAAATTCGAAATATGATTGTATCCGTAGAAGCATCGCCGGAGGGAACGCCGGATACGGGCATTTGACGCAAAAATTAAAACAAAAAAGGGACGTGCCGGGAACTGTTTTGATGGGAGGAAGGAAAAAAAAATTCAATGTGAGCGCGTCCGGAAAACAAGTGCGTAGCGAAAATCCTCGTATCGAAACGGCCGCATAGAAAAACGCCCGCACCGAATCGTCCGGCCCTGAAACGAGCCGTACCGGAAGGTTCTTTTCTGTTATTTTGCACTTAATTGCTAACGCTCAAATTAAAAAAAAAAAAGCTAACAAGTCGAATATGACACGTCTGCAAACATTATCGTTATTGCAAAATAGTATTATTATTATTATTTTTTTTCTGAAACGAGGCCGACGAGGCTTATAAAGATTTAGGCCGTTTTCGGGCCGTATCGAAAGGGCGATCAGGGTGGTGAGAACCGCCATACGGTCGGCTTGACGGAACGTCAGGGTCACTTTAGAAGGTGCGTGTCGCAGCCACTGTTGCCCGACAGCCTAAAAACTGCAGGGCGTTCCACGCCCTGCAGTTCTTAAGCTTCGTATCAGCCGATTCCAGAATCTCATTGGCTTCTCTTTAGCCAATGAGTACTGGCCGATTAGAACGTCAAAGAACGAATCACCAAGCAAGAAGCTCGAATATAATAGGCCGCGGACTGCGGCTTTAAGTCAAAGTGCCCCACGGCAGAGATTGAAAAAGCTCATACACTCTAAAAAAAGTCTGTGCGTCTGCTTTCACGCACTACACTCGGAGAGCCAATCAGCGCAACTTAAGGAGGCAGCTCAGCGAATGACGATGCCGAAACATCTGTTTAGACCAAAAAACGCAGTCTGAGTTGTGACATTCAGCAATGCAAAACGTCACGCTCGCATTGCTTAATGTCACAACTTAGTCTGCGTTTTTTGGTCTAAACATATGTTTCGGCATCGTCATTCGCTGAGCTGCCTCCGTAAGTTGCGGCGATTGGCTCTCCGAGTGTTCTGCGGGAAAGTTGACGCACAGACTTTTTTTAGAGTGTACCAGCAGCGACCGCCAACTGCTCGCTATTCAGAAACGCCTTTCCCCTGCGCGCTGTTACTGATTCGCGCAACGTTTAGTATGGTACCTGGAGCACGTCTCCGACTTGTATGTTTACCGCGTCAAAAAAAAAGAAAAAAAAAGTGGTCCCCCGATTTCCGCTTGATTACGTCATTGAAGTGTCTTACTGTCGCCTGCCGCGATCCTGGTGGTGTCACAGCAGCGCTGGTGGACATGGCAGACACCTGTTCTGCCATGTCCACTCTCGAGCTTGGCAGTCGACGGGAGCTTCGGCGGCCAGGATCGCGACATCCGTCAGCCTAACACTTCGGCTACTGTGTCGTCATTTGCTGCCACTTCGATGCACGGGCTGGATAGGACGTATGTAATCACATCAGTCGGAGACGCGTTCCAGGCCCCGCACTTTTAAGTCGGACCGCAATATCCGTGGTTCAAATGCCGCGTGCCAAAGTTTTTTCTTCGAACTCATTGCCATGCGGCATTCGAAACAGAGATCTCGCGGTAACTCGAGGTCGAATCTGTAAGCAGATTGTATTCTTAGAGCGCAGCTCTTAGGCGCCCGTTTCCGGCTTGAGCGGCGTCGCCGTCGCCGTCGGCGTAACCGCAACCCACCCCCAGAGGACCTCGGGGGGACCTCGGGTTCCTTCGGGAGGAGGGTACCTTCGGCGACCTCGGGGAGGAGGGACCACGTGACTGCCCCCCCCCCCCCCCCCGAGGTCACGTGACCCCCTCTACCTCCGAGGTTACGTGACCCCCCCCCCCCCCGAGGTCACGTGACCTGGGGGTCACGTGACTCCCTCAGGCCACGTGACCCCCGAGTTCCCTTGACACTCGATATCACGTGACCCCCTCCCCGAGGTCACGCGACCCCTCCCCCCCCTCCCGAGATCACGTGACCCCCCCCCCCCTCAGTACCCTTCACTACTCCCCCTCAAGAGCTGCGCTCTAATTCTGCCTTACAGGGAGTTGTAAACGGCTTTCATTTTTTTGTACGATGTATAAGCGGCGTGGCCCCGGCTTCAGGGGCACGGCCTGAGCTTTTGATAAGGAGCGTTTGGCGGCGTCTGCGTACGTACGCAGGGAGTTTTCTTCTGCCTCCAAGATGGCGGTGATGGAGTCTCGCTCCTCCACGTCCTCGGTGCGCATCTCGATGTCCTTGAGGATGAGCGGCACCCGCATGATGTGCTGCACGGGGGACACCAGCAGGTCCGTGAGCTGCAGCTTCTTGCACCGAGGGTCCCGGGAGCACCACTGAAACACCGAGGAAAACAACAACATTTCAGACGTATGATTTGGGCGCACGTTGGCTTTTGAAGAAAGTTCTCATATAAGGGCAGATTTCAACGAGAAAAATCGCGACAGTATTTTACGTCATCTCTTTCAAAATAATCTGAGGAAAATTGTTTACACAGGCTAAAGTGCATTCGTGAAAAACATAAAAAAAAAAAACATAAAAAAAAAAGCTCTGGAGGTTGGCGAGCGCGTGACTTCGAAGACCTCCAGCGCCATCTAACGGAGGAAAGATGCATCGATGCTATTGTGAAACAGCCGCATTCTAGCGGCTGTTTGTTGTCGCCATTCCACACTTGGCCGGCAAAAATGATTGCCGAGTCAACGCCGACAGTAGTAGTGCAGGGTGAAATAATAATAAAAAAAAACTGCTTATCCCCATTTATCCCGCAAAGTTATAATCAAACGCCCGCAAACTGATCGCTCAACAAGCCGACTCGGTGGGTTCGGTTACGTTTGATTTTGCATTTTGTCACGAAACGTACCATGACGTTGTTTTGATCTTCTAGCTTTTAAAAATGAAATAGAATAGCAGCGATGTCACCGACGAAAGGATGACAAAAACAAACGAACAAATAAAATACTATAATATACATCCGATCAACGTGGCTCTAGAAGGAAGCCTAAGACATATATATGACGCCTTATGTTTACGCAATGCTGACACACGAATTATACGCGCCAACTTACCTTCTCGAATTCGTTAAATTCCACTTGCCTCCTCAAGGTTTCCAGGTAATTCAAAGCGTTTATATAGTTAAGCGTGTATCTGTGGTAGGCTTGCCTCAACGCTGTTGCTTTTGTGCTCTGAAAGGAACATTTGGAAAGTTATCGTTAGCTCCGAAATCGGGCCTCAGTTAGAAAACCGGCCCGTGTTTGTTCTTTTAGCCGGCAGTGCCGCTCACCTTCTTGAACAGTTTCAGGAGCACATCGGTTGTGTTGAAGTCGCCTGAGTTCATGCTCGCTATAATAAAGCTAATGAATTCCTTGCAGAAGGCATACGTGACCTGAAACACAGGGACGAATGAGTGATTTAGATACGCTTAAATGAGCTCACCCGAAGTTTGTAAATGAAGAAAGAAGGTAAACCCACGCAGCAGAGCTCGTCGAGATTTCCAAAGAGTACTTCCGGTTCCGCGAACATGGCAAATCCTTCCACTTGAATTTTCTTGAGTGGTTCCATGAACACCTGGTGAAGTGCAGAACCGTCAGACAAAAACCGGTCCCGCGAATATGTTTAAATAAAAGGCTTTCAAGTTGACAAGAAACAAATACCGACAAGCTTTTATTACGTAAACCGATGCGTACTAAGAATACTGGGCAAAAAAGAGAACGTAACCGCGTTTAATCGTTATCGACCCATGGATACTTCGTTCTTCACGGCTCTTCTCGACTGATGCCGCAATTTCATCGGTTTCTGAGCGATAATAAGATGCCCCCAAATCGCCGCGCGTTTCTTAAGCTGTATGTGATGATAGCCAATCACCTAAAAAAAAAAAAAAACAAAAAAAAAATATACGCGAAAAAAACAAAAAACAAAAAAAAACAAGCGGCCATTTAAGCCGCGTCGAAAAGTGTAACGCCATGACGCTCCCCGCCCTTGTGCGTTTGATAGTCACCTACTCAGCCAGTGATGAGTAGCGAAGGCACCGCGATATCCTGAGCTTTATTTTTTGCACGCGATTGGTTTAGCCAACGAGGGCCGCGAGGACGCAATTTTGGCGCCGCTGGGTTGGCTCCGTCGGATAGTGGCGACGGCTGCTAAGGAGTGCTGTCGTCATCGACCCGTCCAACCAGTCAATCACAACGGAATTAAAAAAAAAAAATGCAAACGGGTCAGTTGTTTAGTTACAATAACAATGAACGAATATGACGACCAAGTCCGCTGTTATTGCGGTGATGTTAGAGTTGTGATGGTTGTGTCTGACAGCTCCCTTCCAGCCTGCCTATCATCGAGTGCGATGAGAGACAGCGGGGGACTCTTTGTTGCCTCCATTGCCTTCTCTCTCACTCTTCTCTGTATCACACAAGCACACGCACGCCTATTCATATAAAGCGGTAGGTCAGGGGGTATAGTTAACCCACGCGGGCAGGTACACACACGCGCAGGCGCAGGGAAGCGGCAAGTTATACGCCCTCGGCGCGAGCTTTCTGCCCTTGCTAACGCAAGTGTGAACGAGCAGAGACGCGCAACCAAAGCACCGCGGAAGCCACCGAGATCGCGCTGTAAGGCGGAGCTTCTAGTCTCAGCTTAAGGGTGAACTTAGTATAGAAAAAGTTGTCTGCTTGAGCTTGTCTATAGCCGTAGTTCACGCTTCGCAGTACCGTAGCTCATGTTCTGGAAGATCGAAGAGCCTCGAGATGCACAATCATTGATCAGGCGTCGTTTATGTTCCTTTATTATATTTACGACACTGTCTATTTTCGATTTGTTCGCACACACGTCAGGGTGGAACGCCTCAATCATTTTTGTACATCAGAAAATTTTATTCTACTAATATGGGAAAGTTTAAGAACAAGAGAGAAAGATTGAGCAAGAGAAGATCGACCAGATTTTTCAATTTCACGCGTTGCGCATTTCGGCATAAATAAAACTGTAAGAGATTTTTATATCGTTTTTTCTTTTTTGCGTTTATTGATTGATTAGACGCGCCCCAGAATTAGATATTGGAGGATTTTACTCCCGCGAAAAAGGCCGGTAATAGGTAGAAGACTGGAAGGAGTTTCAGATTAATTTTTTTGATTTCGCAAAACGCAGCACGTCTTTTGTTGTTTATCGGGTCTCCGAATAAGTATTTTCGTCGCGCTAGTCGGTCATGTCAGGTCGAAGACATATAAAAAAGAATCGGAGAAAAAAACAGACGCATTTATTTTGTTCACTTTAAAAATGTTCAGATTCTTGCGTGTTCGGAGTGTCGAACGCGAGTGTCCAGTGTTAAAGAGAAAACGGTGTTATTCTTTCATCCGGTGAAGTTTACTCGAAACCCAGACATGTGGCACCTAGAAGATAAGGCCTGCGCATTACGTCATGGTTAGTGCATCCCGAACCGAAGCGAAAAACATGCTGAACTAGACAACAGTCCCCGCAAAGCGGCGGACGCGTCTTGGCGTGCTTGCGTCGTTTGTGAGACGCTGCGAGGCGCGCTGGCGGCGCTGCTGAGGCGAGCTATAGGCCTCTTGCGTCGCCCAGAGGGCGCTACGAAAACGGACTTGTTAGGACTTCTTCTGGGTAGTACAAAATTGACCGTGTCAAACTGTCAGACTGTAGAAGCGTGCCTGCTCTGGTGCGGAACGCAACCACGAGGAAAATACAAAGCAACAACAAGAATTCGAACGCCGTCGATGCACAGGTCAAAGCTAAGACGCTATGAACGCGTGCCAAGAGACGCCGTTTCACGCCTTTCAAATTGAAAGGGAAGAAAAAAAAAAACGAAAATAAAGCGTCGGGACGCCAGAGATTCTGACGTCACCACCCAGCGATAAGAGAAGCGTAACCTAACGGTGGTGGCATGAATCTGGCACTTTCGTTTGTTTTTGCGACTTTGAATCTAGCTAATTTCGGAAGTCGAAAGGTGCTTTTTGTTCTTCAGCATTAGACAGAAACAAATATTTCCAGCAAAGGCTCCACAAGTAGTGCGAGAAACAATCAGATAAGCTTGTACTACCCAAAATGAGGGCGCCACAGTCTGTTCAAAGCTTCAACGCAGGAGGCGTATGCGAAGAGGAAGTCGTCTGCTTCTAGCACAGGAGTTGCAGTGACGTCAGAACAACGCCGACCTCTGATTGGCTTTGATTGAAAGGATAGTAAGTAGAACTCAATTTTAGACGTCTTTAGGTCTACCCAATATTTTTTTTTCAATCAGCCAATAAGAGCTCAGCGTTCTGACATCATCGCAACCCCTGCAAAGAAGCAGACGAAGTTGCGCTCCACATAGGCGGTGCTGCGTGTATCCACCCAGTGACTTCTAGGTGGTACTGCGTGCGGACGCTTCAGGTTGCGCAAATAAGCACGAAGCGCGCGTGTGGTCGAGAGTTTAGGCCCTCAGAAAGCGAAAGCATCGGCGTGTGAGAGGCACTCGTACGGAGCGCGACACTTGGGCACGCGATCTCAAAAGTGCGAGGCTGTCTCCAAAAATACTCTACTTTGATTCACCGTGCGGTGGACTACAGCCAAGGCCGCGGGTCGCTGTACTCGAGGACAGCTTAAGAAACGCCAGATGCGCTAGGTCCCGAGCATCATATTATAGCTCCGCAACCAATCAGATTGCGGCATTAGCAGATAAGAGCGCCGAAGAACCAATCACAAAGCAAGACGCGGATAAGCCACGCCCTGGGTTTTTTAGACTGGGTTACTCTAACCTCGAGCCCGTCTGTGCGTAACATGCGTCGAAGCAAAATGCTACGTGAATTTTAACCAAGGTGGACAAAAAGAATCGAGATGATTGTAATCGGTATTTAAATCATGATTTAAATCGCACCTTGCCGTTTTAATATGATGATTTAAATCGCTCTAATCCCGCAAAAATAATTATTTTTTCTCCGCCGTTTGTTTATCATTTCACACTTTCTGCGGGTCCTTCACTCTAAAAAATGCCTGCGCGTCTACTTACCCGCAAAACACTCAAAGAGCCAATCTCTCGAAATCAGCTCAGCGAATGATGTGACAGAACATCTGTTTAGGCCTCAAAATTAGGCCTGCGCGGTGGCATTACGCAATGCAAGCATGACGATTTGCATTGCGTAATGCCACAGCTCAGATTTTATTTTTTGGTCTAAACGGATGTTCCGCCTCATCATTCGCTGAGCTGATTTCGTAGATCGCAGAGATTGGCTCTTTGAGTGTTTTGCAGGTGAGTAGACGCGCAGGCATTTCTCAGAGCGTTGTTTTGTATATAAATAACAGAAAAATCGAGCGAGAAATATTTATATCCGATGAACACGAGCAAAAGGCGCTGCTTTTCTGAGCAAATCGGAACGTGTTTTCTACCCGCCATTAGGTTGATTGGCTACGTAATGGGCAATTGCGAGCATATCATACCGCAAATAAAATTAAGTAAATAAAGATTTTAAAGAACAAGAGCTTGTTAATGAGACTGTGCTTTTAATTTGTTGTAATATTTGTCTCCGGTAATTGTTTTCAGTGATTGGACAGTTGAACAATCAATTTGCAATGTTTACAAATACAATATAGTAATAAAGACTCACTATTTCCTAGCTACAGTGATTCAAGATAAAATTAACCTGATTTAAATTAGATTAATATGATCATAACAAAGAAATCTGGTTTAGATTAAAAAAGACTGATTTATCTAATAATAAAAAAATTATGATTTCTTGTTACTTTGATTATAACTGGCTTGTAATTGGGCACGGCGGTCCGTAGCTTCGGATGGAGTTTATCGTAGGGTGAGGCGAAGTAAGGGAAGTACGCCGCAGATTTGTATAGAAATCGGAAGAAAACTAGATAGGTGCTGCAACGCACGTTTTTGAGGACCATCAGATGATCGTAGAGGAACATGCACTCGCTCTGGAAGAGGTCCCACATGGCCTCCTTCTTCTTAGTCTCGTTCTTCAGGATGGTCTGGTTGATGGTCTTGAGGAACTGGTTCCTCAGCGCGTCCTCGCTGGGACTGTTCAGCTCCAGCTTGCCCGGCTGCAGCCCTGACAGCGGACTGGGGCCGTTGCTGTTCTCGGGGGACGCCAGGGTGCTGCTACCGCCAGACGAAGAGGAGTTCGAGTCGGTGCCCTGCTTCTTCTTCTTCTTCAGGGATGACATGAAGTCGGCCCACTGCATGCCCTGAAACACCGCGTAGACGCGCGGGCTCAAGTAACCAACATCGACGGCAAGAGAGCGTTTCAGTGAAATTCTTTCTTCTTTTGCTCAATGACTTGCGAAATGGTTTTGGTACGGCTTACGCAGACGGGGGAAAGACTTCCTTGTGTCGAAAGTCAAAAGATGTGTCGTCGTGTCCGTCCTTGTGTTTATTCTTTCAGTAACGTGTAATTCCTCCAACGTGCTCACTTTCTTAACTTGACTACAAATCTTTCGCGATACGTGCAGCGGTGTACAGAGAGGAATGCTGGGAACATCCTGCATATAGCAGACGACGAAGGTGACCTTGGAGGACGCGAAGGGAACGAATGCAAGCGGGCTAGGGCAGGCGAGCAACTGCGCAAGCTCCTCCCCTTTTCACTATTTCTCGCTCTTTATCTCTCCTTTTCTTAAGAATCATGTGGTAGTTGCTGCGACATCACGGGCTAGCACACAGGATGCTCTCACAATCGTTTGCGCGCCTCGCGCGTGGCCATATGGAACTTCTCCAACTGGCCTGTTGGCGGAGCAGATTGAGGAGTTTTGAAGTAGATTCTACAGTCAGGGACTGGTTAAGAGTCCAGGGGAAGCTTCTCCCACCCCTTTCCACTTAAGCAGAGCGAGTGCCGGAGAGGAGGTCGCCTCCTCTCCAGTGTTCGCTCTGCTGAAGTGGAAAGGGGTGGGAGAAGCTTCCCCTGGATTCTTAAACTCTCACCAAATGTAGTTGCATCGACAACAACCGCCACGGGCGGTGTAAAAGCGCTGGCATAAATACTGACGCGAGCTGGAGAACTGCTCACCTTGTACCTGGAGAGCTGTTCGTCGCAGAACTCGGACGGCCTGAGGGTGCTGAGGACTTCCTCGAGCCCGCCAAGGCACTCGGACTTGGCCCTGTTGGCCCTGTCAAACTGGACACACATGTGGACGGACAGACGGGCAGCACTTAGCACGGGGCACATCACGACCACGAGCGAGCAGGGACCGGCGGGGGGGATTACGAGGCCACACGGGCTGCAATGGCGGACTGCGGCGGTGGCGCTGGCGGCGGCGGCATGCGGGCGGGTCGTTTGGGCGGCGTGGTTGCTCGGTCCGGGAGACAGCAGCGACTACTGGTACGGTGCCTGTAGCGCGTCTCCGACCGGTGCGTTTAGCGTCCTATTCAGCCCATGCATCGAAAGCTGTCTCGAAGTGGCTACAAATGACGTCACGAGAGCCGGAGTGTTACGCTGTCGGTCGTCGCGATCCTGGCGGCGGGTCGTAAAAGTTCCGGCAAAAAGCACAAGCAAGCGGAAGTGATCGCTGTCGCCGTGGCGTCCCTACTCCTAGCTACCGAAACTTTCGTGAACTGACAAACTGGAGAGCGACTAGAAGCAGAACAGGCGTCTGCCGACAGGACCGCAACGGGCAACAGCGTGCCTCTTTTATGACGTCATCGGGTGGAAATTGTAGGACCACCTTTTAGGACGTACTAAAGCAACCAGTCAGAGACGTGCTCCAGGCACCATACTACGGGGGCTGTGAAGGTAGCTGCAGAGAAGCCGACTGCCGGTGCTTGGGGTGCTTGAGGAGAGCGGCGGCGTTGCTTGGGTTCCAGCCAGGCGAACGAAAAAGCAGAGGGGCTTACTGCCGGCGGGGATAAAGTGAAGCTTTGCTTTTCTTTTTCTCGGAAGGACGACGTTGCCAGGTTTTTGTGGGTTGCCCGGGGGGTGGTTGCGGCTCACGCGAGTTTAAAGTGCACGAACGAGGTTAGTGAGGAGTCCAGGAGCAGTGGCAGCGACATCGAGAGTTGTGCACTCACGTTGGAGGTACCGCGGTGGCGGGTGAATGGAATAATCTTATTGAAAATAATCTTATTGACTAATCTTATTAGATAATCTATAATCTTATTAAGTAATATTATTTCTGGTTTGCATTGCTTATTTTTTGACGACGGTGTGTTTCTTTTTCTTTTCTTCTTATTGCTGGGAAACGTAGTGCGCAGCTACAGAAAGTATCGGTAGACGGTAGCTGCTCGATATTCGCTTATCCTTTTCACATCTGTATGAAGAAGTAGTGTGGTGAAATGCAAAATGTGTCGTCTAATTATCTTTGAATTTTCAAAAGCTAAAGCGGGAGTTAATGCAGCTTTTGTTGCAAATTCAGTACCAAATAAAAATTAAAAATAAACAGTTCGTATCACATGGACGTGAATTACGCTTAATTACGTTCTCTGTCTGCAACATCAAGCAGATATTTATGGATGGAGGTTCGGTGATAGTCAGATAAACTGCTTTGTCTGCAACCCTAAAGTGGTAGTGTCCAAGTTCTTTATAGCATTAATATAATTTGCAGTAAATTAAGTAGAAATAAAAAGTAAAGCATAAAATAAAAGGAATTCTTTGCAGAGAGGAGCGAGCTGCGTGCAGAGTAGGGAAGGGTTTGGAGCACAGCACATCATAAACGCCAAATTCACACCAAGTTCACAATAAGAAAATATAATACTGCGTAGCTATAGTATCTAGTTATGGTATCTACTTTGTAAATGAAAAAGGAGAGGGGAAGTCAAACGACCAAGCATCCTAGCCCCTGACACCGACCCTTCGGAGCAAAGGTGTCGTTGTCAGGTGTTACGATGCTGCAAAGAGAAATATCGCATGCACAACACATGCTACGTTGAAAACACATATTCTTCGCAAGAAACGCCCGAAGATGCCTTTTATAACAAAGAGTGCGCAAGGAGACATTACGTTGTCTGTATTGGCATATTCCTAATAATCCTTCACAATTTGTGAACATCGTCACGGTGCGCTAGTAATTTTAGTGACTTTGTACGTTTAACATGTTGCTTACTATTCTATTCTTTAGACCCTTGAAAAAAAACACCAAAAAAACACGGGATAATGTTTAAATGACACTGTAAAAATTTGTACGTAAATGTATTGATGTAGATGTTCTGTAGAAAAAAAAAAAACACAGTAAGGAAATAGTAAAAGAAAAAGTGAAGTGGAGCCACTGCTTCCTATTTGGTTCGAACTCCAAGCAGAGCATTAACAACGTGACGCATTAACAACGTGAAGAACCTCCCTCCCGAGGTCCGTATACCTACCAGCCGAAGTAAAGACCAGGTGTTCTTCCCTTTCCTACTCGAGTCTGTGAAGGCAGGTGGGAAATGGAGAAACAAATACAAGAAAGAACACCGTGTTCGGTTAGTAAGACAATAAAACAAACAAAACAACGAAGAATGATTAAACGGGCACTTTAAAAATTACCTACTTTCAGAAGAATTACATCCCCCCCCCCCCCCCCAAAAAAAAAAAAGGCTTTGTAATCCTTTTACGCCAAACCTAAAAAAAAAAAAAAGCAACTCCGTGCTCGAATAAACGGGTTACATGGCGATAAAGTCGAAGCAGGCCATTTCCTGCTGTGAAAACGAAGTCGTTCGATAATTCACACTTTTATCATTTATAGTGGTTCGCGCGGCTCAAAACAAAGAACAGTAGACAAACAAAGTAAAGGAAGTGAATCAATATATGCGGGCCGAGAGTGAAGAATGTTCTCGTCATTTCCTTACAGAAACGATGTGGGCTCGTTTGGCGGTGGCGGAGCTTCGATTTGCCCGTACAAGAACGCGTCTTAGAAATACGCGACGGTTTCGAACATACAGAAGTACGGACGGCAGCAGCTGGGGATTTTCCGTATCAAACTCTCGAAAAAAAAAAAAAAAAAGGGTTATAAAAAAAGTCTCGGAAAAGGACGTTAAAAGGCCGCGTTTCGTGTCCGAAATCAGGGATGGAAATTACTTACCGTCAGAAACTGCAAGGCACTGTGTTGAGCCGTCGAGATCTGCGTTACAGAAAGGTGCGAGTGTGAAATGAACATAAAAACACACAAACACGACTGGATGCTTGCACGTCATTTGCATCGGCAACGAACGAAGTCACGAATGACTTATCACAATATGCATAAGCTACGTTTTTTTTTTGTTTTTTTTTTTCAAATTTGCGTTTACTTTTTTTAAAGTACAAATCGAGTAAGAAATAAAAAGAATAAATATAAAGCGTTATCACAGACGGCCGCTAACGAGAATAGATATAGCTTATCGCGTTTAGAATAACGACAGTAGTGTTTGTCAGTAGATAGTTGTTTCACCATTCCGGTTAAACTTGGTTAGGAGTGGAACCAATTCAATTAAAAAAATAGTAATAAGAACAATATTGACTATAAGGAATGAAATGTCGGACGCGTCGTTTCTTTTATCTAGTTTAATATTATAGCCCTAAAATAGGCCCGAGGATATAAATTAGTGAATATGGTGTAAGGAGGAGGATAATTATTGCAAATTTTCGCTATCAATTTAATAAATGATCCCGCTGAGATTGTGGATCAAAGTATTCTTGACGTCTTATTTTAAATAAATGGTTTAGTCACCTACACGTACAAGAAAAAAAAACAATCACGTTTGACCATTAATTAGCTCAAGCTCTACTCTCGCTTTTTCTCGCATGTGTTACTATATACGAGCTGCTATTTCTGCAGTTATCTTAAAAAACGCCGTGCGTGCCGAGTTCTGGTCATCTTGTTATCGCTGCACGGCAATATGACGCCATTAACAGATAACAAGGTCGAAGCACGAAGCCAGGACCATGAACACAAATAGCCACGCCCCGCGTAATGCATTTTTCCTCGTTAAAAAACACACGCACACGAACAAACACACGGGAGCACGCATGCACGCACACAACCATACACGCACAAAACTGTGCCCGCGCGCTCAGAGACGCACACACGGACACAAGCAGGCGTCGCTACGTTTACCAGACCGCGTCGGAAGCCTAACCTCTCGGGCAACGGTCGATCATGCGAGGCATTTTAAACCCCGCCCCACCATTTCCGTCGTGGCAAACACGGACGCTAGTGCCCGGCTCAAGAAGCTGCTTTTTACGTGACTTGTTCGTTAAACGCAACAAAGCATCTTGCAGAGAGACGCTGCTACCTTTGATAGCACTGCACGTAACGTCTAAGATAAAGTACAATTTCTGAAAGAGGAGCGTAGTGGTGCTGGCAGTAAAAGTGCACGCAAAAATCGAGATACGACTTTAGAACGACACGAGGATTCGCTTGGCAGAAAACTATGCATTGCAGAAAGGTCGAACTTTGTGAGAATGTGAGTTCAGCGGTTGGGGTATAACGTGAAAATGGGAGAACTTGACGCTATTGGATCAAAAGGTATCTGAGAAAGATTACATTTTTTATGAGCCGACTTCCACCTAAGCCTAATATCGTCAAGGCAAGGACTGACATTGTGAATGTGAGCGGGATTTATATCCGTGAAAACCACTTTAGCACGAAAGAAAATACTGTTTTATTTCTTACCGAGAAGTTTGTCTCGCTGAAATAGATGCTACAGGCACTCACAATATCATTTCTTGCTTTAACAACATTAAGTTGTGGACGTCGCGGCTCATTAAAAAATCTCGTATTTCGAAAAAATGTTTTTTTTTTGTTTGTTCTAAATAATGTTATATTATCAAACTTTTTTCATTCATTTCATTTCATTTATTGTTCTCTCAGGGCCCGAAGGCATTACAGAGAGGAGTGTTTTTTTTTTTTTTAACGGAAACATATGAGTATAAGGATAGATAAGGCAAGACATAAAACAAAAGTTATTGTGTTATATTTGTGTTATTTGTGTTATATATCCCAACTTTTCGTGTCACATGCTCACGGAGTTCGAGTTTTTTTTTGCGATGCAGAGTTAAGTTACCTGATCGAAGAAACACGGTTTTCTTTCCTCGGGAACGCCCACTATAATGATTTAGGGGATGTCCCCAAGGTGGGAAAGACTTACGCAAGTATAAACTCTCCCTTTTCCTTTTTTGGCGCGAAACCGAAATTTAAGTGCGTTTATATGTGGAAATTAAGAAGGCGACAGAAATGAATTTAAATACATCCGAAATCTACGGATAAAGTCGAGATGCCCAGGACGTGCAACGTATTTTGAGCTTCTCCCACCAATCGGGGATATGGTATCGAACCACTTAGAAGAGGCCAATGGTCCAAATTCTCATCGAGGTACATAGCCTTTTTGTACATACAATTGGCGGTGTTATCGGATGTTCATAACAATATTTCGTGATGCTCTAGACATAGAAGCCAGACCCTAAAGGCTGGCCCACGAACTTGCGTTAGGTATCAACCAAGTGCGTTGAGCGCTTGCTTGCTGACACACAACTAGGTGGCCCAGACCACCGCCATTATAAAAGGTACAGCCGTTAGCATTCATTCATCCATTCATCTACTGTGATTACTTACGACGAAAGAGCGCACTGGCGCCAACTATCGGGCAATTTGCGCATATACATTTTTTGCGCGTCATTCTTTTATTATGGGCTTAAATTTTCTTTTTTTCTGACAATGATATAAAGGCCAATTTCATGTAAAGACTCCAACAATATACAAAAAAATCGTTCGATGATATGGCTTCAAGCGGCTTTACTGAATTCACTTTGGATAGGTTCGCATGGCTCGGCTCGGGATGAGGAAATAAATGATCCCTCGTTCTAATCTCTCTCTAAAATTAAAGCACATCTGGCTAAAGTGTGTCTAGCACTGCCGCACAAACTGCATTTCTCGAATGGGTCAAATATTTTATCGAGGGAGACTACATCCGATCTCGCAAATACTGCTAAAACATTTACTCCGGTTAATTGCAGTTCCACGGTTACCTCACAGGTGACGCCAGCGTGCCAGTGCGCTCTCTCGTCCTAAGCGATCCCAACTAAGCGATCACAAGGAAGCAGAAAGGCCCGTTCAGACACTTGCGACTCCTTAGGACCTCGCGCCTGAAGGCCCGTTCGCACACTTGCGTCTAGTTTTGACCGTGTGCCTTAAAACCTTTTAAAATCTCTTACGACGAGAGAACACACTGGCGCCACCTATCGGGTAGCCGTGGAACACTCGGCCGTTCCGTATATTCCCTATTTATTTAGTACCCCAGTCCTTCCCCCTTGGTTCGACAACATCTTTTGTCAATGTTACGAACGACCTTTTCTCATAGGTAGTACGCACATTTCACCTCGCAAATACTGCTAAAACTTTCGTTCCAGTTAATTGCAGTTACAGGGTCGCCGCATAGATGGCGCCAGCGTGTCAGTGTGTTCTCTCGTCGTAAGTGATTTTAAGAGGTTTCAAGGCACACGGTCCTAAGTTGTCGCAGGTGTGTGAAAGGGCCTTAAGGCTGCAGAACGCATTTGGTTGCAAGCGAAGGAAAGTGTGTACACTAGACTAAAGTAGGCGCTTTTTAAGGCGGAAACGAAGGAAGAAACCGAAGAAGACAAGTTTCCACTAACCTAGTAGGTTATTCCTATGCGTGAGTACTTTGCTGTAGACGAGCAGATCTCCGGGACAGATTTGCATTGGCGGAATGACGACGATGGAGCTTCTTCGCCGCGTCTTCTGAGTGTTCTGGTCGCCGGAGCTGGAAGAAAAACGTATGCATGTCACGCAAACACACAGATACGTAAGTGGGAGAGGTATTCGGCCATACAAAATCTACGTGCCGGCGGAAACCACAAAAAGAATAGAGATCATAGCTTGTAAAGTCGTGCCTCGAATAAACCGTGACGAAACAGACACGTACTGGATTTAATGAGGCCCGAGAATTTACCAAAAAAAAAACAAGATTTCCAATTTTAAGATTAAATTTCCCCGTTATTTGCTGTTGAATTTATTTTCGTGTTTGGTTCGACCGAAGTAGATTCACGCCTAAACACCAACGAGCGGCTCCGACGTCAGGCCGCATCAGTGGCGCAGCTGGGAGCACGGCGCATGCGCAGATGCTTTCCTTGACGTGAATCTGGTTTGTGCGCACGCGCAGTGCCCATACCTGGTGTGGGCAAACGTGGACTTGTTTGTAAACAGCGGGTTCACCTATACGCAGTAGCATGGATGACCTTACGCACGGCATAAAGAAATTGGTCGAGTTAAATTTTATTTTTCGTGTCACTAATTTGGAATTTGTTCTTAAACCTATGCATTGAGAACTTACCTTAACTTACCGGCACCTAGTACCCGTGAATCTAGTTAAGCTAATACACCCTTTAATTCAATTTGCTTTAATGTAGAAGGCGTAGGAACAATGATAACATATCTAAAAGAAAGAAGTGGAGCTTGTAACTCTCCTCAGCACCCAATAAGCAATAGCAACAAAGCCCCGCGTAGCAACGCAAGATGGCGTGATCAGAGATGTCCTCGAAAATTACGGCACTTTTTGCTAGCCGCCCTCGACATTTCGCCCCATTGAAGTTCATACTGTAAAGCGTGCTTCTCTGCTCGCGTCGTCACTCTGAGGAAAAGCGCTACTCGTGTAAATACGGGTAAAGAAAAGAAAAAGAAAAAGCGTATGAAAAAAAAAAAAATAAATAAATAAAAAGGGAGCAGGGAGGGGGCCGAGGGAAGATTTGGTACTTATATGTAGTTTCTGTCGTGTGTTCCCTTCCCGTCGGCTTTCAAAACATTCTTGTGAAGCGGCTGAGCTTGGCTTGACGCGATACGTCTTAAAGGGAGGCTGAAGCACTTTCCAAGAAATCAGCTTGGTTAGGAGCGCCCTTTATAGCCTTTCGTCCCGTGACTTCAGTTATCGCACTTAACTTGGGCAGAAGTAAGCGTAAACCGCATTTACTTTGAAAAAAAAAAAAAGAAAAAAAGTGCAGCGATTGAGGCTTTATCGGTGACGTTACCGGCAACACTGTGTCCTGCCAACTCCTCGTGGATAACAGTCATAGTGTCGGACCTAAAGAACGTCAATTAGGGGCAGAGACTCGGAATAAATCAGCGAGAGCACGTGTCGAATGCTGATGCAGCAATCGCGCCCAATGTGCACCCCGCATTGGACCTCTTTCGGTGACACTGAACATTGCCGCGTGCGTGGCGGAGTTGTCAACACAGGCGGCTGCCACGCGGAGGGACGGGCTTCGAACTCCGTTCGGCCTGCTTCTTTCCTCCTTCCCACCGATCGAGGTGCTTCTGGAACGTTCCAGCCCATTCTCTCCTCTGATACCGTGTTCTGGCTCGGAACTTTCCTAAACGCACCGCGTGTACGAGAGCAGCGGTAACGCGCTGCTTCGGTACAGTCGCCCTTTCGTCTTTGACGCAAGACGCCGGTATCTTGCTCCTCAAGTTTGTGGGCACAAATTCGCCTCATTAAATGCTTTCTTTCAGTTTTACATCCGTCTCCTATTTTTATTTTGCACAATGTTCGGCATTACGGTTTTGTTATCCGCAAAATGGGCCATCCTTTTCGCCACGTGACAACTAACGCATGCACACGAGCAAACGGTCTTGCCAGAAGGCGTCCGCCATTGAACAGCTTCCCCCGGTTTCAATGGCTTCCTCTTAGATCTAGGCTTTCTATCGCTGCCACTCAAACGTGCACAGGTTACTGAAAAAGAGTAACGCAATACCGTTTGTGGTTACTTGCTCAAAAAGTAACCAAGAAAGTTACTTGCTGCTGAGATTAAAAATGAAAGCGTTACTTCAGCTGGGAAGTAAAGAACGACTTTCTCGTAACTTTTTTTTTTTTTTTTGCAATAGCAACTTTTTAATATTTTATGCCGTCAATAATGCGTATCGTTTCAACGCACTCAAGAACATGTTTACTTTCTCGTTGGCGCTTTTTTGTTGTTCCATCTCCAAAAGCAACTAAGTTCTGTAACTCGTTCTTCCAAGCGAGGAAAATACGTTCTTATCGTTTCATTTCTCGAAAAGTACCTAAGTGGTTCTAAGAAAAGTACCTAAGAAAAGTACCTAAGAAAAGTACCTAAGTCGATACCCGAAGAAGTAACTAGATAGAAGTAGCGCATTGACTTAACGCGTTACGTTCGACTCTGGTTGTACCATCTGTAACCAGCAGACAACGAGCTAGCCATATCGAGCTCTTAATGACGATCTCTGCTGTGCAAACGCGGCCGCCGGTATTTTTGTGTGTACATTGTTTTTGTCGTCTGGCAACACTCTCCGCAACCCGCAACGAGATCCGGGACTCTGCAGACAATTCTAGTGGTGCGCATGGGCAGTAACGGCGTCGTCATTGAAAAAAAAAAAAAAGATTTACGAGAACGTTCTGCTGCTTCGTTTAAATTATTCCGACGCGACTTTAATTGCGTGCGAGTCGTAAAATGCCATGGCACTCGGGACGTATACCATTAAAATTCAAGTGGTCTCCGGGGGAACATTGTGAAAGTTCAGTAATTAAAAAAGCAAAAACAAAAAACAAAACAAAAACAGCAACAACCTTAAACGAAGTTCACTTTGAGCTAACCTCAGTCAATTTTAATGGGAGAGAATAAGATATTTACGATTTTACAACTGCCGTTCCGTGCAGATTATTGATTCGTGTCTACACTTCGTTTCAATTTAAGTGCACACGCAGCCGACGCTTCGAGGAAATGGGATCCATCAAGCAGCGTCAAAAGCGAATGTCACTGGGCCTTTTTTGTTTATGACTGGTTCGGCGGTAATAGAACACATGAGAATCACAATGATGGTGGGCTTTTGACGCTCTCTAATTGGTACCACCAACTCTTTGCGTAGGGAGCGTCTGGACTGAAGTTAAAACAAAGTATAGGGGAAGAAAAACAGGCGTTAACAGTATTGTTTCGGCACGTTAATTCCATTTGGGAAGATATTGGTATTAAAAAGAAAATTCTTCAAAAAAAAACCCGCAATTTATTTTAAAAAATATTAAAGACTCCCCAAACGCCGAATTAGAGCGCAGCTCTTAAGGAGTTTGAGGGGAGGGTACGGAAAGGAGGGTATTCCCCTCCTCCTCCGCACCCTCTCCTCATCCCCTCCTCCTCCTCCCGCCTCCTCCCTCGTGACGTCACTTGTGACCCTCATGACGTCACTCGTAACCCTCGTGACGTCACTCGTGAAGGCCTCGTGAAGGTCGTCGTGACCTTCACGTAACCTTCGCTGTGAAGGTCGTGACCTTCACGTGACCTTCACACTGAAGGTCGTAACCTTCACGTGACCTTCACTGTGAAGGTCGTGACCTTCACGAGTTACCTGCGTGACGTGAGTGTGACGTCACTCGTGACCCTAGTGACTCTCGTGACGTCACACGTCACGTCACCTTGACATCATATGGGAAACATCCCAAAATGCAGCGCGTGGTTACGAGTGACGTCACTCGTGACCCTAGTGACATCACTCGTGACTTTCCTGACGTCACACGTGACATTAACTAGCTGTGACGTCATTATGGGAAACGTCCCATAGTGCAACGCGCGGTTACGCCGACGGCGACGGCTATGACGACGCTGCTCAAGCCGGAAACGGGCGCCTAAGAGCTGCGCTTTTAAAGCGTGTCTCGTTTAAAACTTTATTTTCTGACCGCAAAATATTCTTTCAATATGGTTACCAAGCCTTTTACCGCCGAGCGGTACACTCGCGAGTATTCACGTGCCACTTTTTGGAAATAAAAATGAATATTCGCGAAGGGTTTAGCGAGATATTAGCCTTTATTCATCTCCAGTTCATCGGTGTGCTTCGCAAAACTCCAGTAACAGAATCACCGGAGTTTGAGCGACAACCTGTTTTACGGGAATCGTTCCCGTGGGATACATTTTGACAATGTCTGTAGACTGCACATCTTCTAATCAGTGCGTGTGGGCACGAGCGGAAGTAAAGCGAAGCAGATACGACCTACCGCGTATGTCTAATGTCCACAAAAACTTCGTTGTATATATTGTCCGGCACATGCACAAGATGGACATGATTGAGAGCTGAAGGACCCACCTTCAACTGGTATCCGCGTCTAGGATGAGAACGTTTTATAATGTCTGGTAATTTAACTATATATTTATATTATAGTTTGGGCCGCAATGTAGATTGAGGGTCGTGTTCTTTATTTAATTACGGCTCATGTTACTCTTTTCTTTTTTGGCTTTTCTGGACATTATCCTACCACTGACAGTTAGTAAGTACTATTTCTATTGCAACTGCAAATACGCGTTCTGATTGTTGTTTACGTTAGGTATTAATATTTCACAGTGTCTCGGAAGCACTCTCCTGTGTTTTGAGAAATGCAATATTGTGGCTCTCGTACCGTATGCACCCGTGTAGAAAGCTCGTAGAAATGAATAAATGATAACCCAGCGCGGCAATTACGCATGGCCACGGACCTTAATATTTACTTTCAGCGCCTACGGTTTGAAAATGATAGGGTTAACTATACGCAGACCCTGAACAGCGCATCCGACCAACACCCGAACTTAAACTACGATCGACCATATTTAACGAATGTGTACACATTCATCGGCTGGCTGCCTGTGACGAAGTGTTAAAGACAGTGCAGCAGGGTTGTGATTATTATAATCAGTTGCGAAAGCGGGAGGCCGGTTGTACGCGTTATTCTGAAAAAATACTTACTTTGGTGCACCGCCTTGACTTGAGACATCTTCACTCGAACTTTCGTAGCCATCTGTCATCATCTGTGTCAAACAAGACGACACAAACTCAGTCTATCCGTGGGGAATTATACTGGCTATGCATTCTAAGCAGGCGGATGTATTGTTATCTCAGCTGAACTCTAGCTTACTTTACTGACTTCTTTGTCGCGAAGTAAAACAAGCAGGCTGCTTCGAATAAAAGTGACATTACTGCCGCAAATATTTCGCGTCTACGAAACGAGCGAAAGAGTCACACGAGGTATGCGTAACTACCAAGAATTCAGAGGCGCTAAAATGATACACCATATGTCAGTAATTCAAAGAGCTACTTTCTATCGCTCGCGATGAAATTTTGTACTAGCTAACGTTTTAATTAGCAGTATCGGACAAGCCGAGTTTATGCTTCTAGTTTCATTCCGATTTCTTTAATACTTAGAATGGGTTTCATCTAAGAAAACTTTGTCAACACTGGTAGTGCTGAATGATTTTGATGCTTTAGTCGTTAAAATCTAGCCTGCATACTACGGTGAATCTATCATTTAATAAAAAAATTTAAAAATAGCGTCCGCAAAAAAAAAAAAAAAAGACAAGAAAAAAAAAAGAGCGTCATAGTGGCATCGCATGCGCCGAGCGCAAACCGCGTTTTAGATTAGCGCATGCAATACTTTTGGGTACGCTATACTAAAACTCTCTCATAGAAAAATAATCAAACACTGTTTGTACCGTTGCGGACAATAGGATCTAATACACCCGATCCGGCCTTTTTCTGCGTCGGTAGTCCCCACGAGCTCAACTGTCTCTCGATCTGTCAAAGCGTGTGGGACCTAAAATTCGCTTTCTATTCTTAGATCGAACCACGTCAAAAACAGCATGGAGAATACCGCAACGACGCCGGCGGCAACGATTAAACGAAAGAAAAGAAACGCCCTGACGCGGAATAATTATCGACTCTTTTGACTGCAGAAGCGACGGGCTATTGCGACTAAGAGGAAGAAGAGGCATCGATTTGGACGGAGCGCGCGCCACCGCGCTTTTAAACGAGACAGGTTTCGGTCCGCGTTTTCTGTCCGCTTCGGGGACGTGTTTTTATATCGACGAGGGTATAAGAGCCGGGGCACGCACCTTTGGCGGCACCAGGGCTCTCCTCCTGTGCAGGGCCGAGGCCGGGGGTTCGACGAACTCGTCCTGCTCGTCCTCCTCCTCGTCGGGCTTCGAGGGAAGCTTGTTGAACACGATGCCGCCCTCCTGCTCCTGCGAGCCGTGCACACGCCATGACGACATGAGCGTACACGGAGCGTGAGAACAGGGTCCCTAAGCACATACTCCGGTTCAGCGTAACTTGACAAACAGAGAAAGTTACGGCAGGTCGCGCGCCAATTAGAGCGACGAAGCGAATTACGCGACAGTGGGCCACTGGAGGAACGTACCCGTACAGTACGTTGTCACGTGCCTCGGTGCGATGCTCTGATTGGTTCTGTAGAGCCGTAGCTTTTTCTCTCTTCCGAGTGAGGCTGAGACAGTAATAGTTCGTAGACCTTTCAAAAGTTTTGTCCTGATCACTACTACGGGGTTTGTTGGTGCGCAAGGTGCGCGTTATTTGTGCATGAGAAAGTGACAAGTTCAAGCCTGGCGGGACATAAATTTTACACGACGAGCTGGGACTTGGAAACGTTACGTCCTCGACAAAAGAAAAAAAAAAGAGCAAAACAGAACTTCTAAGTACAGAATACAATAAACACATTTACGCATAAGAAAAGAGGACACAAAAACGCCCTGGTGAGCTGAGCTGTCACATATTCACCCGTAAAATGTATACTGTAGTATGTACCTTCACTACTTAGCCTATTTTAATGAGTCACGGTTTTCCCAGCGGCCCCGTCATTGCTGCCGTTTTCGTTAGGGACACAACCAACGCACCTATTTTCGCTTTACTTCGGTCGCTATCGCGCCAGTCGCCGACAACCTGCAATCGCGGAAGCCACAGAAAACGACCAGAAACCGGAAAAGGACCCGTTTTAGCCAGTTTGGTGTTTTGAAGCGGCAAACAGTATCCGACAGTGGGACGCTCCCATGCGTGTCACTCGTTCATGATAATCGTTTATGGCGTTCGTCCAAGTCGATCGTACATTGCGCTCGGTCATGACGCTCGGTCGTGACGCTCGTTCATAGCGTTTCTCATAGGAAACAGCTCATAAAACACATTCTGTGTTAAAGAATTTTTTTGATCGCCTCTATTCGGATAATTCCCTAGTGGAACAATTTTTTTTTTATCCTCGCAAGGAATACTATTTAATTGTAACCGCAAAATATGTCGAGCTTGTGCCCCTTAATGCCCGTAAGGCAGCAAACACGATGTTCACTAAATTATAAACTCGTGAAAAAATTGTTTGAAGAAAATATATAATACAAACGTCAATGAAAGAGGGGAAAAAAGTGCTAAGGAACGCTCTTGATTTGGCGATTGATTTGCGTCATTTATTTATTAATTTTTAACTTAAAGTGCCCACCAACAATCAAAGGCCGCAACAATGCGCGCGTCGGCGTCCTTTGAAGTTGATGTGCAGTAAAGAGTGTGTGATGAATAAACTTTTTTTTAGTGTCCATCTTGCGAATGTGGTAACGATGTTTTTTACAAAGATTTACTTCTTGATCATCACGCCCAAGCGGATTTGCGTTTTTATGAAGACTGGGTGTCGTGGTATTTTTCCAGTCTTCGCATTGACTCTTAAATTACCATTGGGTGAATACATGCCTACGCACTTCCATGACTTTAAATGGGAACGAATCGGACATGTAAAAACGCTTACCAAGTTTGAAAAGAAAATATACGAAGGAGCTCTATCGCCATTAAAATGGCTTTTTAAAACGTTTTTGAAAATTTTATAATAGGCAAAACAACAACAAAAACTGCACTATTTAATTTTATAAGAAATAAGGGTAGTTTAGTACGAAACAAATTACGGTTGGCAATGTCAAAGCCTCACCCTTTCCCCAGAAGTAGCGATTTTTTTTAAGCAGAAGAGGGGATTTGTTTTCGAAGCTTAATTTATTTTTGGACAGTTTACTTGAACACTTCGTCGTCTAAACGAAGAATTAAAAAAAAAATGTTTTGTGGAAATCATACAAGTAAAATGCCGATGCAGATGAAACAGATGGGACACCCCGCTTGCCTGGAACGCCTGGAACTTGAATACAAAAATAAGCGAAAACATGGTTTGCTGGCGAGAATACTTATTTATAAAACCAGGCATACCACGATGACGTCTAAGTGATTCGTATCAAACGCTCAGTTCAAGAAATCGGGAAAACGGTGAGGGTTAGAACCTCGCAGATTCTCAGAAGATTATGGAAGCGGATTGCTTTCACGTTTGAACACATCACTTGGAAAGAAATTTAAGATGTTCAACTCCAGATGGAGCTACGCATAAAGAAAATTTCGCATGAGCAACTATGAAATGTTTATAAGTACTCCTGTGTCAGAAAGACGACAACGGAAGCCGAGGTAAAACATTAATAGGAGATGGAATAAAAGTGTATTTTATTTGTTTAAGAAGTAATCTGCCTATGGACGTGTCCTCCTTAGGCAGGTATTACTAGAAAAGATTTAAAAAAAGCCGCACAAGGTAAATACAGTAGGCGCAAGTATTCTCAGAAATAGTGAAATTCGGAGAGACTCCTATTAAATTTTAATATTTCGTAATAACGTTGCGAACCGAACATTCGCAGGTGCTTGTATATGACGCAACGATATAAAGAAGAAAAAAAACCCAATAAAAAATTTATGTGGTCTCTGAACTGAGCGAATTTCAAGTACCCTCAATCCGATCAAATTGGAGCGAAAAAAAAAACTTATAAAAGGAATTAGTTTAGATATTGTGTAAAGTTAATATTAAGTTTTGTGTCCCTACATTCCGAGATTACGAAAGCAGTTCTAAGGCGCGCAAGAGCAGCATGAACATTTATTAAGAAAAGTGACGCGTCTGCTAGTGCCGGCTCTCGCTGCCGACTCAGCCATCTTAAGATCCCACTTCTGTTGGTGTTGGCGAGGAGGGCTCTCGTACTAATGTACATTTGAGCAAACCGCACTGTAAATCTGCCTCTTCAAAACCCCAGGTTAGCAGTCGTACTGCACTCGCCAAATTATCCGTCTGCAGCGGTAACAACGGCGTACCATTTGATGAGAGTAAATTCACGGAGTCTATGAATGCATACAACCAATTCAACTTATATTTATCTAGGAGCTACAGGACACCCTTGGACTACAAAAACTAAGAGTTACGATATAAGAACATAGGACACAATTCGACACCGCCGGCCTCTCCGTCTTGTTCTAATCCCCTCCCTTTCCCTAGGCCTGCCTCCTCTTTTCTTGGTAATAAACAACAGCTACATTATATGGCTCTTGCGCGAAGTTTGACGTCAATGAAGCGAGCGGTCACAAGGTACGACGTCACACCGCTCTCGCCGGCACGTTTTGCCGGGTGTCCAGTCCTACCAGAATAGTTGTGCTACGCAGATATTCCTAGTGTTGACGCTGTGCTTTTTGGGGCGTTTTTAAGCAACATTTAGTTATCTGCCTTTGGCTGGCCGGATCTATACCATTCGAGACGTTTTAGTGGAGCTAGCACTTTGCAGTGTATGAAAAACACTTAAAGTTGATACAGAATCAGGCATGGCAAAGCCCTCTTGGGTGAATTTCAAAAATATCTCGGTTCAAGTCGATAAAAGTATATTAAAGTCAGCAATAGTTATAAACCTGAGTCGTTGACCTGATATCAAGGTCAATCTCGCCAATGGCTACAGTCGATTTAAGAAGTTATTATCTTAATGTAATAATATTAGGAGGAGTGCACAGTTGTTTCATCGTGTTTGACACCAATAAATGAATTTATCAATTGTATTTAATATTCAGTAACGCAAATGTCAATCTTCTATGCACTAAAATCAATGCTTTCCTGAAAAAAAAAAAAGAAAAAAAAAAGAATGTTTTTACACAGTTCTGTGGGTATGGAACCCGACTTCCATCGCACCGACCCGGTTCGAGTCCAGCTGGGGCGTCTTTCTTGCGTTGAATTTACACGGGCTAATACAGTAAGGGTGCAGGCGAACTGGTGAATGGTAACCATGTTGAATAAACCTGAGACTGGGGCAGAAATGAACATATAAGTCGAAGGAACAGAAAAGGACAGGACGACGCCTCAAAATCAGCTCACGCTTTGAGACGTCGTCCTGTCCTTTTCTGTTCCTTCGACTTATATGTTCATGTCTTCCTCAGTCTCAGGTTGATTCAACAAGGTTTACACGGGCATTTGTAAGCGTAATACGTAATATTAACGTCGTGTGACACTTCTTGCGTGTCGGTCGTCCAGCGTTCATGACGCTCACTCACAACAATTTTACGATAGAAAATGCCCCATAAAATACATTCTGAATTAAAAATAAATTGGTAAACGTAAAAAAAACCCAATTCGGTGTAGATGTATTGCATAAAAGTTGTCGCCGACTTTTGCCTTGAGAACGAACCCGCATGTAGTAGCTAGGGTTCCGTGTTTTCGGATAAATCCGAAAAACACTCACGGTAAATGTTTTGTCAATTCGGATTTATCCGAAAAACTCAGACTTTTGAGGTCACAACGAAAAGAGGAAACTAAAATAGCAAAAGAAGAGGTGCTTTACAAATGAACTTCACAAGAGCACAGTGCCAGTGGACTTGAGGAGATGCGCCTTCAGTTTCCCCTGCAATCTCGAACTAGTGATGAAATGTGTTTGCCTTGCAGCTCGTCAAGGTTGCTTCAGAACAGCAAATCACAGCACCCAGATTTTTTTTTTTTTTTTTAGCAAACGCAATAAAATAAACTTTGAATTTCAGAAAATAGGGAATCTAACAAAAATAAACTCCGATAAACCCTGCATTTTCGGCGAAAAATCAACTCCGAAAAAAACCCTCCGAGTATCGCGAGAACGAAACTCCGAAAACACGGAATCCTACGTACAGCCTAATGTCCTGTCGAGCTGACGGCCAAAAATGAAGCCATGTTTTTGCCGCTAACGGACGTTAAGACAGCTGTCGGACGTTGTCCCGCAGCGAGCAATATCGATGCAGCTTTTCGGGCCGAGCAACACGAGACGGGCCTGCCAACTATTCACCCGAGCCGACACGTGCGGCCATCGAAAGGGACTTGGGCGACAACATATTCGCTCGGGGGTGGTGTCGGGTTCATGACTGTAGCGAGATACCTCATCAC